AAAAGTGAAAGCAGCTTTGTTACGCAGCTGCACACTGAGAGAGAAGGACGCAGAGAAAAATGCAGCTTGAATCAGATGGAATTTCTTGTTTGTAAATATGCTACTTTTGAGCAAATAAAGTGCTACTAGGACAGAAGAAACGTGTGGGACTTCTTTTACTGCCCTTTCAACACGGACGCTGTGCAATTCTGCTAATTGCTTTATGACCTGCAGAGGCGTGCAGGGGAAGCGTGCCAGACGCCGAACAATAAAGCAATAAATCTACCTAACAGGGATGGACACCAAGCTGGGTGGCTTTAAAAGAGTGTTAGACAAATTCATGGCGAAGAGGGGGCACTGATGAATATTGTCACTGGAAATCACAGGAGGAGAGCATACCGTCCACCTGTCCTGGAAATGCTGGGATCATCCCCAAAACTATCTAGCAACCACAGCTTCTCATGGTGCCATGGCAAGTCCCAAGTTAGAGTGGTCCAACATGTGGCCTTTGCTAAGTTCCAAAGGAGCATCCACAGTGGCCGTTGCTAAGGGCGGCCACACATTCGCCCTAACCCATCGTGCCAACCCACTGGGCTTCCCTTGCCACGTGTAACACAGGGTGGTCAGTGATGGCAAGCTACCCCAACTCCCATTCACGTGTTTGTGTGCTTGCGAAGTAACATCCAAACAAAGCTCATTGAACCAATGACAGGACAAATATACAGTTATCCCCACATCAGGATTGGCTAATCAATCTGAGCATTTGGTGAGGGCTATCCAATAGGCTGTCTCTGGAGGCGGGATTTATTCGCTCCCGCTGCTCCCTGACACCCGCCAGCATCAAGGTTGGGCAGCCTGGCCTGAGACGTGATTGGTGCCAGGGGTCTCAGCCTTCAGAATTGGCGACCGGTCACTGACATCGCAGGGCAGGTTCTACAGGGGGGGAAGTGGAGGTTCTGCTTGGCTTGGTGCAGCCTGTCAGTCATAAGCTGGAGGCTGATGAGTTGGTGGCAGGTGGGAGGGAATGAGGAGAGGAGAGCTGAGGTGGAGAGGGCTGGGGGGCGGTTGGGTTTGTTGCCCCTCAAGATGCAGTTTCTGTTGGGCAACCTTTTTGGACAACCTTCATGGGTTATGATGTGTCTATACCAGGCCATACAGTCCTTCCTCAGCTGTCCCTATTCTCTGGCCCGAGTCCCACCCCGTGCTTATTTTCAGAGCCAGTGTGGTGTAGTGGTTAAGAGCGGTGGACCCGTAATCTGGTGAACCGGGTTCGCTTCCCCGCTCCTCCGCATGCAGCTGATGGGTCATCTTGGACTAGTCACACTTCTCTGAAGTCTCTCAGCCTCGCTCACCTCACAGAGTGTTTGTGGTGGGGGAGGAAGGGAAAGGAGAGTGTGAGCCGCTTTGAGACTCCTTAAGGTAGGGATAAAGCGGGATATCAAATCCAAACTCTTCTTCTTCTTCTTCCTGTGCTCTCATTTCCAGGATGCCTTGCCAAAAATGTTATTTGTGTGAGTTTGTTTGTTTTATTTGAAATATTTACCAGCCATCTTTTAGGGCAACCTCCTTCTCGGGAGCTTCTGTATGGTACTGAAATAATTTTAAAAACCAGCACTCTAACCTCTTAGGAAATCATCAAACAATTCCAAAAAATGAAACCGTAAAACTACCCTTCAGAGCATACCTAATCAAACCAACATAATACTGTCGAAAAGCAGCAAAGTCTTTAAAATCCTCCCAGCGGTTCTCAACCTGTGGGTCCCCAGATGTTGTTGGACTACAACTCCCATCATCCCTGAGCTCTGGCCTTGCTAGCTAGGGCTGATGGGAGTTGTAGTTCAACAACGTCTGGGGACCCACAGGTTGAGAAAGGCTGCTTAGCCCATTAAAACCCTAGGTATCTGGAGTTGACACTATTGATGTTTTGTTTGTTTCTTAGGTTTACATGGAAACTTTTCTCAAGGGAGCTCAAGGTGGTGATCTTTACGGTTCAGTGGGAATGTGAACTCTGAATTCCAGGTTCAACACTCTAATTGGCTCTCTTTTATGAATCATGATCCAGTCCCCTTCCCTGGGCTATAAAAGCTGATGGGAAGATGCATCTTGTGCTCATCCGTATAAATTAATGTGCATGAACAGCAAAGGGTGCCCTTTTGCGCACAGCCTGTCATTACACACCCTGAAGCCACCGGCAGTTGTTCGAACTGTTGATAGTAGTTGTCCTTGTTGTTCTAGTGTATCTGCAACCTGATAAATAGAGCACAGCAGAGGTTGTATTTTCTGAGACTCCTCCGGAAAAACAACCTCTCAAAGGACCTGTTGATGGCATTTGACCATTGTACTGTTGAGAGTGTATTAACTTATGGTCTGTGTGTGGTTTGGGAGCTGCACGGTCAGGGGAAAAATAATGCTGTCCAGGGTTGTAAAGACTGTGGTGAGAATAATTGGGTGCACTCTTCCCACCTTGGATCAAATCTATGCTTCCAGGGGTCATAAGAAAGCTGCGGAGATAGCGCAGGATAATGCGCACCCCAGAAATTATCTCTTTCAGCTTCTGCCTTCTGGAAGAAAGGTACAGGGTTATAAAGACTAGGACTAGCCGCCTGAGAAACAGTTTCTATCCAAAGGTGATTTTGGTTTTAAACACAGTGTAAGGTAGTCTCTGTGGGAGTACGGTATATTGTATTTTAAAATGGGGTATCAGAGTTTTTAGGGGGCTAACCAGGCTGGGATAGCTGGGATACCAGGCCTGCAGGTTTTTGAATGTCTTATGTAGATTTTTTCAATTTCGTTGTTCTGTATGGGACAATGACAATAAAGATTATCGTATTGTATCGTAAGGAGCACCGAATCCTTGGTCTCCCACAGGGCTGTTCATATCATTATTAGGCAGAGACAGCATCTTAAAAAGCAGAGACATCACCTTGCCAACAAAGGTCCGTATAGTTAAAGCTATGGTTTTCCCAGTAGTAATGTATGGAAGTGAGAGCTGGACCATAAAGAAGGCTGATCGCCGAAGAATTGATGCTTTTGAATTATGGTGCTGGAGGAGACTCTTGAGAGTCCCATGGACTGCAAGAAAATCAAACCTCTCCATTCTGAAGGAAATCAGCCCTGAGTGCTCACTGGAAGGACAGATCGTGAAGCTGAGGCTCCAATACTTTGGCCGCCTCATGAGAAGAGAAGACTCCCTGGGAAAGACCCTGATGTTGGGAAAGATGGAGGGCACAAGGAGAAGGGGATGACAGAGGACGAGATGGTGGGACAGTGTTCTCGAAGCTACCAGCATGAGTTTGACCAAACTGCGGGAGGCAGTGGAAGACAGGAGTGCCTGGTGTGCTCAGGTCCATGGGGTCACGAAGTCGGACACAACTAAATGACTAAACAACAACAACAAAGCGACCACCTCAGGCAGCAAATGATGGGGGTCGGGCGAGTGGCAATGAGTTTGGCAGGACAGGGCTGTCCTGTCCTGTACAGTGGGACCTTGGTTCTCAAACTTAATCCTTTCCGGAAGTCGGTTCCAGACCAAAGCGTTCCAAAACCAAGGTGCGCTTTCCCATAGAAAGTACAGTCGTACCTCTGGATACGTAATCTTTGGGTTACGGCCGCTCAATCACGCTGCGCACATGCGCAGAAGCGTGCCTCTGTTTACGTAATTTTCGGGGTGTGAACGGACCCCTGGAACGAATTAAGTTTGTATCCGGAGGGTCCACTGTAATGCAAAATGGATTAATCCATTCCAGACTTTTAAAAACAACCCCTAAAATAGCAATTTAACATGGATTTTACTGTCTCTAACGAAACCCTTGATCCATAAAATGAAAGCAATAAACAATGCACTGCAGTCACACAGTCAATCAGTCAGTAGCTGAACTGGGTTCCACACAGTCACAAAAACAAACAAAAAAAGAGCCGCAAAAACGCAAAATACAGTGGTACCTCGGGTTAAGTACTTAATTCATTCTGGAGGTCCGTTCTTACCCTGAAACTGTTCTTAACCTGAAGCACCACTTTAGCTAATGGGGCCTCCCGCTGCCACCACGCCGCTGCTGCGCAATTTCTGTTCTCATCCTGAAGCAAAGTTCTTAACCTGAAGCACTATTTCTGGGTTAGCGGAGTCTGTAACCTGAAGCGTATGTAACCTGAAGCGTATGTAACCCGAGGTACCACTGTAAATAGCAAAAAAAGACAGACCTCAGGGTGGCACTCAAATAGGAAGTGTAACACTCAAAACGGAGTACGTCCGGCTTCCGAAAAAAGTTCCCAAAAAAACCAGAACAATGTTTGGGTTCTAAGCTGTTTGAGTACCAAGACATCTGAGAACCAAGGTACCAGTGTATCAATTCAATGCATTCTTAGTAGCTGTTTGCGACTCTTAGTAACTGTTTGCGACCCACAATGCAACATTGAACTTTGATCGGTGCAGATCAGTTCAGCTCTTAACAACCCGAGTAATTGGCTGCTTTATAACTTCGCAGTTGAAAATGACGGGAGTCTTTCATTTTGTTTTTTTAAGTGGCTTTTAATTGAATAACTTCAGGCTGTGGGGTGGCAGGGCCAGCTTCCCTTTAATCCCCCAGTGTGCTCTTGGTGTTTGTCCTCTGAGCCCCTTCTCACCATAAAGTTGTTTGTCTTCCCAGAGCACGGCTGGCTCATCTGGTAATAAATCTGTGCTGTGGGCCGGAAGATTGGGGGGGTGCTGCTGCTGATGATAAACAGCTTGCCCAGAAGACCCAGAGAGGAAAAGCAGCCTTTGCCAAGACAGCAGCAGAAGCAGAAGCAGCAGCGTCATCAGTGGGGAAAGATGTGATTTACTGCCCAGAGCATCCTCTATCCTCGTGGGCCTTTGCACTGAAGTGGAGGCGGCCCCTGATTGGCTGGGCAGCCGCAACAGCTGGGCTCTTTTTCAGGATGCCAAATAAAAGGCATCCCCCCCTCCAGCCTGGGAAAACAACCGTTCTGGATCGCAAGCAGGATTCAATGCTTTTTCTAACGTGGGACGAGGCTCTGGCTATGGACTCTAACCCGACGGTCATGTAAGCTCAGTAAGTAGATAGGATTGCAAGTGCTATTCCTTCCTTGTGTCATCTCCTCCCTTGCAGGTTTCTAAGCAGGGGTTGGGTGGCCCTCTGTAGGGGGCTCTTCAGCTGTGATTCCTGCCTTGCAGGGGGGTTGGACTTGAAGGCCCTTGTGGGTGTCCCTTCCCCATTGGGGTCCCTTCTATGCACAAATCGGGTTTTCAATGAAGAAGAAGAAGAAGAAGTGTTTGGATTTGATATCCCGCTTTATCACTACCCTAAGGAGTCTCAAAGCGGCTCACATTCTCCTTTCCCTTCCTCCCCCACAACAAACACTCTGTGAGGTGAGTGGGGCTGAGAGACTTCAAAGAGGTGTGACTAGCCCAAGGTCACCCATCAGCTGCATGTGGAGGAGCGGGGAAGCGAACCCAGTTCACCAGATTACGAGTCCACTGCTCGGGTGCTGATGAGAGTTGGAGGGCACCCAGTTGGCAAAGGCTGGAAGATGATCCGATTGCCTTCAGGGGTAATGTGCTTTGTGGGGGGGGGGTGCAGGAATGGAGCAGAGCAAGGTCCAAGTTGAGCCCACCAGTATCACTTGCAGTGTGGTAGAAGGTGCTGAGCCCCACTGACTTGACTGTGGGGCACAAAGTGTCTTGGGCTGGGGCAGTGCTAACTCCCCCCCCCAAGGGAAATGCAGGAAAGCACCAGTCTGAGGACTGTTGCTTGGCAGCCCTCACCACTGACTTCCCCCTATTGTATGTGCTGTGGGTTCACTCTGACCCTCTGCTTCCTGCCCTTTAACCTCAGAGATCAGTCAAGGGACCTGGATGCTCAAGACGGAACTGCACACCAGATCTTTCAGGAGATCTGTGATCCGGCTATTCTTTTTAATGGAAACAGAGGGGAGGGGGCTGCAAATATAATGGTGCCAGCATAGCTGTGCTGGGGGGAATGGAAACGTAACCCCTTGCCCTCTCCCCAGGTATTTCTTACTCACACGGAAAGAAATGCCGGAATCCCAACTCCTCTTTTAAAGCCACCTAGGTTGGTGGCCATCACAGCCTCCTGTGGAAGGCAAATTCATAGTTTAACTCTGCAATTCATGAAGAAGGACTTCCTCTTGATCCATGGTCTGGAAGCCAAGCCTGATGAGGAGCGGTTGAAGGAGCTTGGTATGTTTAACCTGGGAAATAGGAGACTGAGAGGAGAAAGGAGAGCCATCTCCAAATATCTTAAGGTCTGCTACATGGAAGAAGGAACAAGCTTGTTTTCTCCTGCTCTGGAGGGCAGGACTCGAACCCATGGCTTCAAGTGACAAGAAAGGAGATTCCGACTAAACATACAGAAAAGCTTTTTGACAGTATGAGCTGTTCAACAGTGGAACGGGCTTCCTTGGAAGGCGGTGGGCTCTCTTTCCTTGGAGGTCTTTAAGCAGAGGTTGGATGGGCATCCGTCCTGGATGCTGTAGCTGAGATTCTTGCCTTGCAGGGGGTTGGACTAGATGATCCTTGAGGTCCCTTCCAACTCTAGGGTTCTATGATTCTCTCATTTGCCTCTTCTTTTTAACTTTTATCAGTTACTGCCCATAACTTTTAGTCCCCATTCCCAATTCTAAATCCCCTGACAGTGGTCATAAATGCCTTGTTTCAAAGGCAACTTACAACCCAGCACCGTTCCAGCCTGCCTCTCGTGTGTTGTTAGATGAATGGAAACAGAAACATGGATGCGCTTTGCATTTAAAGTTAGCCATGCAAATGAGCAGCTCGTCTGCTGCCATAATTAGTGCCCAAAGGAAAGCCGGTGCGAGTTTGTTAAATGCAGGGTTCCCAGACAAGGAAGCCCAAAACGCCACAGGGATCAGTTCCAGTGATTTATTAGAGGGAACCCTGTAAAGTAAACAGCAAGCATTTGTTGCGACTGCTGCACCCAGGCAAGCGTGTCATGCAGAGGCAGATTTAGGGGAGTGAGACCAATTTGCCCGCACAGGGGGCTGAGATGAGAGGGTTCTTCAGGGGGGTGGGGTATAAATAATAAAATTATTAAAATGGTGGTGGTGGTGAACAATGGAAGGGGAGAGGCTTGGAAGTACTAAATTTGGGCATCACAGAGGGCGCCACTGAAATTTTAAAGCCCCCAAACCACCACTGATGTTATGCATTATAAAGATTAAAAAGAACAAAACGAATTTATTTGTTAATATAATAGATGGATAGTTTACAGATCTTTACTTTTTTACAATACGCAGAGAACAATATGTGTTGATAAATCAGAGAGAGGAGCGGAGGGAAGTCGTGGGGGAGGGAGAGGTTGTTGTGGGGGGTGGGAAATGGGGGGGGGAATATAATTGTTAAAATAATTTGTTACGTGAAAATAATCAATAAAAATTCTAAAAAATAAAATTAATAATAATAATAAAATGCATTATACAGCCGTATCTTGGATCCCGAATGCCTTGTGAGTCAAACGTTTTGGCTCCCGAATGCCCCAAACCCAGAAGTGATTGTTCTGGTTTGCGAATGTTCTTTAGAACCTGAACGTCCCAAGCGACTGCGACAATTGGCTGCAGGAGCTTTCTGCAGCCAATCGGAAGCTGCACCTTAGTTTCTGAACATTTTGGAAGTCAAACGGACTTCCAGAATGGATTCCGTTCGACTTCTGCGGTATGACTGTACAGTGGTACCTCGGGTTAAGTACTTAATTCGTTCCGGAGGTCCGTTCTTAACCTGAAACTGTTCTTAACCTGAAGCACCACTTTAGCTAATAGGGCCTCCTGCTGCCGCTGCGCCACCGGAGCACGATTTCTGTTCTCATCCTGAAGCAAAGTTCTTAACCCAAGGTACTATTTCGGGGTTAGGGGAATCTGCAACCTGAAGCGTATGTAACCTGAAGCGTATGTAACCTGAAGCGTATGTAACCCGAGGTACCACTGTATACAGAAAGCATCATATATCAGTTGGGCCAGAAACTTCTGTCAGTCCCAAGGCGAAAAGTCAAGCGTCCCATAGTCACAGATGCAAAGCATCAAAGCAAGCCAATTAGCACATATCAAAGTAGTAAATGCCGATTAGTGTTGTTTTGACTGCCACTTTGGAGTTTACAAGCCTTTCAGAACATATTCCCTGTTGAGTTTTTCCCATGTTGTCAAGCCCCATCTGCCCCTCACTTCCCTCCATGTGCAGAAGCTGCCTTCTTGAGTGTCAGGACCCACAAACGGTCTTGTCTGGTCCATCTTCCAGAGCCTGTCTTTGCAGGCAGGGGAGGCCCCTAACTCACAAAGGGCATGAGACCCATTCAGCTCCCCTCACCTGGTTTTGCCAGCCAGCCAAAGCCATTCCTGGGATTGTGGCTGCTGTCGCATGCTGACCTCTTCTAGGAACCCACAGGAACAGTTCCTCCCATATACAGTACCAGAAAGCCAAACACGGTGATGGCTGCCCTTTTTTTGTGTTTGCAACCAGATTTCCAATTAACCTGTGTCAGAGAAAGCAATGTCAATAAATCCCTGGAGGCAGATGTCAATTTATGGAAAGTGGGGAGTGTGCGCCACAAAACAGCAACTTCCTCTTCATATCCTGTCTCTTATCTTTCTACCTGTGGCACCCATTACATAATCCGCACTAAAAGCTTATTATCACATGAATCTGGAACGAAGAAACTGCTGGCAACGTTCTGCACATAAAGAGGACTTCTTGGCCTGTTCATTGGGGCAAAGGGGGGCCATAGCTCAGTGGCAGAGGAACTGCCTTGCCTGCAGAAGTTCCCAAGGTAAATTTCTGGCGCCTCTAGGTAGGTCTGGGAGAGACTCTAAAATCTTGCAGTCTTTGCTGCCAGTCAGTGCTGGGTTAGATGGACCAGTGGTTTATTCAGTATAAAGTAGCTCCTTTGTCCTTCCTGTGTGGCCCATTAGCCAGTGTTTGATTTGCTGCATTCCAGCCTTGCAAGGGGGTTGGACTAGATGACCCGTGGTGTCCCTTCCAACTCTACAATTCAATGCTTTTTTTCAGATTTATTTTTTTATTTTGCCAAAGTAATAATAATAAATATATAAGGGTAAAAATGTGCACCCCACCTCCTAGAGCCTTCCGTTGTAACTGTCCAGCTTCCCAAAACTTCAACGCCTCTTGCGATGGTTTGACCCTTTTCCGTTTTAACTGTACAAATTCTACAAACACCCTCCATATCTCCTCAAAATCATTTCTTCTGCATATTCCGCATCTTACATTAATAGAACATGTTAATTTATCATGAATAGCTATATCCCACACCTCTTTGTACCATTCTTCCATTTTATAGTCACCTTGCCCCTTCCACTTCCTAGCTATAATAACTCATGCAGCTGTCAATAAATTTGTGAGCAAGACCTTCATAGCCTGTGAACCTTCCACCCCATCATAATTTTTTTAATGCTTTATTAATTTTTGCAAAAAAAAAATGAGAAAAGAATCCAAAATCAATACATATTACAAAAAGGAGGGGAAATAGATTCATACGTAACAGATTCCATTATGACTTCCGATCATCCCAACATGTTTCCTGGGTTGCATTTTCGACTGCACACTTTCCATTGTCTCTCACAGATTGTCTCAATTGTTTTGATTTTGTAAATTTCCACCCCATCGTAAATTGATAATAATGGTACCTCTGGACTTACGGTTAGCTTTAACCCCATGATTTCTGTAATCTCCTTGAACACTCTTTGCCCAAAAAAATTATACATATATGCACCTCCATCACATGTGAATGTAAGTCCCGGTTTCCTGCCATCCCCTCCAGCATAACACCAAATATTCCTTGTTTATTTGATTTAATCTGACTGGTGTTAAATACCATGTCCAAACTAACTCCTAATAATTTTCTGTTAATTCTATGCTTCTACAATTCCTGGAGATCACACAGTAATACGGAGCTGGTTTCCTTTCAATTCCAGATCATGACACAGCGCCCAAGGCAGGATGGAACCTCCCGAGCCAGACGCTCCCAACGCCTCCTTCTACCAGCCTTCCGTGTTCCTCCTGATGGGCATCCCTGGAATGGGCAGGAGCCACCATAGACTCGTCTCCATCCCCTTCTGCTTGCTTTACCTTGTGGCCCTCTTGGGGAACTGCATCATCCTGTTCATCATTGGCAGAACGACCAGTCTCCATGAGCCCATGTATTACTTCCTCTCCATGTTGGCCCTCATGGACCTGGGCCTGGTTCTGTGCACCCTCCCGACCACGCTAGGCATCTTCTGGTTCGACGTCAGGGCGGTTGGCTTTGATGCCTGCCTCACCCAGATGTATTTCATCCATGTCGTCTCCATGCTGGAATCCTCAGTGCTGCTGGCCATGGCCTTTGACCGCTTTGTGGCCATCTCACACCCCCTGAGGTACAAAGCCATCTTGACCAAGCCAACCATTGTCAAGATAGGCCTGGCCATGTTGGTGAGGGCAGCCATCTCCCTGCTCCCGATCCCTTTTCTGCTCAGGAGGCTGACGTACTGCAGCGACAACAGCCTCTCCCACTCCTTTTGCTTGCATCCTGACATCATGAAGCTGGCCTGCAAAGACGTTGACATCAGCGTCAACGTTCTGTACGGCTTAATCATCATTCTTTCAACCGTTGGCATAGATTCACTCCTCATTGTGCTGTCTTATTTCCTGATCATCAGGACTGTCATCAAGGTGGGTCCCAAGGGGAAGTGCCTGAAGGCTTTGAATACCTGTGTCTCTCACATCTGTGCGGTCCTCATTTTTTTCATCCCCATGATTGGCCTATCCATCATCCATCGATTTGGCAATGGTGTGGACCCGCTTGTAAAAGCCATGGTTGCCTACGTCTACCTGATCGTGCCCCCCGCTTTGAACCCCATCATTTACAGTATTAAATCCAAGCAGATCCGGAAAGCCATCTGGAAGCTGTTGCTTTGGAAGACGGAGCGGAGAGGTCAAGCAGTAACTGTTTCAGTTCAGTTCAGCCGTTGTGAAACTAGCCATGATGCGGTTCCCTGGACAGTTTTGTACCCTGTGGAGCTGCCTGCACGATTTTGCAAAGGAAACCAGCACAATGATTGACAACTCCACCGAATTGCAAAAAGAGCTGAAGCAAATTGGAAGATCAGAACGTTACCTTGTCAAGCTGGCTCCGTCTTCCACCTGTAGGGCTCTCACTGGGAATATGGAGCAAGCGTGTTTTCTGTTGCTCCACAGGGGAGGACAAGAACCCACAGATCCAAATGACAAGAAAGACTCCGACTAAACACTAGGAAGAACTTTCTGATGCTAAGAGCCATTCAACAGTGGAACAGACTCTCTCAGAAGGTGGTGGACTCTCGTTCATTGCAGGTTTTTAAGCAGAGGTTGGATAGTTGTCTGTCGTGGATGCTCTAGCTGTGATTCCTGCATTGCAGCGGGCTGGACTAGATGACCCCTGGGGTCCATTCCAACTCTGCAATTCTACGATTCCATGATTCTGTGAAGCATACCTTCAATTCAACACCAAACTGTAGCAGTCGCAATGCTTCTCACTTAGGTGCATCAAAGCAGTTTTTCTGTTTTGTATTCAGGTTCTGATTTATGTCTTGAGAAGTGAAAAATGTGGCAAACTTTGTATTTTGGGTAGATTAAACCAATTAATATTTGGCTGTGCCTCACACAATGCTTTGGAACACACTTTTACTGTACTGCCAAGGCCAAGATTTTCAAAGGGGTCTTGGAAAATTTCTCTGGAGCCAGAGATAAGGGAACAAATCACAGAAGGGAGAGAAAACACAGTGTCAGGGAAATCTGCTTCCTGGTCCATAAAGCAAGGTGTCTCTAGGTCAGATTATCACACACCTGCATAGACAAGTGAAGTCTGGCTCACATAAGAGGCGACATGCCTCACAGCCCACAACTGGCCACGTCACTGCTATTTCCTGTGTTGTCATCAGTAGGTCAAGTACCACCTTTTCCTGTTGCCTAGAATGGACATCCAGGGGAACGTGGCTCCAAACAGGGAGGATTTCTTGCAGTACCTGTTGGGAGCAACCTCCTTCTGACTATGACCAGGTTGATGGGCGTGACCCTACCTGGTGCAAATAAAAGGGCCAGGCACATGGCTATCTGCCTCTTACCTGCTTCTCTCTTTCGTCCTTCTGGTTCTCCACTGCTCCTGGCTCTTAGCCAGCGCATGGCTCATCCTTTACAAAGGATGGAGCCCACAAGTAGCAAGTCTGAGATTTAGCACAGACTTCATTTTCTCTACAGATGAAACTGTATGAAGCCTGCCTTCAGATTACGGCTTGTTATTTTCAAGAAGTCTGTGTTGTGTTATTCTTATTTTAAGAGGGAAAGAAAGGGGAAATTTACGAGGAAGAATTCACTTTGCACAAGGCAGACTGGATTGCTTAATTAAAAGATTCTAACGAGTCATCAACTGCTTCCAACAAGTTTGAAATATACTCAGAGTCCTGTAGTGATTTCATGCTCTTTATTGCAGCTTGTAAAACAGTGATTGAATTGCCCCCCCATACCTCAGGCTTTTATATACATTATTTACCCAATGAGTCCCATCTGATTGGCTGATTCTGCTTCCCTCCTGGAGCCTGATTGGTGTTTTCTTGCAGGCCAATCAATTGTTGCATTCCAGGATCCTACCAGCCTAATAGGCTGATTAACTTCTTCCTGGAGCCTGATTGGTGTTTTCCTGCAGGCCAATCAGTTGTTACATTCTAGGATCCTACCAGCCTAATAGGCTGGTTAACTTCTTCCTGGAGCCTGATTGGTCTTCTCCTGCAAGCCAATCAGTTGTTGCATTCTAGGATCCTACCAGCCCATTGTTCTAGGATCCAAGGTCAGTACATTACAAAGTTGCAAGGGAATGTTGCAAGGGAACTAGCATGAGTGAGGAGGATATCAAAACAATAAACCCTCTCCTACCTTCCTAAACCTTCCCACACAATGAGCCAGTGGGATTGCTTCCTCCTGCCTTGGATAAAAGGGGCTGGGACCCCTGAAGACCCCTGAGTATCCTGGAGGGAATGGTGAGAATCACCATTTCTGATGGCGTGAGCCCTGAATGTGCGGGGGTCCACTGGAGAACTCTCCTCATCCACTTTTATATAACCAGGGAAAGGGTCTGGGTCGTGAATAACAGAGAGCCTGTGTGGGGCCATGGTGAGAGCATTGACCCTGGGAAATCAGGGCTCACATCCCCACCAAGACATGAAGCCCATCAAGGTGTCACACACACACACACACACACACACACACAGCCTCACAGGGTTGTTGAGGGAATAAGATGTGGAAGGGGAGAACCATGGACACCACCTGGAAGAAAAGTTGGGATGTCAGCATATTAAACAAACAAAACATAATGAGTGACAACTCCAGATAACAGGAGTTGTAATGAGCCACGAGATTTTTAAGGCTTTGCTGGTTTGCGACAGTATTATGTTGGTTTGATTAGGTCTGTTCTGACGGGTATTTTTATAGTTTCATTTTCTAAGTGGTATGTTGCTTTTAAAAAATCATTTTAGCAAGGTATGTTTGGGCACATTTGCTTTTAATTGTAAATGGAATGCAATTGTTCTCCCATCCCTAAGTGTGGGTTGTTGTTGTTGTTGTTAAAATGTGTTTTATTGAAGTAAACCAAACCAATCAATACAATAAAAATAACAGAAGTGCGAGAAAGCAGTGCAGTACGTATATCGTAAAGACACTTAATATTAGGTTGGCCAAGTCCTTAAATCCTTTAGGAAAGACAAATTTCGCATTGTTCTTCAGAGAGGGAGTTGTGTGTGTCTTCATTTGTTGCATATAAGATAAAATCCCACCAGACATCATGGGACTTGTACAGGTCCTGTGAGTCTTCAGCAGCAAGTAATTTATAAGTTATTTTTTCAGCTAATGCTGAAATCCACATATTTCTATACCAAAGTGAAATCTGGAAATCATGTAAGGTTTTCAGTGCTGGGTAGAGGTTTGGGTGCTGGACTCTATGACCGGGGGGACCAGGGTTCGAATCCCCACCCAGCCATGAAGCTCCCTGGGGTGATCTTGGGGAGAAAAAGGTGGAATATAAATAGAATAACTGAAATAAATAAGATTTTCTATTTTGGAGCAACGGAGGTTCTGGCAGCCGCTAGCCTCCTGGTCAAGAGTTCATGAGAGCTGACAAAGTGGCAAAACTGACTGGGAGAAACAGAAATCAAGAAGACAAGAAATTCAACAAAGAATGGAAAAAAATTATAATGAACTTGAAGAACACTGTAAAAATTTTAAAACGTTAGCAGGATTGACATAACACTTGTAATATAACAATTTTATGGTTAAAATTGGATTTAAACGAAAATTTGATAAATATTATAAGATGCAGTGGAAAAAGATTTACAATGGAAACCATGTGGCGGCGGGGAGAGGGAGGTCCAAGGATTCAGGCGATCCTATATATGTATAACATTGATTATATTTGAATGTAAGTGATATTTGTAAAAACTGAAAATAAAATTCTTTTTAAAAAGAGTTCATGAGAGCTGAAACTTTTCAATTGATTGTCCCACAGCTTGGGCAAAAAAAAGCACTGGTGATGTTGGAATGGGATGCTTGAGTGAAATTAAAACACCTGTCCGCTGCTGGCGCCAGAGACCATCACAATGAGGTTTCTCCACATTGTAGCTCTTCTCCACATTGTAGCTCTTTCCACACTCTCGTTAAGAATTTCAGAAACCGATTTGGCTTCAACAATCATACCACAGAAGGAATTGACTGGATCTGTTCTAATGTGTTTGTGTTGTGTTGTGTGGGTGTAAGAGAAAGAAAAGTCGCAGACTATTTCTCCCATCGTGACACATGTGGAAATGCTATAGGGCTGCAATTTTCAGCAGACTTGCAAGAGGGTAAACCCCATAGATGGCGATCCTTACTTCCATGTGAACATGCATACAATACTATTGTACATCTTTAGAAAATGAAACAGAGGGGGGAGGAAATCAACAGTAAAAGAAACATACTTCGGAGACCTCAAATATCCACCTACTGTATATATGAAAAACGTGTTTTAATATGGCTTTTACAGTAAAAGAAACAATATTTTGTTACACGCCACCCCGATCTCTGAGTGGTGAGAGAATCCGGGGGGTTCCAGGTATTGGCTGTGTCCTAGATGGCTTCTCTCATGTGGCCCCCCCTTGTTTCAACTCTTTCTATGGGGCAGTTCAGTAGAGCTTTGTTCAACAGAACCAGAGAAAAGTTCACAACGTTCAGGTACGGCCGTTCTGGAAGCGTTGATTCCAGTCTGAACTCCATGTTTTCTCCTATGGGCCTTCTGCGGTTCTTGTTGGGCACCAGGGAGTGATCCATGTCGCAGTTGGCGCTGTGGGAGCTCCATGTGACATAACCACAGCTCAGCGCCGGTCGCCTGGTGACAGTCAAGGCCAGCTGGTGACAGTGGCCTCATCTTGGGTGTCTCCAGGACACTCCATGCGATTGTTTTTTAAAGAATAAAAAAATTCCATTTCCCGATTTTACATCATCGAAATATCTTTTTATTCAATAAAGTTGATATACCCAATATTGAAATTGACCAGCCTCCTCCCCCTTTCTGTGGTTGCTTATATTATATCCTTCCCTTTGCATATCCAAGCTAAACCTAATTGTGTTTTGTCCAATGCAATCCTATTTAAAATATTTCACTGCACGTTTTTATGTCGGTCCTGCTAATGATTTAAGTCGTTTACAGTACTGCTTTAAACGTTCAGTAAATGATCTTTATGCAAAATGGAAAAGGGACACTCTGTGCGTTGCCTTGGTAGAGAGCAATGTGTCCCTAGGCCTTGGAGGAACATTTTAGAGAAGTTATAAACACGCGTTGTGCTTCCTGCTCATTGCTTGAGTGTGTGTGATATGGACACAAGGGGCGGGGGGGACACGCGAACCACGGAGCCCCAGGCAAACACCTATTCCTGATCTTTCCCGATTACAAACCCCACCAGAGAGGAAGTCCTAGCGCTGTAGCAGAGCCAGACACCGCGAGGGACCTCAATTCTCAATGGGAGGCCAGTCGGGGTCATCAGCATTTGACAGCTGGCCAATCAGCGATTGCAAAACAGCGCCATGAACAGGCGAAGGCGAGCACTGCAACTGCGAGAAAAGGAGCTCAGCTCCGTTGGCAGGAGAAGCGTGGGACCCCCTGCTGAGAGAAGAGCGAAAGTGTCGATTCCAAGCGGATACAATGTATCTGGTCTTGGCCCAATGTTAGCCTTGCTGGAAACTCCAGAAGGAAAGGAAAGCAGGAGAGGCGTCCCCCAAAAAGCATCTCTGCAAGTGTGCAATGCACGCCAGAGAGGAAAACGCAGAGGGGAGATCTGGGCATGCTGGGCTTGGCAAGGGTTAAAGAGAACTGAGCTGCCTTCCTAGAGAGGACAGGAAGCAAGGGGGGGCCAGGTCCTCCAGCTCCAAGGTCCCTCCCTCCCCAGTCCTTTCCTGCAAGGAAGGGGGGTGTTGCTTTGGTGTCTCTCCTGCAAGGGCTGCATCGCTGCCCCCTCCTGGGATCTGGTGAGTCTCCTCTCTGGGATCTGGTGGGGGTCCCAGGGCTGCAGCAGAGGAGGATGTCTGGGGGGCCTGATCTGCTCCTGCGGGGGGGGGGGGGCAGGTCAGGGAGGAGAGGGTCCTGCCAGGGAGGGGCCAGGTCTGCCACGCTCTCCTTCCTGGAGATCAGAGGATCTCAAACTCATTTGGCCCTCCGCCCCCCCCTTCAGAAAAAATCTCCCTTCTTTACACAAAGGAATCCCTAGGACTTTAACTCTGTGCGACATCGCTCATCGTCATTGCACAACAGAGGTAATGTGTGCAAGTGGTTTTCCAAAGCTGGGCGAGGAGGTGGAATAGCCCCCCCCCCCAAAAAAAAAGGTGGGAGAGAAAGGGAAGGGATAAAGAGAGGGATCCCAGCCCATAGTCTGGCTGCTGCATTGCAATCCAGTTTCCCAGTGTCTCCCAGGGCAGCTCCCCACGGAGGCCACTGCAGCAATCCCCTCGCACCCAGAGCATGGCATCCCAGGACCACATCCTCTCTGCCCCAAAGGGATTGTTGCTGGCAAAGCAGCCGGAAATGGGCGCTGCTACTCACTGAGCCTCCAGGGACCTTGGCATCAGTGTCTGTGTCTGTGTTAAGTTATCTAATAGAATAATAATAATAAATTACTCACCTAAATTTCAAGGGTGATGTCTTTGGCCGCATCCACTTCTTCCTCAGTGGGGTAATCAGATGCATACCTGGCCCTCAGAGCACAGAAAAAGGGACCCCACCACAGGAGTCTGTCCTGAGATCAGAAGAGATTCCAAGTGCAAAAAAGAAGACAGAATCAGGGGAGTGGGGGTGGGGGCAACAACTCCTGAGGACCCCCGGGTGAGGACCCCCACTAGAGCCAAGAATCCATTTTTCAAAAGATACAAATGACTTCCTTGTCAGTCAGTTCTGACTTCATGCATTGACTGGAAGGCAGGAGAAACCAGGCTGATTCATCTCCCAGAAATCCCTTCAGTTGCCTCCACATTTTGCATTGCAATCTTCCTTCTAGGAGAGCTAGAGGCTGCTTTCTTCTTCTTTTTCTTCTTCTTCCTCTTCTTCTTCTCCCTCTTCTTCTTCAGACGATAGCTCATGGTTTGGGCTGTAGTGCAGTTCAGCCCTGGTTCTCAGCAAGACTCATCCATGCTTGCTCAGGGAACCATTTCCCCCCCTGTCCTACAAATTCTGTAACAGAACAATTTTTTTGCTTTGTAGGATTTGATAGAGCTTCTCATTAAGACGGACAGAACTTGGCAGAAGATCAAGGGGTTCCTTCCGATCTCTCAGAGGCTTCCTGAGAGCACAGATGGATGAGCAAGACTCAGCTGGCCCTGGAACAGGAAGAGGCCATGTCATCCAAACTGGGAGCAGTGGGGGATTCTGGGAAAACTCTATGCAGAAGATCCTGAGTGAGGAGGACACCCTCCGCTCAGAGGTGCAGAGCCAGCAGGTGAGGCAGTTCTGCTGCCAGGAGGCCAAAGGACCCCGAGAGGTTTGCAGCCGACTCTACCACCTTTGCCATCTGTGGCTGAAGCCAGAAAGGCATACGAAAGCTGAGATGCTGGACCTGGTGATTCTGGAGCAGTTCCTGGCTGTCCTTCCCCCAGAGATGGAGAGCTGGGTGAGGGAGTGTGGAGCAGAGACCAGTTCTCAGGCGGTGGCCCTGGCAGAAGGTTTCCTCCTGAGTCAGGCAGAGGAGAGAAAGCAGGAACAGAGAAAGCAGGTGAGAGAGACTTTCCTCTGGATACTCCCAAGGGGCTCCAAAGAGGACAGAGAACATCCCATAATGCTCTACTGATGGCCCATCCTTTTTCTGGGAAGGCATCCATGGAATGAGATCTCTCACCCTTAATGTTTTTGTCTTTGTCATTCTCTTCCTGATATTTTTTGCCATTCATTCTCTCTTTTGAATCCTTGTTTCTTTTTCAGGGAAAGGATCTCTTTGCAGAAATGGACCTGGATTCCTGTGAGGCAGAGAGGCCTCCGTTGGATACAGGAGAGAGGCCACTGGGTAAGGAGGAAGGAGTATTTTTCTGTTGGTTTTTCAGCTAATCTGTGGATTCTTTTCATCTTGGTTTCTTTTTTGGGGGGGGGCAGTGTTGAGAATTCCATTCCTCCCGTGCTGCAGATGTGTGGGATTGTTACATGTCACATGTCTACTTATATTCCAGCACTGATTATTGGGTCTTGTGAGCGGAAAGGGAGATACGCTGTTTCCGCTCTGTATTGCTTTTGCAGTCCTCTCTCCGAGGAAGAAAGACAGAGAGAGAAGCCATGTTTTTCTTTGTTCTGTTAGGTTTGTTTAGGCTTAGATGTTCCTCCTCACGGCTAAGCTTCTGTTTGAACTCTGCTAGTCGTGTGCTCATGTCCCTGGAGTTGGGCCACATCTGCGTGACGGCAGACCAGAGTGATGGGTCCGGGGCAACGCTACATTGGGATCAAGGGTCCAGAGGAAGGGAGATGTATTTTTGCCCAACTAACTTATGAAATGGGCACAAATGTCCAAATGCTCTCAGCAGGTGAGGCTTTCTCAAAGGCCCATCTGCAGTTAGAGATGCCCTGTTTCACCTGTGAGAGAAGCAGGCACTCCTGGCGTCCTGCTTACCTTTTTTCTTTTGCAGGTGACAGAATGATGCCGGCAAGACCTCCTTATCCATCTTTTCATGGGGGCAGAAGGGAAGCAGCGGCTGTGGAACCAGATCAGGTCAGGGGAAGCTGCCTTGTGGCGACAGAGACCGAGGGATGGAGCAATGTCATGGACTGGTTGGGCACAGAGGAATGGTGGGAGGAAGCAGCCGGGGAACCAGGAGGGGAAGAAATCTTAGAACCCAAGGAGTGGAAGTGGAGGAAGGATGAGTGGTCAGTGGGAGAAGAGGGAGAAGCCTGGGAAGAGGAGGTGTCAGAAGCTGAACGAGAAACAGGGCTTAGTGAGCTGGGAGACTCTGTGGCAGAATGCAGTCTAGAATCAGAGGCAGAAGAGGAAGGAGGCAAGTGGGAGGAGGGAGGTCGAGAGGCAGAGGTGAGTCAGGAGAAGGAGGAGCCACCGGGGGCTCCCTTTCCTTCTGCCAAAAGCCACCCTCCCTGCTTGTCTCTCAGAGCCAGGAGACGTCTGACAATGGAGGAGGAAAGGCAGGCTGCACACTGGCGCACTGTTCGATCATTTGCCAGAAACCCGAGAGAGGAGGGGACTTAGAAAGCTGTGGGGAGTCGGGGGTCTTCACTCTCTGCAACTGCTTTTGTGGAGGAAGATGCTCATGGAATGAGCTGCTGTTCTCAGTAGGCCTGAAACTCAGCCAAGCCTGTGAATATCATATTCTTGCTAAGAGTAAACTCCAGCTGTGAACTGTGGGATTTCCTGACCATATGTCTCCATGACACCAGCCTTCTGAATGTTGCCAGCAGGATTCATCTGTAGTTGCAGTTTTCCTGGAATCCTAGGGTTGAAAGGGACCGCAAGGGTCATCAAGTCCAACCCCCTGCATTGCTAGATCATCCAAAACAGATGGCCATCCAAATTAGGCTTCTTTTATTTCTATATTCATCACTGAATGCTAAAATAGGTTCCTAAGCAGTGGACAGACAATAACAAATAGTGTCCAGGATTCTCCTAGCTAGCCCCATCCGCTGCAAAATGGGGCCTGCCCCCCACTCCTCCCCCTCTCCATGCCCCCATGAACCCCTTGAATTTGGCTCTGGGGCATTGGGAGGGAACCTCCCCAGAACAACTCATGAGGAGAGGAGAAAGTGGATCCTTCCATCGGGGAAACTGGAATTCTTGCATAAGCAGAATGACTTGAAAAACACAATGTGGAGCACAAAGACAAATACCCATAGTTAAATACCCATACACAACTGAGATTTCTGTAGCAGATCATATTTCTGCTGTCTCAGAGGAGGACATTTCCCTTTTTCTTTTAGGTTCCAGTGTGCTTTGAAGATATTGCTGTTCGTTTCACGGACGAGGAATGGGTGTTGCTGGATCCTGACCAGAGAGCTCTGCATAAAGATGTCATGGAGGAGAATCTTGGGATCGTGGCCTCTCTTAGTAAGGCTCCTTGTGGGATCGTAATATCTGTATTGAAATTCAAAACTTATCTCTCTGAGATGAACCTAATATATTTTCACAGAGCTCAATATCTTCCCCTACAACACATGAGATTACAACATCCCCCAATAAACATCGAAGAGTAAATTACTCTTTTTCCTATGAATGTTCTTCTTCCAGTTGCAGCTTCTTAAACAATTACCAGGTAAAATGCCATGTAAAATTGCCATGTAAAATGTCAGCTTCAGAGTTGTTAGGAAAGATAAGTAGCTTCTGTCAGGTTTTGTTTTTGCTCCTGTAAGTTTTTGGTTGACCAAAGAGACGACTGACTTTGGAGATGGAGGGGATGCCATGACTGGACCAAGCAAAATCCATCCCAGAGAAGAGCCAGGCTTATCAAATTTCACATTCCCATAAGTGTGTTAGATAATGGCAGACAACAAAGGCTGACCTCACATCCAACTCCCTTCAGTTCTTCCATCACAAGCTTTAATTAGCATCATTACATAATTGGGGGCTCTATTTGTTCCTGAGGCTCCAATCCCTTTTTTTCTCCATTACAGATTGTGCTGAATTGGAAATCAAGAACAAAGGTGACCACAACAAAATCCCCAGAAAGGAGAAGCCACATAAAAATTTGGAGTGTGAAGAGAGCTGTAGTCAGAGCTCCCAGCTCACTTCCCATGAAAGAACTCATACAGGGGAGAAACCTTATCAGTGTGGAAAATGCAGCCAGGGCTTTAGTAGAAGCACAGATCTACATTCACACCAGAAAATTTACAGTGGGGAGAAACGATTTAAATGTGAAGAGTGTGGAAAGAGCTTCTATCGCAGATCCTCTCTCACTTCCCATCAAATAACTCACACAGGGGAGAAACCTTATGAGTGTGGAGAATGCAGGAAGGGCTTTGCTAGAAACACAGATTTACGTTTACATCAGAGAATTCACAGTGGGGAGAAACCATATCAGTGTGTGGAATGTGGAAAGAGCTTCAGTACCAGCTCCTATCTCACTTCCCATCAGAGAATTCACAGCGGGGCAAAACCATATCAGTGCGTGGAATGTGGAAAGAGTTTCACCTGGAAGAACACTCTCACTATCCATCAAATAATTCATACAGGGGAGGAACCCTATCACTGCTTGGAATGTGGAAAGAGCTTCAGTAAGAGTTCCTCTTTCACTTCACATCAAAGAATCCATACAGGAGAGAAACCTTATCAGTGTGTGGAATGTGGGAAGAGCTTCAATAAGAAGGACACTCTCACATCCCATCAAAGAATTCATACAGGGGAGAAACCCTATCAGTGTGTGGAATGTGGAAAAAGCTTCAATACAAGCTCTTCTCTCACATCCCATCAGAAAATTCATACAGGGGAAAAACCCCATCAGTGTTTGGCATGTGGAAAGAGCTTTGGTCACAGGAGCTCTCTCACTTCCCATCAAAGAGTTCATACGGGGGTGAAACCCTATCAGTGTGTGGAGTGTGGAAAAAGCTTCAGCACGAGCTCCTCTCTCACTTCCCATCACTTAATTCATACAGAGCAGAAGCCATATCAGTGCTTGGATTGTGGAAAGACCTTCAGTCAAAAGGGCAATCTCACTTCCCATCAAAGAATTCACACAGGGGAGAAACCATATCATTGTGTGGAATGTGGAAAGAGCTTCAGCTGGAAGCAAAATCTCACTTCCCATCAAAGAACTCATATAGGGGAGAATCTGAGAATCCTTTAATTGTGGAGTTGGAGGTGACCCCCAATGTAATCTAGTCCAACCTGCTGAATGCAGAAATCACAACGAAAGCCTCCATGATGGAGAGCTATCTAACGTCTGCTGGCCTCCAATAAATGAGAGTTCACCACTCTAAAGGGAGTCCACTTCACTGTCTAACAGCTCTTACCATTAAAAAATTTCTAGATACAGGTAGGTAGCTGTGTTGGTCTGCCATAGTCGAAACAAAATAAAAAAATTCCTTCCAGTAGCACCTTAGAGACCAACTAAGTTTGTTATTGGTATGAGCTTTGGTGTGCATGCACACTTCTTCAGATGCTTCTTCAGACAGGTATCTGAAGAAGTGAGCATGCACATGAAAGCTCATACTATGAAAAAGTTCTTCCTGATGTTTCATTAGAATCTCCTTTGTGGTAACTGGAAGACATTTCTTCAGGTCCTACTCTATGGAGCCAGAGAAAACAAGCTTACTCCATCTTCTATGACACAAGTTATTCAAAGATGGCTCTCATGGCCCCTCCCAGTCTCCTCTTCTCCAGGCTAAACATACCCAACTCCCTCGGCTTTTCCACATAATGCTTGGTTTCCAGACCCTTGATTATCTTGGTAGCCCTCCTCTGCACGTGTTCCAGCTTGTCAATATCCTTCCTATTAGTTATTCTTTATTTATTTAATTTATGTAGCACCCTTCATCCACATATTTCAAGGCGGTTCACATCATACAGGATAAAAGTATGGGTTTCTCAAAAGCAAGTCATGCAAGACAAATTATTTTATGGAGTTACAAGCTTGGTGGATCAGGGGAATGCTGTGTGCATAGTGTATCTTGATTTCAGTAAGTCCCCCATGATATTCTTGCAAGAAAACTGTTGAAATGTGGTTCTAGATTCAGGTAGGTAGTCAGCCGTGTTGTTCTGACGCAATCAAAATATATAAAAAAAATAAAGAAATTGTCCAGTAGCACCTTAGAGACCAATTAACTTTGTTCTTGGTATAAGCTTTCGTGTACTTATACCAAGAACAAACTTAGTTGGTCTCTAAGGTGCTACTGGACAATTTCTTTATTTTTTATATATATGTTGAAATGTGGGTTGAATGAGGTAACCATTAGGTGGATTTGTAGTTGGTTGACTGACATAACCCAAAGAGTTCTCATTAATGGTTCCTTGTCATCGTAGGAAAAATTGACAAGTTGGGTGTTGTTGGTCAATGTTTTTATAAACAATTTGGATGAAGGAATTGAGGGAATGCTAATCAAATTTGCAGGTGACACCAAACTGGGAGGGGTTGCTAATGCTGCAGAAGACACAATCGGGATTCAAAATGACCGTAACAGATTGGATAACTGGGCACAAGCTAACAAAATGATTTTCAGTAAAGGCATATGTAAGGTTCTGCACTTAGGCAGGAAGAACCAGGTGCACAAATATAAGATGGGGGATATCTGGCTTACTAGCATTACAGGTGAAAAGGAACTAGGAGTTGTGGTGGACTGCCTGCTTAACCTAAGTCAACAGTGTGATGCAGCAGCAAAAAAGCTAATTCCATTCTAGGCTAGGCTAGTGCCCCTCTTAAGGGAAGTAAGTGTACCACTGTATTCTGCCTTGGTCAGGCTACAGCTGGAGTCTTGGGTCCAGTCCTGGGCACCACGATTTAAGAAGGATGTTGACAAGCTGGAACATGTGCAGAGGAGGACAACCAAGATGATCAAGGGTCTGGAGTCCAAGCCTTGTGAGGAGCAGTTGAAGGAGCTGGGAATGTTTAGCCTGGGAAAAAAGGAGACTGAGAGGAGATATGAGAGCTATCTTCAAATATCTCAAGGGCTGTCACATGAAAGGGGGAAGAAGCTTGTTTTCTCCTGTTCTGGAGGGTAGGACTCAAACCCATGGCTTCAATTTACAAGGTAGGAGATTCTGACTAAATATACAGAAAAAACTTTCTGACAGTAAGAATTGTTCTACAGTGGAACAGTCTTCCTTTGGAGGTTGTGGACTCTTCTTCCTTGGAGGTTCTTAAGCAGAGATTGAATGGGCATCTGTCATGGATGCTTTAGTTTGGACAAGACAATTCTATGATTATTTGATCTTTATATACCATATAAAAAGCTGTAGCATTCTTAGAGGCTATTTGCTGCTTTTGCAGCACCAATGTGAGCTCCGTGAGGCCCAAGCCTGGGCAATGTGTCTGGAGCTCCTGAGCTGCCCAGAGAAGACCCTCTTCTTGGCCTCCCTGAAGTCATCCACAAGAAAGCAGACCAAGACATTAGACACAAACTAGGCTGCAAGAGTTGCAGGAAGGAGGCAAAGAAGGCACCATCCAACCGCCTTAGGGACTCCAGTCTGGATTTGTGTAGGGTTAATTCCACAGCCTTTTCTTCTCCCAAATATGTCCCATAAGGCAGCGGGTCCTGAGTTCTACCACTTCTGGAACAATTGTACTGGCTACCAATGAGGTACCAAGCAAAGTTCAAAACAAATAAATCATATTCTGATCATAAATGACTAATACTTTTTAATGCATGCTTTTTATGCAAATAGGCAAAAGTATGCCATTTCCCCTTCCAGAAATGCTTAATTGCTAATTCAATGGACTAAAAATCGATGATTGTTGTTGTTATTATCTATTAAATTTATACACTGCCCTTCATCAAAAGACCTGAGGACCGTTTAAAACATAGAACACATAAAAGGTAGAACAATTATGCACCACCTCCTATTCCTTTAGTCGGGTGACGGCCCTTCTTTTGAAGGAGGAAGTCAAATCTCCAGGATTGCTAATAGCATTATTATTATTAAATTTATATACCACACTATATGCACAGGCCTCGGGGCAGTTCACAGAATAAAATCAGAATATAAAACCACAAAATACGGTAATCAAAATAAAAACAAAAACAAGTCAATAACCTCCCCAACACATTTCAGAAGGGCACTGGATGTCAATCAGCCAAAGGTCTGGTTCGAGAGGAACGTTTTCTCCTGGTGCCTAAATGTCAGGGACTGGGCAAAGAAGGAATGGTGGAGACCGCCTCCCCAGCCTGACTCTTCCAGGGAGGAGGAGGAGGAAGAAGAAGACAGTTTACATTTACAACAGGAGTTTGAGGGAGGTCATAGCTCAGAGGCAGATGAGGGGGAAAGTTGGGAAATAATGGGAGAGGAGGAAGAGGAGGAGGAGGAAGCAGCAGCAGGGTGGTGACAACTGACTGACACAATGTATTTAGAAAGCATTCCAGACCCTCCATCTCCCAGAACTTGGTGAGCCTTGAAAGTAGGAGAGCAAAGAGCTCAAAGACAGATTCACTCGGGGCAATGCCATTATCCAAAAGGCTGGGTTCTATAGCCTCTCTGTAAAAAATGAATGAAAAGAGGATGATAAGAAACATTCCTTTGTCTTTATTCGTTCCTGGGCAACCAGCCGGGAGTCGCTGACATCCGCCTGACACTACACAGGTGTATAATGAAGGCTCCAGGCACACCTCCCTGGAGAGACTATTCCATAGACAGGGAGCCACTGCAGAGAAGGCCCCAATCTCATGTTGCCACCCTCTGGACTTCTCGAGGAGGCGGCATATGAAGAAGGGCCTCAGAAGATGATCTTAGAGTTCAGGCAGCTTCCGATGTTCCTTTGGAGGCTTCATCAAAACTCCGCCAGATCAAAAGGGATAGAAATTTCTGCTGTATTTTTTTATATAAATAGTGAGCAATGCATGCACAGGCAGGAAGAGGAAGGTCTGGGTCCTCCTAGGTTTCACAATACAGAGGGAAGGGAAAGCTGAGTGTAATAATAATAATAATTTATTATTTATACCCCGCCCATCTGGCTGGGCTTCCCCGGCCACTCTGGGCGGCTTCCAAAAGAATATTAAAATACTATAATACATCAAACATTGTAGTCGGACACATGCTATAGACTCCCAGAATGCCAATTTCAAAAAGCTGAAGGAGCTACGGGGTGAGATCCAATGGTCAGAAAGACTCCAAGAGAAGAGAGTCCAGGATGGATGGCAGTTTCCCCAAGGAGAAATATGAAAGGCACAAACGCAGACAATTTCAGCAACAAAGAAAAGTGGGAGGCATCTCAGGGGAGTCACAGAACCACTCTAGTCTGCCTTGGTCAGACCACACCTGGAATACAGTGGTACCTCGGGTTACATACGCTTCAGGTTACATACACTTCAGGTTACACACTCCGCTAACCCAGAAATAATACTTCAGGTTAAGAACTTTGCTTCAGGATGAGAACAGAAATCTTGCTCCGGCAGCACGGCAGCAGCAGGAGGCCCCATTAGCTAAAGTGGTTCTTCAGGTTAAGAACAGTTTCAGGTTAAGAACGGACCTCTGGAACGAATTAAGTACTAGACCCGAGGTACCACTGTACTGTGTTCAGTTCTGGGTGCCACAATTTAAGTATCTTAAATGCAACTAAAAATCAACAGGGACATTTCATCTTCACTCCCAGGAGAGGCAGGAACAGCGTGTCCTACTCCACCCTCAGCTGTGATCTAGCTGAATGGGAGACATGAGAGACAGCTAGTTTTCTCCTGCTCCCCAGGGTAGGACCGAAACCCATGGCTTCAAGTGGCAAGAAAAAGGTTCTGACTCAACAGCTGGAAAATCTTTCTGAAGGTAAGAAGGTGGTGGAACTCTTCTTCCTTGGAGTTTCAGAGCAGAGGCCATCTGTCAGGGATGCTTTTGCAGATTCCTGCCCTGCAGGGGGTTGGACTAGATGACCCTAGGACTCCCTTCTATCGCTCCCATTCCTGGATTCTAGGATGAGGTTCCTTGCATCCTGCAAACCCCTTTTCCCTGCAACCTCTTCCTCCAGTTTCTGGCCAAGGGAGGGAGCAGATCACAGACCAACCAAGAGCGTCCCCTCAAAATGAGCATCTCTGGGATTGTGCAATGCAGGAGAGAAAAGGCAGAGAGGACTCAGCAGGGTGGACTTGGCTTTGCAAGGGTTAAAGGAAACTGAGCTGCATTCCTAGAGAGGACAGGAAGTAAAAGGGGGGCCAGGTCCTCCAGAGGAAAAGCCCCAACCTCCCCTTCCTGCAAGTGTGTGTGTGTGGGGGGGGGGGTTGCTTTCCTCTGCTGCAGATGCTGCCTTGCTCTCTTCCACGGGGATCTGGTGAGTCTCTTCTTCCTCCCCCCCCCCAGGGCGCAGTGGGGAGAAGGTGGGGGTCCCAGGGATGCAGGGGAGGGTGGCTCATGTGTGGGGGGGGACCCCGGGAGCAGGGGGTCCTGCCAGGGAGGGGCGAAATCGCACGAGGTCCGCAACTACAGTGCTGTGTATTCTGCATTTGTATAAAGACGCTGCTTACTCCTTTGGGAAGGGCAATCCTCTCTTGGGATCTGGTGAGTCTCCTCTCTCCCCCCCCCCCCCAGGAGGGTGCAGTGGGGAGAAGGTGGGGGTCCCAGGGCTGCAGGAGGGGAGGGTGGCTCCTGCGGGGAGGTTTAAAACGGCCCCACGTGCAATTTGGAAAAATCCATCTGTTGCAAAGCCAACCCCCCCCCCCATGCAAAGCGCCTGCCTGCTGCTCGGCTTACTCTCCCCTGGAGCAACGCTCCGCCAACGAAGTTTAGAGGCGGGCTGCGATTGGTCGGTTGCTTCCCTTGGGCGGTGCTGCTTTTGCTGCGATTGGTCGCTTGGCCGGTGGGAGGGGCCTGCCCGGGTCATCCTGCACTCCAGCAGGATCTCTGAAGGCTCTGCGCAGCAGCGCCTGCCAAGTCGCAAGGCGTGCCAGGTCACTTACTCCCGAGTAAGCCCGCTTAGGCTGAGCTAAAAGCACGTGGCTCCAGAGGCGAAGAAGGTCAGGTGGTACCCTGTGCGGAAAATTTCTTGCCACCCCTCCCATTGATTTTTTTCATTTTATTTTTTGCCTGCAAAAATGGTTTTGCGTTATTTCATATTTTCTTACAAAGGAATGTCGATTCTGGGCCTCTGATAACAAGCAGGCAACTATGGACAGATACTTAAATCTACAGGATGAATTGTGTTATTTTATTTATATTTATTGTTTATTTAGTAAAATTTATTTTTAAAAACCTGCAAAGTGGTTTACCAAAACAAAAAGCAAGCAAAAAAACCACAGCAGTAAAATCAAGAAAAATCAACAATCCTACTTTAAAACATACAAAAGCTAAGAAATTAAAACAGATTAAATTTACTTCAACTTCCTAAGCATCTACGTATGCTTGCCTAAAGAAGAATGCTTTTAGCAGGTGCCCGAAAAGAGTCTAGCAAAGGCACGAGCTTTGTTGCAATAGGCGGGGAGTTCCAAAGTGCAGGTGCTGTCGCAGTAAACAATGCAGTACAGATATTATGCGGAACCTGTAGTAGTGCTTGAAACTACTGAAGGGGAGGTTTTATTTATTGTGATTTCACCATGCTCTGTATTATCTGAAAAGGAAAATATTTATTTAAAAAACAGGACTGCACAGCAGCAATCTAGTCCCATCTTGATCAGTGGGACTTATTCGCGAGCCTACGGTGCGTAAGATTCGCTGCAATCCTATGCACCCCTTGCATCCAACTTCTGCCTAAAACTCTGCACAAGCCTGCACCAGAGAATTGTAGAGTTGGAAGGGACCCCTGAGGGTCATCTAGCCAAACCTCTGCGGCAATGCAGGAATCTCAACTAGACCATCCCTGACCCATGGCCATCAGTCTTCTGTTTTCCCCCTCAGCCAGGATACACAACTGGAGGTGGGGGAAAAGATAAATTCTGACAATGAGGCAGATTTGTCAGGCGTGCGCAGGAACAGCTTGAAGACTTTACACAGAGAGGAACCCCACAGGGGTTTCCCCACATGTAACGTAACAGGCAGGGACATTGCGAGAAGGACACAAGAGTACCAAAGTCAGCCCATTTTATCCTCTTTGGCATGGTGGCACTAGGGCTCTGGGACCACTCTCCCCCAAATATCTCCTTGTCTTCAATGCATTAAAGGTAAAGGGACCCCTGACCATTAGGTCCAGTCATGGCTGACTCTGGGGTTGCGGCGCTCATCTCGCTTTACTGGCCGAGGGAGCCGGCGTACAGCTTCCAGGTCATGTGGCCAGCATGACTGAGCCGCTTCTGGCAAACCAGAGCAGCGCACGGAAACGCCGTTTACCTTCCCGCCGGAGCAGTACCTATTTATCTACTTGCACTTTGACGTGCTTTCGAACTGCTAGGTTGGCAGGAGCAAGGACCGAACAACAGGAGCTCACCCCGTCGCGGGGATTCGAACCGCCAACCTTCTGATCAGCAAGTCCTAGGCTCTGTGGTTTAACCCACTGTTATTCTATAGTACAGATCCTTTTTAAATTAAACACTTTCTCTAAAATTAAAACAGCAGAAGTAATCAGTAGCATAGATATCAAAGGAAAGTCAAGAGAATACAGTGGTACCTCGGGTTAAGTACTTAATTCGTTCCAGAGGTCCATTCTTAACCTGAAACTGTTCTTAACCTGAAGCACCACTTTAGCTAATGGGGCTCTGCTGCTGCCGCGTCACCAGAGCACGATTTCTGTTCTCATCCTGAAGCAAAGTTCTTAACCCGAGGTAATATTTCTGGGTTAGTGGAGTCTGTAACCTGAAGCGTATGTAACCTGAACCGTATGTAACCTGAAGTGTATGTTACCCAAGGTACCACTGTAGTCCCTGATAGATACAAGGGAGACACAGATACACAAGCACACAGAAGTAAATAATCCATCCTTGGGGAGAGGGGTGGGAATGTACAGTTTGCTGTACTTAGCCTCGAGATGGGAGACTGAAAGGGCTTAAAAAACTGAAAAATAAAAGTCTTGTGTCTAGGAATCTTTTTCTGCAAAAGCATCAGACTGGTTGTCAAAAGTGTGAACTTCATTAATAGACCCTATTTCAAGGAATTGGTCAATTAGCCATAGAATAGGTTTGCTGATTTTTTCCTCATCTCCTTTCACTTCCACAACTGCTTTTGGGGGGTCCTAGCTTCATGAAGGGAAGACTGGGGGCAAAGGGGAGACCGGCCGGCCGAGCGCCCAGGGCAGCACTGAGCTGCTCCTCCTGGTGCCACGCGTGGACAAAACAGGGCGGCAGCGCTGCCACTGTCCCACGCGCTCCACTTTCAGGGGCAGCAGAGGCCTTTTCGGAGGAGGGTTGGGGCCCCAAGGGGGCGCCCAGGACAGGCAGCGGTCTTGTCAGGCCTCCTCAGCAGCCCGGAAAGTCGGCCTAGGTGAAGAAAACGAGACTAGGCGAATTAGTTTCAGCCTTGCCTTGCCTTCGCCCCGCCCCCAACCCAGCTGGCCAATCGGCTGCGGGCAGGGGCGGGGCAAAGGTAAGGAAAGGCCGAAACTACTTGGCCTGGTCTCATTTTCTTCACACAGGCCGACTTTCCAGGACCCGGGAAGCCCAGCGGAGTATAGGGCAGCAGGATGGATCATAAAAAACTCTTTTGTGCGTGAAAATGCCTGCTCCAAAGGTGTTACTAAACTAGGGATTATGTAGCTATATCTGAAATTTCGTGCCTATCAGTTAATAGCTTGACCCTGCTCCACTGAATTGAAATTTCAGCCTTCACAACATGGGGAAACGGCCAAGTAAACAGCTGTTTTCGTGGAGGAGGGTCAAGATCTTAACTGATATGCATGAAATTTCATATATAGCTATATAATCTCTAGAGTAGTAAGATAAGACCTTTGGAGCAGGCATTTTCAAAAAAAAGTTTTTTATGAACCGCCCTAGTAGGGCAGTAATTTTTCCTTGATAATTTGTCACCCCCCCTCCATGATGGCACCAGGGGTGGCCTGCCCCTGCATGGCTCTCTTAATAAGGGCTCACGGGGGGGAGTTGAAGGCAGGCAAAGAGATTCGCTTTTACTGCGTCCCGTCTTCTTGCTCCCTCCCAGTTAGGGAGAGAGCCTCCCTGCTCAGGTTTCTCAGCAGGCGGGCGTTGCAAGAGGTCTGACTGGAGCAGGAACTCTGCGGGGCAAGTCCTGCGTGGAGAGGAGTGCGGACAGAGAGGAAAGGCGGGTGGAAGGGGCAGGAAAAGAGCACTCGCTCGTGAAGTTTGTGCGTTTCTCCTCTGAGGGTATCTCGGTTGGGAAGGGGCGGCCAGGAGTGGGGCAGCAGGAGGCAACTCCGGGGCCGTGTATGTTAGGATATTTCCGTTCCACCTTAAAAGGGAGCAGGCTTTGTGAGTCACAGAGTCTGCGTATTTCCTGTTCACAGGAAGTTTATGTTTTGTCTTTGCTTTCGTTTCTCTCTCTGTGCCGAGACACTGAAGCTGGCAGTCATGTTTTCTTTGTTCTGACCAACGCTGAATAAAATTGTAAATAATACTCTCCTGCGTGCATCTTTCGCTGTGCATTATCTGCTGATAGAGCGTGCACCAGTTCTGGAATGTGGCAGGCTATTTCTGGAGCTCGTGTCGCTAATTGCTGATACTGTATCTACGGGAGATCGATGGATCGTCCGGAGGCGACTTGTGGGGCCATGATGGACTCTGTCTCCCTGGCAGTATCCCAACAGTGTATTCTTGCTTGAAAGGATCTTGAGCACCCAAAGCTCTCCCTCTCCCAGGGCTGAGCTTGGTGAGGGTCTTCACATTCTTCTAAAAACTGCTTAACAAAGCATCTTTCTATTCACCAGATGCTGTTTAAACTGAATTCCACAGCCCTCTACTTACATCTGGTGGTGAGTTTCTTGGCTTGTCCCAGCCCCCCCCCCTTTCCAGTCTGGAGCTGCGCTAGGTGCTTTTAAAATGTGTGGCGGAAGGGGGTGGGATGATTGAGTTGCTCTTGTTTTTATTTCTATTTTCATTATGTGTTATGTGTTTTTATATTATGTTTTCATGCTGTGAAACACCCAGTCGTGTGCATATTTATAGCATTCAGCTGTTCTTTCCTGCCCCGTGTGTGTGTGTATTCACACACATACACACATCTACTCATATCTTCCTTCCTTTCAGAAGTTTGAAAGCCATTGTGATGTAGTGGTTAGAGGCCTGGGGGAGAACCAGCTCCAAATTGCCACTCTTACTTAAAACTCACTGCTGTGGTTTAGGGGGAAGCCACTTTTCCCCAGCCTAACCCACCTCACAGGGCTGTTGTGAGAGTTAAAGTGAGGGCAGAGGAGAAGAACCACGTAAGGAGCCTTGAGCTCCTTGGAGACAGGTGGGACAAAAACGGAATGATGGGTGGATGGATAATGCTGGGATAACGGTCTATGTTTCATAACCCCATCTTCCGGACCATGAAGTCCCATGGATTTATGAAAGCCTACATTTGCATAGCTTTCAAACTTGTGAGTTCAAGAGCTATTTCCTTATATGTAATTTGGGGGCTGCAGCTGTTTGGTGCAATAGGTGCCAGCACACGGTACCTTTGGATGTTCTAACACAGATAACATCTGGTTTCGTTGTGCTGTCAGGGAAGTATTAGGTACAGTCCTATCCATGCAGAAAATGCTGAGCTTTTCATGCTCTGCTATGAACTTTAACAAGAACTGTGTGAGGACAAGACTAAGTGACTCACCTGTGTGACATTTTGCGAATCAAAACCACTGCCTTTGAACCAGATCTAGCCTACGTGCTGCAGTCCAGATCTCAATTTCACCCTTCACATTAGTGCAGGCAAGTTCCCCCCCCCTCAATTTTCATCTGACCTTCAGATATGAAAGGCAGAGTGATTTAACACCTGTTTAGATTTGTCGTCCATGTGATGCAATGAAAAGTATGTTGTTTGCAATAAACTTTGCATAAAATAGTTAATTTGCATTTAATTTTGATGGTTCAAAGAACGTCAGGCAAAATGGTCAGCCCTCACACATGTTCACTTCATCAAATTTAGCCCTCTTTGAAAAACGTTTGGACACCCCTGCTCTATTGCAAATGCTGCATTGCACAGGAATCTGGTGAGTCTCTTCTTCCTCCCCCCAGAGGGTGAAGTGGGGAGGTGGGGGTCCCAGGGCTGTAGGGGTCCCACCCCAGTAACGCCCTTCTCCTGCATTCAATTGTCTGAAGATTTGGCATGGTACCTTCCTGGGCAGAGTCTGGGCTGTGGTACAGTCCTATCCTGGTTCTTAGCAAGACTCATACACACTTGCTCAGGGAACCATTTCTTCTCCTTATTGTGTATCAGCATTATAACAGACCAATGTATTTGCTGTTTAGGATTTGCTAGCTCCTCTCATTAGCACAGACATAACTTGGCAGAAAACCAAAGGGTTCCTTCTGATCTTTCAGAGGCTTCCTGAGAGCATAGATGGATGAGCAAGACTCAGTTGGCTCTGAAGCAGAAAGAGGCCATGTCATCCAAACTGGGAACAGTGGGGGATTCTGGGAAAACTCTGTGCAGAAGATCCTGGGTGAGGAGGACACCCTCTGCTCAGAGGTGCAGAGCCAGCAGGTGAGGCAGTTCTGCTGCCAGGAGGCCAAAGGACCCCAAGAGATTTGCAGCCAACTCTACCACTTTGACTGTCAGTGGCTGAAGCCAGAAAGGAACACAAAAGCTGAGATGCTGGACCTGGTGATTCTGGAGCAGTTCCTAGCTGTCCTTCCACCGGAGATGGAGAGCTGGGTGAAGGACTGTCGAGCAGAGACCAGTTCCCAGGTGGTGGCCCTGGCCGAAGGTTTCCTCCTGAGTCAGGCAGAGGAGAGAAAGCAGGAAGAGAGAAAGCAGGTGAGAGAGACTTTCCTCAAGATACTTCCAAGGGGCTCCAAAAAGGATGGAGAACATCCAAAAATGCTCTCCTCATGGCCCATTCTTTTTCTGGGAAGACATCCATGCAATGAGATCTAACACCCTTAATAATTTTGGCTTTGTCATTCTCTGTTAATATTTCTCACCATTCATTCACAGTTTTGAATCCTTGTTGCTCTTTCAGGAAAAGGATCTCTTTGAAGAAATGAACACAGATTCCTGTGAGACAGAGAGGCCTCCGTTTGGTGTCCAAGGGAGGCTACTGGGTAAGGAGGAAAGTGGTTTTTCTCCATTTGGTCCCATTCCTTTGGTTTTCTAAATCATCTATGGGGTGCTTTCATCTTTTGTTGGGGGAGATAGTTGGGACCAAGAGCCCAAGAGTAGGGGAGATATATTTTTTCTCACAACTAACATCTGAAATTCGCCCAAACATCCAAATGCACTCAGCAGGCAAAGCGTTCTAAAAGTCCCATTTGTTGTTGCAGATGCACTGCACTCTGGGCATCCAACTTTTTTTTCTCTGGCAGGTGACAGAACGATGATGGCAAGACCTCTTCATCCATCTCTGAATGGGGACAGAATGGAAGCAGCGGCTGTGGAACCAGATCGGGTCAGGGGAAGCTGCCTTGTGGGGACAGAGGCCAAGGGGTGGAACTAGCTCAAGGAGTGGTGGTGAACAACAGTGTTGTTTCAGAGGAGGACATTTCCCTTTTTCTTTTAGGGTCCAGTGTGCTTTGAAGATATTGCTGTTTGTTTCACGGATGAGGAGTGGGAGTTGCTGGATCCTGACCAGAGAGCTCTGCATAAGGAGGTCATGGAGGAGAATCGTGGGATCTTGGCCTCTCTTGGTAAGGCTCCTTGTGGGATCATAATATCTGTTTTTAAATTCAAAACGGCTCTCTATGTTGAACCTCATATATATTCACAGAACTCAACAGTGCCCCCTTAAAACATCTGGGATTACAATAGTCCCACAATAAACCTTGAACAGTAAATTACTTTTCTTCTTCTTCTTCTGTGAATGTTCTTCCTCCACCTTCTTAAACAAGGATCAGCCTGGCTGAACTGTTCAGGCCATTTTAACTGCAAACTTCAGAGTTGTTAGGGAAGTTGAAGTAGCTTCTGTCAAGTTTTCAGTTTTGGTTTTCCTTCTGTCAGTCTTTGGTTGACCAAGGAGAAAACTTGCATTGGAAATGGAGGGGATTCCATGATTTAGCCAAGCAAAATCCATTTGAGGGAATAGCCAGGCTTTTTGCATCACAGATTGCACTAAGGGTGTCAGTGGATTCCTGTTAATAAATGCACCCAACCCTTTAGTAAAACCATCGATCTAACCCACTTGTGTTATGTTGGGATTTTTTTGCCTACGTGCTATTTGATGCAGCTTCTCACAAAGCAATTAAGAAGTTGGCTGAAGGCCAAGAAGACTGAGCAGAGGGAGTTGTTCTGCCTACAGATATGGGGCCTTGGATACAGTTCTGCTATTGGTTGAGGTCTCTACTTAGGCATGATGACTCATGACCTTCCTTGGTTGGTTGGTTAGTTGGTTGAACAGTGTGTGTTCTGAGAGTCGTTTGGAGTTTGTTAAGTGAGAGAGTTAAGATCTGTATCCTGTATATAGTAACTTGTGAATCTGCTTTAATAATAAACACCTATAAGTAACCAAGTTACTGGTAGCAGCGTCTTGTTCCTGCTTCATCCTACATGCCTGCAACTGATTGCTTCTGGAAGTCTGCATATGCACTGCTATATTCAACTTGGTCTGGCTAAGATCCTGCAACAGGTTAAGGTTGCGAAACTTCAATATGTTATTCCTCTAATACCAGTGTTTACAAGTTCTAGATTCAGGTAGGTAGCCGTGTTGGTCTGACACAGTCGAATTATTTTAAAAATTGTAAAGTAGCACCTTAGAGACTAACGAAGTTTGTTCTTCATATAAGATTTTGTGTGAATGCACCATTAATTTCTCCCTGAGGCTATAATCCATTTCTCTCCTCATTGCAGCTAGTGATGGACTGAAAATGAAGAACAAGGGTGACCATGACAAAATCCCCACAATGGAGCCGTATAAATATATTGAAAGTGGAAAAAGTTCCCATTCCACTTCCCATCCAAGAAATCTCCCTGGGAAGAAACCATATCAGGGTGTGGAATGTGGAAAGAGCTTCTGTCAAAGTGACCATCTCACTTCCCATGAAATAATTCATACAGGGGAGAAACCCTATCAGTGTGTGGAATGTGGAAATAGCTTCAGTAAGAAGGACAGTCTCACTTCCCATCAAAGAATTCATACAGGGGAGAAACCCTATCAGTGCTTAGAATGTGGAAAGAGCTTTAGTAAGAGCAAGCATCTCACTTCCCATCAAATAATTCATACAGGGGAGAGACCGTATCAGTGTGTTGAATGTGGAAAGAACTTCCGTCGGAGCACCGATCTCATTTCCCATCAAAGAATTCATACAGAGGAGAAACCCTATCAGTGTGTGGAATGTGGAAAGAGATTCCGTTGGAGCACTGATCTCACTACCCATCAAAGAATTCATACAGGGGAGAAACCCTATCAATGTGTGGAATGTGGAAAGAGCTTCAGTAGGAGCTCCTCTCTTACTTCCCATCAAAGAATTCATACAGGGGAGAAACCCTATCAGTGTGTGGAATGTGGAAAGAGCTTTAGTCATAGTTCCCATCTCTATACCCATCAAAGAATTCATACAGGGGAGAAACCCTATCAGTGTGTGGAATGTGGAAAGAGCTTTAGTCATAGTTCCCATCTCTATAACCATCAAAGAATTCATACAGGGGAGAAACCCTATCAGTGCGTGGAATGTGGAAAGAGCTTCAGTCAGAGCGGCGGTCTCACTTCCCATCAAAGAGTTCATAAAGGGGAGAAACCCTTTCAGTGCGTGGAATGTGGAAAGAGCTTCAGTCATAGTTCCCATCTCTATACCCATCAAAGAATTCATACAGGGGAGAAACCCTATCAGTGTGTGGAATGTGGAAAGAGCTTCACTGATAGCTCCTCTCTCACTTCCCATCAAAGTATTCATACGAAGTGTGGGAAAACACAGGTAGAACAGGTTAACGCCATGTACTGGTAGGATGTGAAATCATATTCTGCCTTTAAGAAAAGAATAAAGTGACATTTATAGGGACAAATAAGGAACGTCAGATGTTAAAAATAAAAAGTTAAAACAAATAGAATATGGCTACAAAAAAAGAAGTGTTAACAGTGGTGATAACAACACAAGCTCAACAGAGAAGGTCCATGCAGGATCCTGAACCTATAATGTTAATTGCAGAAATGCTGGCTGAAATAAAGAGAGACTTAAAAGATAATTCAAAAAATTTAGACTGTATAGAAACTAAGATAGAGCAAAACATGAAATCAGTGGGAGTCTTGTTGGGCCAAATTGGTGACTTAGGGAAAATAGTCCAAGAGTTAAACATCAAGACAAAAGGCTTAGAAGGCACTTTGAAAAAAACCACAAACAGAGGTTAAAGAACTTCAGTTGAAGAGAGGCCAAGAGAAGACAAAGCTGGAAGCGGCAGAATTGAGTAAATTACAGGAAGTGACCTGGGACTCTATGGCGGTAATGGAAATGCATCAGAAGCAATTAAATTTGAAATTTGGGGGATCCCTGAAACAAAGGGAGAGGATATTAGAAAGAAAATCATAGAAACACTCGCAAACTGGTTACAGATACATGAAGAAGCAATTTTTACAATTGACAAGCAGAATTAAATCAAGCTTCACAAAAGCCAAAAAAATGGCCAGGTGACTGTTTAGTGACTTTTAATTCAAGAGGAATGAAAGAGAAAATATTACAGGTGAATGTGAAAAAAAGATTACATTTTGGAGATGAAAATATACTTTTGAAGGAGATCCCAGTGAGATTGCTGGGAAAAAAGAAGCAGTTACAAATTCCTGGCTGATGCACTGAGAAACAATAAAGTACCTTACAGATGGGAATTACTGGAGGGGGGTTTCATTTTCATATACAGTGGTACCTCGAGTTACAAATGCTTAAGGTTACAAACTCTGCTAACCTGAAAGAGTTACCTTGAGTTGAGAACTTTGCCCCAGGATGAGAATGGAAATTGTTTGACGGCAGCGCGGCAGCAGCAAGAGGCCCCATTAGCAAAAGCAAGCCTTTAGTTAAGAACAGTTTCAATACTGGAATATAATTTATCTAAAACCCAGGGAAGTATGAGGAGATGGTATCTTAATATATGATTTTTAAATGAAAATGAAAAACATTTCAATATATAACCCAAGAAACGCAAATATATTTTTAAAACAACTCCAAATCTTCAACATCAAGACCGATGGAATGGGAAGGATATAAAACTTACATCAGAGGGAATATTATATCCTTCTCGGCCAACAAGGCCAAGCTGCAAAGATTAAAAGAAAATAATCTAAACATTTCTTTAAAAACACTATGGGGCGATATGGCAAAAAACTCATCTAAGGTTACATATGAAAGAATACAACAACAAACATTAGAACTGAATAATATACTAGCTCAAAAAATTGAGTTCAGACTACTAAGTCGAAGACAAATATATTGGGAACAGGGAGAAAGACTGACAAAAATTCTAGCTAATCGTCTGAAACGAAAGCGAACCAAATAATACCTTTAAACAGAAATGAAAATAACATCGCTACAGATAATATCAGATTAACAATAGATTTGATAAATTTAAACAAAGATTAAGAGGAGTTTATGATATTGTCATTAGATGCAGAAAAGGCTTTTGACAGAATATATAAAGAATTCATAGGGTTTGTGTTACGTAAATTTTGTTTCCCTATAGAATACTGTAATTGGATTAAAATGATTTATAAAAACCCGTCCCGGATTGTTACAAATGGAAGAATTTTGAATTTGATTAGTTTAAATAGAGGAATGAGACAAGGATGTCCTCTTTCTCATTATTATTTAATCTCTGCCTGGAACCATTAACAAGAGCAATAATTCAGGATGAGCATATCAAGGGTGTAAAGCACAACAAAGATAATTACAAATTTGTATTATTTGCGGACGGTATCCTTTTATTTATTACAAAACTAGAAGATAGAATTCCGAAAATTATGGAGAAAATAAAAACCTTTGGCAGAATATCGGGATATTCCATAAATTGGACAAAATCAGAGATTTTACTCATAGGGCCAAGGGCTACATTGTATAGAAACCATCAGTTTCGGATGTGCAAAGACTTTATTAAATACTTGGGTACAATGATTTCATTAGATATAGATCAAATTGTAAAATTAAATTTGAATAAAAATATAAATAAAATTTCTTTTGATATTGAAAGGTGGGGACCTCTAAACCTCTCCTTTTGGGAAAAGGTTAAAAGTCCTCAAAACTGCCCTGTCCGCTTATCCATCTCTTCGTATTCCATCAACTTTCAACTTAATTTGCCGCTCCCTCTTCATTGGAATTTGGTTTCCTTTCCAGTTTTGTGCTAACAATATTCTCGCTGCTGTGGTGGCGCACATAAAGTAACTTCTTCAGATCTTGGGGGATCTCATCCCCAAGGATTCCTAAGAGAAAAGCTTATGGCTTTTTAGGAAATGTTAATTTAAATATATTTTTTAATTCATTGTAAATTGTATCCCAGAATTCTCTCTCTTTTTTTTTTACACTCCATGCACAATACATTGTCCCGACTGCTATGTTACATTTCCAACACAAATATGAATTATTTTTATACATCATTGCCATTTTATTAGGTGTTACATACCAGCATTAAAGATTTTCATATAATTTTCTTTGAGGGTATAGCATGCTGTGAATTTGAGATCTTCCTTCCACAGCTTCCCCCATGCTGAAAGTATACAGGATGAAAGCATGGCTTTCTCAAAAACAAGGAAAGCCAGGGAAATATCTCCTCCCCTTTTTTTGGATGGAGTTACAAACTTTGTTGATCAGGGTACTGCTGTGAAAATACTGCATCTCGATTTCAGTAAGGCTTTTGACAAAGTCCCCCGTGATATGAGGAAGCTGGTAAAATGAGGCTGAGTGAGGTAACTGGTGGATTTGACTGACCGAACCCCAAGAGGACTCCTTCATGGTTCCTCCTCATCCTGGGGAAAAGTGACAAGAGGGGTGTTGCAGGGTTCTGTCCTGGGCCTGTTGTTGTTCAACGTCTTTATAAATGACTTGGATGAAGGAACTGAGGGGATGCTCATCACATTTGCAGACGACACCAAAAGGGGAGCGGAGGCCAATGTCACGGAAGGCAGAATCCGATCAAGGGCAGGAATATTACCACTTTATTCTGCCATGGTCACGCCCCACCTAGAATACTGTGTTCAGTTCTGGGCTCCGCAATTTAAGTATATTAAATTTTGTTTGCCAGGGGAAATCAAGAAGGTGGGGGAACATAATCCATATTCCTTTTATAATACTTGGCCAATGTTTATTAAATACATGAATTGTTAAGACTGTTGCAAGAATCCACCCAGCACTAATGGCAAAATGAATCATGATCTTTTAGAATAATCAAATGAAACTTTAACACATGGCAGGATGAAAGTCTTCAATTTCACCAGGACAAGTTATTTGTTGTTTACTGTTGGTCATTGCTTTCTTTAAAATTATCTTTTGTACTGTGAAAATAAAAGCAATACAGTGGTATCTCCGGTTGCGCACGGGTTCTGTTCCGGAGCTCTGGTCGGATCCCGAGGTCTCCTCAACCGCAGGTGCCTGTTTTGCACATGTGCTTATGCGTAGAGTGCTTATGCGCATATGCGCGGGACGAAACCCAGAAATACACTCCTGGGTTTGCCGCGTGCGTATCCCAAAGGATAGGTAACAAGGGGAGCATAAGTAGAGGTACCACTGTATTATTATTTTTTTATAAGAAAGGTGGGGAAATCATGCCATTAATCTGCTTGCATGTGTTGAGTGTTATTTGGAGACTGTAACTCCCAGTAATTTACCATTACAGTGGCACCCTAAGTTACAAACGCCTCAGGTTACAAACGCCTCAGGTTACAAACGCTTCGGTTACAAACTCTGCTAACCTGGAGGAGTTACTTTGAGTTGAGCAGTTTGTCCCAGGATGAGAATGGAAATCGTGTGCTGGCGGTGCAGCGGCAGCAAGAGGCCCGATTAGCGAAAGCACGTCTCTGGTTAAGAACAGTCTCAGGTTAAGAACAGACCTCCGGAATGAATTAAGTTTGTAACCAGAGGTACCACTGTGTTTCTGTGTGTTCAGCACACATGATTACAGGTGAGACGGAATAAAACTCTTCCTAGGAAATTCCCTTTGACTGCTTCTGTATTGTTTCAAATGTGACTTCACTTACAGATAAGAACAAATAATATTTATTGCTGACAAATCATACCATCGTCAGCTCATGAATTTCCACTCCAACAAACCCAGCGCTTAGCATGAGCAGCTGCTTTCTTCCCATTTCTTAGGTGGAAAGAACTGATAATGAAAAGGAAGAAGGGACATAGACCCTTTCCCTCAACCTTTGGGGATCGGGGGGGGGGGGGGGGCTTCATTTCACCCCTTAGTCCTGCTCCTGAAAGCTTGGCAAATGTGGAGTTTTTGCTCACACACGGCCATCACATAAAAATTAATCTTCTTTTAAAATGGGATTGCAGCGCTAAAAAGGCTCAAGAAAGCAATTCCTGTAGTATTTGGCATCTTAGCGAGCCCAGTGCCACTCTGCCAACTGTCTCACTCCCAGCTAACTAATCTGGAAAGCTGTCTTGTCATCTCTGTCTGTAAAGACTTCCGTGTCCTTTGAATTCACAATTAAGCATTTCTGGAAAGGGAAATGATACAATTTTGTATATTAGCATAACAAGCATGCATAAGAATTATTAGACAGAAAAAGCATGCACAAGAAAGTATTACTCATTTATGACGAGAATAGGATTTATTTATTTTGAACTTTGCTTGGTTCCTCCTTGGTAGCCAGTGCGATTGTTTCAGCAGGGCTAGAACTCAGGACCCGCTGCCTTGAGGGCCATCTAAGAGCAGTTGGGCAGGGAAAGGTCTCCCTTGGGAGGTGGTGGACTCTCCTTCCGTGGAGGTTTCTAAGCACAGATCGGACGGCCATCTGCCACGGATGCTTTAGCTGAGATTCCTGCATTGCTGGGGGTTGTAATAATAATAATAATAATAATAATAATAATAATTTATTATTTACACCCTGCGCATCTGGCTGGGCTTCCCCAGCCACTCTGGGCGGCTTCCAATCAAACACTAAAATACAATAACCTATTAAACATTAAAAGCTTCCCTAAACAGGGCTGCCTGTTTAGGGAACTAGACCCGGCCCCCTCTTGCTTCTGGTTGGACTAGATGACCCTGGGATCCCCTCCTATCTCGCCACTCCTGAATTCTAGGAGGAGCTTCCTTGCCTCCTGCAAAGCCCTTTTCCCTGCAAGCTCTTCCTCTGGTTTCTGGCCAAGGGAGCGAGATGCTCAGAGTCCAACCAAGAGCCTCACCCCCAAAAGGATATCTGGGCATTGGCGCAGCCAGGGGGGGCGGCAGCTGCCCCCCTAAATCAATAACAAATAAGAAGAATCTGAGGTTCTGCCAAGCGAGAGAGGGCTGAGCTGGAGGGACTCGGCTTGGCAAGGGTTAAAGGGAAGTGAGCTGCCTTCCTAGAGAGGACAGGAAGCAAGGGGGGGCCAGGTCCTCCCGAGCCAAGGCCCCTCCCTCCCAGTCCTTTCCTGCAAGAAAGGGGGTGGGGTTGTTCCTTTGTGTCTCTGCTGCAAGGGCTGCCTCGCTGCCCCCTCCTGGGATCTGGTGAGTCTCCTCTCTCTCTGGGATCTGGTGGGGGTCCCAGGGCTGCAGCAGGGGAGGGGGCCTGGGGGCCTGATCTGCTCCTGCCGGGGGGGGACCCCAAGCCAGGGAGGAGAGGGTCCTGCCAGGGAGGGGCCAGGTCTGCCACGCTCTCCTTCCTGCAGATCAGAGGATCCAAACTCATTTGACCTCCTCCACTTCAGAAAGATCTCCCTTCTTTAAACAAAGGAGTCCCTGGGACTTTAACTCTGTGTGACATCGCTCAGCGTCATTGCACAACAGAGGAAACATCTGCAAATGGTTTTCCAAAGCTGGACGAGGAGGTGGACTAGCCCCCCCCCCAAAAAAAAGGTGGGAGAGAAAGGCCAGGAATAAAGAGAGGGATCCCAGCCCAGAGTCTGGCTGCTGCATTGGGGACCAGTTTCCCAGTGTCTCCCAGGGCAGCTCCCCACAGAGGCCACTGCAGCAATCCCCTCGCACCCAGAGCATGGCATCCCAGGACCACATCCTCTCTCTCCCAAAGGGATTGTTGCTGGAAATGGGCGCTGCTACTCACTGAGCCTCCAGGGACCTTGGCATCTATGTCTCTCTGTGTGTTAAGCTATCTAACAGAATACTAATACTAAATTACCCTCCTAAATTTCAAGGGAGGTGTCTTTGGCCCTGCCCACTTGGCCCTCGGGGGTTGGCAAGATACATTCCTGACCCTTGGAGCAAAGAAAAAGGGAGCCCACCCCAGGAGTCTGTCTGGAGAGTGGCAGAGAGTCCAAGTGCAAGAAAAGGAGACAGAAGCAGGGGAGTGGGGGTGGGGGGAGAACAACTCCTGAGGACCCCCAGGTGAGGACCCCCACTAGAGCCAAGTATCCATTTTTCACAAGATACAAATGACTCCCTTGTCAGTCAGGTCTGACTTGGAAGGCAGGAGAAACCAGCCTGATTCTTCTCCCAGAAATCCTTTCAGTTGCCTCCACATTTTGTTGTGACGTGGGGTTTGTGATTTCAGCTCTCCTGATATAACATGCTGGAGACAGTTCTCTAGTAACACTTCTTTATTAAAGCAACAAGACTGAAGACTGGGGAGAGGAAAGCTACATTTATAGGGACAGGGAACTAGCAAGAAAGGATACATTTTGGAGGGAACAATACAGTGGTGCCTCGCAAGACGAAAAGAATCCGTTCTGGGAGTCTCTTCGTCTAGCGGTTTTTTCGTCTTGCGAAGCAAGCCCATTGACGGGATTAGCGGATTAGCGCTATTAGCGGCTTTTAGCGGCTTTTAGCAGCTTTTAGCAGCTTTTAGCAGCTTATCAGCTTATCGGATAAGCAGATAAGCGGCTTAGCGACTTAGAAAAAGAGGGGGGAAAGGGAAAAAAAACCCCAGGAACTCGCAAGACATTTTCGTCTTGCGAAGCAAGCCCATAGGAGCTTCGTTTTGCGAGGCACCTCCAAAACGGAAAACTCTTTCGTCTAGCGAGTTTTCCGTCTTGCGAGGCATTCGTCTTGCGGGGCACCACTGTATCAGGCAATCACAGTCCTGCCTTTTGGAGGGAACCAATAAGACAGAGGATCCAAATACAGCAGCTTAAATGAACCAATAGTAGCTGTACCCTCTGGAACCAAAAGGCAGTTACTTTACCCTAATGCAAATACAGACAATAATAATACAGATATAAAATCCTTTGACTCAATACACAACACCCCTTCCCCCCTAGTGAGCACAGCAGACGTAATCTCTCAGGTACTGTGGGGCCTACAACTTCTACTTGATCTCCTGACAACAGGTGTTGCAGGTTCTGGATTGGGTGTTACCTGTGGTAGAGGAGCTGCTCTAGGGGTTTCGTCAGGAACAGATGGAGTCCCCGACATCTCAGGGTCCCCTATCTGTACCTCGTCATCGTGAGGACTAGCAGACCCTGGTTCATTTGTTAAAGCCCCTGGTGATTGCACCTCTGGGCCATTTTCACTCTGGTCTTGCGGCTCTGCGTCGTTAGCCTGGGATGAATTATCTGGTTCCTCCCTGCTGAGTGCCCGGCGCCTCAGCTGATCTATATGTCTCTTCCACACTTGCCCATTTTCCAAGGTCACATAATAGGACACAGGTCCACTAGCCCGGGTGACCACACCAGCCACCCACCGCGAACCTCGTGAATAGTTCCTCACCCAGACCAGATCTTCAGGGGCGAGATACCTTGTTGTGTCAGTCTCAGCCTGGGGGGTTGCTCTTGAATTATGGTTTGGCATTTTATCCGGGTGGACATAATCCAGCACCGTTACCAGTCTCCTACCCAAGAGCAGCTCAGCTGGCGACTTGCCCGTTGCGGTACACGGCGTCGCATGCTGCAAAAATAACATTCGCGCGATGCGAGCTGACCAGTTACCCTCCATTAAGCGCGCAATGGATTCTTTGGCTGTTCTTACCATGCGCTCAGCCTGCCCATTGGAGGATGGGTGAAAGGGCGCGGATGTGACCCCTCTTATGAAGTTATCAGCCAAGAATGCCCTGAATTCTTGGGATACAAAAGCTGCCCCATTATCTGATACAATGGTCTCAGGTAACCCGTGGGTTGCAAACAGCTGCCTCAACACCTTGATGACGGCAGCTGATGCCATGCTAGGGACCATCGCCACTTCTAACCATTTGGAATATGCATCAACGATAACCAAAAAGACCTTTCCTTGGAATGGCCCAGCAAAATCTAAGTGCAGCCGGCTCCAGGGAGATCTGGACTGCTCCCACCAGTGGACTGGTGCTCTGGCCACTTCTGGCCGCACCTCTTGGCATGCCTTGCATGTTCGTACCCATTGTTCTATGTTCTGGTCCATTCCAGGCCACCACACATAACATCGGGCTAGCGACTTCATCCTGACCATTCCCGGGTGTCCCATGTGAAGCGTCTCAAGAACCCTGTTTCTCAGTGGTGCTGGGATGATCACCCTATCTCCCCACAGGAGACAACCCTTATGCATGGACAACTCGTGCTGCCTAGTCGCATAAGGCCTGAATTTGTCTTCATGCGGACCACCTGGCCACCCTCCCCACCCAAGTGAGCACACGGGAGAGAACAGCATCTTTCCTCGTTTTCTCAGCTATATCAGTAGCCGTTATAGGAGCCGCCGGAAGTGTTTCCAGCAGCAGTATGTGCTCCGCTGGAGCAGGTTGCTCAGTGCTCCCGCCAGGGAGGGGCCAGCGACTCAGCGCGTCCGCGTGGCACAACCGTTTCCCGGCACATGGGTCAAGGTGTACTGGAACCCGTTCAGGAATATAGACCAACGTAACATTCTGGGGGAGAGAATTTGTGGCGTTTGTTTGTTCGGGTTGAACAACCCTAACAGTGGCTTGTGGTCCGTTTCAATGTAGAAATGGCGACCGTACACATAATCATGGAACTTTTTGATTCCTGCCACAATTGCAAGCGCCTCTTTGTCAATTTGAGCATAGTTGCGCTCCGTGGGCGACAACGTACGGGAATAGAAAGAGATGGGCTTTTCCGACCCATCCGGTTCCCTATGACTTAGCACCACCCCCAGGCCGTATTGAGAGGCATCACATGCCAGGACCAGAGGCTTTGACTCGTCATAATGAGCAAGGACACTCCTGCTACTCAGCATTCCTCGCAAGGAGTCAAAAGCCTTCTGCTGCCCCTGCCCCCATCGCCACACAGTCTTTTCTGCAACAGTCTATGTAATGGTTCAGCTACCGAAGCTTTCTGGGGTAAGAACGAATGATAAAAGTTAATAAGTCCCAGGAATGACTGCAACTCCGTCTTGTTCTGTGGTCGTGGCGCCTCGATGATGGCCTTAATCTTAGCATCTGTGGGGTGGATGCCTGATGCATCAATTTTAAACCCCAAGAAATCCACAGTTGGCACCCCAAAACTGCATTTTTCCTTTTTCAGTTGCAACCCCACCTCCTTGAACTTGAGCAACACTGCACGAACACGCGCAACCAGTTCCTGTGGGTCTTTTCCAGCAATCAAAACGTCATCAAAAATGGCAAGACCCCGGCAGACCTCTTAACAGGTGTTCCATGAGCCCTTGAAAAATCCCTGGGGCCACACAAACTCCAAATTGTAATCTGCTAACTCTGAACGCCCCTTTATGTGTGACAATAGTCTGTGCTTCCGCTGATTGTGGGGTTACTGGCAGCTGTTGGTAAGCTTGTGCCAGGTCAATTTTGGCGAACACCTTGCCCCCAGCCAGTTTAGCCAACAGATGTGATACGACTGGAATGGGGTATGAGTTTCCCTGAGTGCCTTATTGATAGTACATTTGTAATCTGCACAGATCCTGACTTCCCCATTTGCTTTAAGGGGCGTGACGATTGGAGTCTCCCACTTAGCAGAGTCCACGGGTGAGAGAACTCCCTGCTTGACCAATTTCTCCAGCTCTGCTTCGATCTTGGGTTGCAGTGCAAATGGCACTCGCCTTGGTTTGAGTCGGATTGGGGCCACCCCAGGGTCCAACTCGAAGTCAACTGGGGGCCCTTTATAACAACCCAGTTTTCCATTAAAGAGACCAGCAAATTCTTTGCATAATGCCTCGCTCATCTCAGGGCAGGTTTGGATTGAATTAAGCCCTGATATACTCAGTCCCAGGGCGGGGAACCAGTCAGTGCCCAGGAGACTGGGGCGACTGCCCTTCGCAATCACCAGTTTGAGTACAGCCTGTTTGTCCCGGAACTGTACTCTCACGGCACACATTCCCATAACATGGATGCGGCCCGCTGAGTATGACTGCAAGGTTGCCGGGAAGGGTTCCAGAGGGGCAACTTACCCCTGGGGAAGAATGTCCTCGCGGTCTGGTCCGACACGATAGTGAATCCAGATCCAGAGTCCACCTCCATGTCGCACTGCTGACGCTCAATCTTCACCTTGACGTGTGCCTTGCCTTGTGCTGGGAACTGCACGACCCTCCCGTTGATCTCCGTAACGTAGTGGCAGTCCTTTAGAAAATGGGTTGCTGCGGGCGGTCTGCGATGCTCCGGTCTAGGTGCTCCTGTCGCTCCCAACGCCGCCGATCTACAGACTCTGGCGATGTGACCTGTCTTCCCGCACGTCCGGCACATAGCATCCCGGAAACGACAACTCTTCCGCTCATGGTTTCCGCCACAACCTGGGCACCTGCCTCGGTGATCTTTGTGCACTGTGCAGGCCTGACTCACTGACTCGACCCCACGGACTGGGCTCTGGCTCGGAGTAGCCTCTAGCTCGTCCATGGCATGCGCAACTTCTATCTGTGGCTTAGGGGCCTTGCGACTGGCATCAAGCTCCTCTCTTTCATAATTCTCCGTGGCGGTGGCCTCCTTCAAGGCTGAAGCAAGGGTAACCTCTTCTTTAGCCACGATGCGTCTTCTGGCCTTCTTGCTGCTCAGACCACCGATAAACCGATCCAGGAGAGTCTCTTCCAGATTTTGGAAGTCGCAGTGCTGAGCGAGCTTCCGCAGTTCAGCCAGAAATGCAGATACAGACTCCCAGCATGCTGCTGCCTCTTATGAAACTCCATCCGCCGAGCCATCTTGGTCTCAGTAGGCGCCAAGTGGCTTGTTAGGCAGGCAAGAATATCTTTGAGAGATGTCTCACTTAGCTTCGCTGGAGCAAGCAATGCCTTGGCCAGCTTGAAGGTCTCAGGCCCACAGTAGCTCAGGAATGTGGCCCTTCTTTGCTGGCATCGGTGATCCCTTGAGCCTCTGCGAAGAACTCGAAGCGTTCGACGTAGTCTTCCCACGTGTCGGGCTCTGATGGCTGGAAGGGCTCCAATACCCTTGGACTCTCCATTGTCCTGTGGCAGGGTCGTCTTCTCAGCTGGTCAGTGAGTCTTGTTCTTAGCTGCAATCCGGACTCTGAGGCAGGGCTGCGTTTAACCGCTCCTCAGCATTCCGGATCCCACCTTCGTCGCCAGTTGTTGTGACGTGGGGTTTGTGATTTCAGCTCTCCTGATATAACATGCTGGAGACAGTTCTCTAGTAACACTTCTTTATTAAAGCAACAAGACTGAAGACTGGGGAGAGGAAAGCTACATTTATAGGGACAGGGAACTAGCAAGAAAGGATACATTTTGGAGGGAACAATATCAGGCAATCACAGTCCTGCCTTTTGGAGGGAACCAATAAGACAGAGGATCCAAATACAGCAGCTTAAATGAACCAATAGTAGCTGTACCCTCTGGAACCAAAAGGCAGTTACTTTACCCTAATGCAAATACAGACAATAATAATACAGATATAAAATCCTTTGACTCAATACACAACAACATTTTGCATTGCAATCTTTCTTCTAGGAGAGCTAGAGGCTGCTTCCTCCTCCTCCTCCTCTTCCTCCTCCTCCTCCTCTTTCTTCTCCTGGCCTAGGGGGTGAGGCCCAGACTCACCCAGCCCTACTGTGTTAAATATGTATTCTGTAGTTGACCTCCTTTGTAATGTTTTATTTTGATATCTTTAAGAGAGTATTTGTTTTCTGTTATGTTGCTTTGACTATAGTCTATACATTTGACTTTCTTTAGCTTCTTTTATTTCTGTTTTATTGATTTTGTGGGATGTGAAACTGCAGTCAAGTACAACATTCCTACAGGGGACACATTAGGGGATGTTTTCTACCACTCAGGAGAAGACTTCCTGTTTCCGCCTGAGCTGGGACAGACTTCCACTACATGTGACTTGAAGAGGGTGCAGTCTGTTGTACTAGCATGGAGGAGCACACGGCCTCCATGTTCTGATCAGTGTGAGTTCTCCATTTTGTATGTTGCTGTGAGTTTGGAGAAGTGACTCCTTAGTGGCAGTCATTTGGGACTAACTTCTATATGGAAAAGTTCTAGTTGTTATGTAACCTAAGCCTGCCTCCAGGGATATGTCTGTGAACGTGAATGAATCTGTGAGTAAACTACTTTTATATTAACGTGAATCAGATTATTGTGCTTATTCATTTAAAAGGGATTGGAAGGGATTTTACCAGGAAGGAATCTTTAATAGTAAGACTCAGATGAGTCAGCAACAAGCTGATCGCTTGTTGTATGGAACTCTGCTAGAATATGGAACTTGCTAGTGCATGTTAGGAAGGATATCGTTCAATAATATATCCTCTTCTAACTCCCTAATTATCCCCACATGTTTAATATGCTGTAAACCGCTTTGAGATTTCTCTTTAAAATAAAAAGTGTTATAGAAATTTAAATAAATAAAATAGCTCATGGTTTGGGCTGTGGTGCAGTCCAGCCCTGGTTCCCTCCAAGACTCATCCATGCTTGCTCAGGGAACCTTTTTCTTCTCCTGATATTAGACAACTTTTGTAACTGAACAATGTATTTGCTTTGTAGGATTTGCTAGCACCTCTCCTTAAGACAGACAGAACTTGGCAGAAGATCAAGGGGTTCCTTCTCATCTCTCAGAGGCTTCCTGAGAACATAGATGGATGTGCGAGACTCAGCTGGCCCTGGAACTGGAAGAGGCCATGCCAACCAAACTGGGAGCAGTGGGGGATTCTGGGAAAACTCTGTGCAGAAGATCCTGGGTGAGGAGGACACCCTCCGCTCAGAGGTGCAGAGCCAGCAGGTGAGGCAGTTCTGCTGCCAGGAGGCCAAAGGACCCCGAGAGGTTTGCAGCCGACTCTACCACCTTTGCCGTCAGTGGCTGAAGCCAGAAAGGCACACGAAAGCTGAGATGCTGGACCTGGTGATCTTGGAGCAGTTCCTGGCTGTCCTTCCACCAGAGATGGAGAGCTGGGTGAGGGACTGTGGAGCGGAGACCAGTTCCCAGGCGGTGGCCCTGGCCGAAGGTTTCCTCCTGAGTCAGGCAGAGGAGAGGAAGCAGGTGAGAGAGACTTTCCTCTGGATACTCCCAAGGCCTCCAAACAGGACAGAAAACATCCCATCATGCTCTACTGATGGCTCATTTTTTTTTCTGGGAAGGCATCCATGGAATGAGTTCTGACATCCTTAAAGCTGTTGGCCCTGACATTCATTTTTTATTTTTTATTTTTTTAATATATATTTTTATTAGTTTTCCAATATAAAACTATACAAAACAAAACATCCAATTTATCACCAACATCTTTTTTTTTTTGACTTCCATCAACATGTCTGATAATTCTCCATCTTGATCACTTCTTGCACATTTCTTAATTTAATATTGCACTACAATAATATCTTAATTTACCTTATTTTTTAAACAATATTTCTACCATACATTCTCACAGAGCTTCCTGAAAGCTTACAAATGTTATCTGGTCATCACGTATAGTTTTCATACAATCTGTAAATTTAATCCAGTCTTCAGTGAATCTCTGGTCTCGTCGGTTCCGGATCCTTCCTGTTAATTTATCAAGTTCTGCGTATTCCATTAATTTCATTCTCCATTTTTCAACCATAGGTAATTCTTCTTGTTTCAATTTTTGGGCCATTAGTATTCTTGCTGCCGTTACTGCGTATAAAAATAACTTCCATTCTTTCTTATTAATTTCATTTCCTATTATTTCTAATAGAAATGCTTCTGGTTTCTTAACAAATGTATACAGTGGTGCCTCGCAAGACGAAAAGAATCCGTTCTGGGAGTCTCTTCGTCTAGCGGTTTTTTCGTCTTGCGAAGCAAGCCCATTGACGGATTAGCGGATTAGCTCTATTAGCGGCTTTTAGCGGCTTTTAGCGGCTTATCAGCTTATCGGATAAGCAGATAAGCGGCTTAGCGGCTTAGAAAAAGAGGGGGGAAAGGAAAAAAAACCCGCAGGAACTCGCAAGACATTTTCGTCTTGCGAAGCAAGCCCATAGCAGATTCGTTTTGCGAAGCACCTCCAAAACGGAAAACTCTTTCGTCTAGCGAGTTTTCCGTCTTGCGAGGCATTCGTCTTGCGGGGCACCACTGTATTTCAACATCTTTTTTAACTCATTATATATCCTTTCCCAAAAGCATTTCACTTTTTTACACTCCCACCACATATGGTAAAATGTTCCTTCTTTTTCTTTACACTTCCAACATTTATTACTTACTTTATAAATTTTTGCTGATTTTACTGGTGTTACATACCATCTATATATCAGTTTCATCACATTTTCCTTTATTATAGTACACACAGTAAATTTCAGTCCTTCATTCCACAATTTAACCCAGCCTTTAAATTGTATATTATATCCAAAATCTTTGACCCAATGGATCATAACCGATTTAACCTCCTCGTCCTTTGTATACCATTCCAATAATAATTTATACATTTTGGACAAAATTTTTACGTCATTATTCAGTACTTCCAATTGATATTTTGATTCCTTGTCGGTAAAACCTCTTTCTAATACATCTTTTTTAAACATTTCATTAATCTGAAAATAATCCAACCAATCATTTACATTTTCTTTTACTTCAACATATGGTTTCAGTTTCCATTTACTTCCTTCTTTCATTATTAAACTCCCGTATGTTATCCACCTCCCCCTCATATTGATCTTCTTCACACTCATCACCTCCAACGGAGACAACCAATGTGGAATTTTTGACTCCAGTAGGTTTTTATACCTATCCCAGACTTCTATGAGAGATCTTCGAATGATGTGGTTTTCGAAACCCTTGTGCACTCGTTTCTTGTCATACCATAGATGTGCGTGCCGACCGAATCTGTTATCAAATTCTTCCAAATCTAACAATTCTGTGTTCTCTAATTTTATCCATTCTTTCAACCAACAGAGGCACGATGCTTCATAATATAATTTCAAGTCTGGCAGGGCGAAGCCTCCTCTATCTTTTGCATCTGTCAGTAACTTAAATTTTATTCTCGGCTTCTTACCCTGCCAGATATACCTTGAAATCATTCTTTGCCACTCCTTAAATATTGCCGCCCCTTTGATTATTGGAATAGTCTGAAACAGAAATAACATTTTTGGTAACACACTCATCTTTATCGTTGCAATTCTTCTCCAAAATGATAACTTCATTCTCCCCCACACCTCTAGATCTTTCTTAATTTTATTCCATATTGGTATGTAATTATTTTGAAACAGATCAATACTCCTAGGGGTTAACAAAATCCCCAAATATTTAACTTTCTTAACCACCTCTATCCCCATTTGTTGCTGCATTTTTTCAATTATTTCTTGATCCATATTTTTCGCAATTATTTTTGTCTTTTTCTTATTTAATTTAAAACCCGCAACCTGACCAAACTGTTCTATTTCTTCTAACACCTCTTTAACACTACTTATGGGATCTTCCACTGTTATGACCAAGTCATGGGCAAAGGCCTTTACTTTATATTCATTTCGACCAACTGTCACTCCCTTTATTAGCTCATTACTTCTTACTGATCTTAGAAAGATCTCCAGAACCGAAATGAATAACAACGATGAAAGAGGACACCCTTGTCTTGTGCCTTTAGTTATTACAATATTTTCTGTTGTTACATTATCAACTATTAATTTCGCTCTTTGATCAGTATATATCGCCCTTATACCATTAAGGAAAGATTGACCCATATCCATAAATTCTAAGTTTTTCAACATAAATTCCCATGAAATATTGTCAAAGGCCTTCTCAGCATCCACAAACATTAACATCGCTTGTTTATCGTTCCTGGTAGTCGGATATTTCATTATATTTATTATATTTCTTATGTTGTCTTTCATCTGCCTACCAGGAAGAAAACCTGCTTGGTCCTTATGTATCATTTCCTTTAATCTCTTTTTCATCCTATTTGCTAATATACTTGCAAACAATTTATAATTATTATTTAACAATGAAATTGGCCTATAATTTTTAACTTGAGTCAGGTCAGAATCTTGTTTTGGAATAAAAGTGATATAGGCTTTCCTCTATTTCAATTAGTTCATTCAATTGGTCTTTTTTGTCCGTCGGTATTTTCTGCACCTTTTTTTCTTTTAGAAATTCATTTATTCTCCACCGGAAAGATTTTTCTTCATATCCTTTTAGTATACATTTTACTGCATTATGATCCAAAAGAACCTTTGGCTATATTTCAATCTTTAGAATTCTTGATGTTAATTCATTAGAAATCCATATCTGATCAATTCTAGACATCGATTGATTCGATTCTGAAAGGAAAGTAAATTGTTTTTCTAATGGGTGTCTTAATCTCCAAATGTCAATCAAATTGCAGTTCTCAACCATAGGGAAAAAAAGGTTTTGGTAGTTTTCCTTCTTTTGTCCTACCCACTGCTCTTAATCTGTCCATTTCCATTGAAACTACTCCATTCATATCACCCATCATTATAAACTTTTGATCCAAATATTCCAATAACTTTACCATTTGGTGCATATATTCCGACAATTATCAATTTTTTGCCCTGCCATTTGACTTGTACCGCTATAATTCTGCCCTCTTCATCCTTGAAGATCTGTTGAGCCTCTAATTTGTTTTACCACCCCTCTCTTCTTGCTTTTGTCAGATGAAATAAACTCACTTCCTAATTTTTTATTGATTAAAATTTTTCTATGTCGTCTTGCCACATGCGTCTCTTGCAGACAAATAATATCCAAATTCTTTTGCTTTAAATATTGTTCGATTTTATTTCATTTTTTTATCGTTCATCCCATTCACATTCCATGTCCATAATTTCAGCGCCATGATGTTTTTTCTTTTAAAGTCCAATTATAATAAATTCTTAAATCTGTTTCTCTACTTCCTCCTCTTCTTCTTCCTCTTCTTCTTCCTCTTTATCCTCTCTTTCCCTTCCTCTTTTATCTTTTTTATCTCTCCTTTCTTCTTCTTCCAACTCTGAAGAGTCTCCCCCGCAAACTCCTGCTTCCGCCGTTTCCGCTTCATCTTCTTCTCTCCCCAGCTCTTTGTATCTTCTTAGAAACCTGTATGTTTCATCTGGTTTTGTAAGCTTATTTTTTTCCCCTTATAAGAAAATGATATCCCCTCTGGGAATTCCCACTTAAATTCAACTTGGTTTTTCCTCAGAGATTGCACCAGGTGTTTATACTGGTCTCTTTTTTTCAACAGACGAAGTGGAACGTCTTTAAAAATCATTATATAATTTCCATCAATATTCAGTCTTTTCTCTCTGTTTTTTTTTGTAAAATTAAATTCCTCATTTCTCTGTCTTTAAAGATAATCAAACAATCTCCTGGAAATTTCTTTGCTCTTGTTGTCCTCATCTTAATTCGAAAAGCGTTTTGAATTGTTTTAGCGACCTCTTCCACTTCCATTTCTAACCATTGGGCAATCTCTGACCTCAGTTTTTCTTTGATCATTTCTCCCTGAACCTCGGGCACAGATCTCAGTCTCAAATTTGTCTCTCTTTGCCGTAGTTCATTCATTGCAATTGCGTCCCATAACTCCTCCTGCGCCTTATTAACTTCTGACACCTCAGCCTTAATCTTTTCCTCCTCTCTTTTAACCTCTCTCATTTCTAATTTTGTTCGTTTCATTCCTTCTTCCAAACTTTGTGTTCTCTTGGACATATCTTTCATTTGTCCTTTTAGTTCATTAAATGTTAAGTCTCTTTTTTTAACTGTGACATCTATTTTTTTGTCCATCTGTTCTAATTTTGTCTCTAAATTTTTCTCACTTTTAAATTTCTGATTTAATTTCTGCAAACATCTTTACTATTTCCCCTTTTAATTCTGACTCTTGCCTTGAACTTTTTCTTTCCACCGGTGTCGCCCCTTCACTTTTTTTTTGAGTATGAGACATTCCTAATATTAAATATTAGCTTCTTGCTACTTGTATGGCTAATCCAATCCACGCTCCAACAGCCAGGGAGTTAAAATATCCACTTATTACAATAGCCTTCTTGCCACTTGTTTGGCTATTCCCAATTTCCCGACAAAAAGTCCACACAAAAAAAAATTATAAAGAGAAATCCCAAACTCCAAAAACAAGCCTCTAAGAGGAAACAAAAGACAAAAAGTTCTTATTTATATCAGAAAGAAATTCTCCCTTTCCGAGAATTAAAATGGCGCTGCTTATTTTCCTGCGTCACAGAAATTGAAGCAAAAAAGAAGGGGAGGGAATACAGTCTCCAAGAAAAAGAGAAGCACTCTCAAAGTCCCATAAGTCACAAAAATAACAAAAATGACGAAAGAGAACAGCCTCTGTCTTCTAAGAACTTTACCACTTAATCCATCCCTCCACCATAAAAAAATAGAAGGTACATCAAAGGTCTTAGAGGCACTAATTGTCTGTTACGCAGATCTTTTGTAATCGAAAGTAGAAAGTACAGAGGTCCATTTCTGACGTTCCCAGAAATTTCACAAAAAAGACTGTAAAAAAAAAGAGGCTTTTTTAATTCCTCATCCCTCTTAGCGTTAATTAAAGGTCCATAAAAAAGATTTCTAATCGCCAAAGTAAAATCCGTTTGAATTAACTTACAGTTTTGTCCTTTATGTGAATCCCTCCTGTGTATACTTAGAATTCCAGACGAGGCTGACCTCCTTTTTCCCACCTCGTCCTCATCGAATTGTCTCCAATTGTTATTTTGATTTTTTAATCCTTTTAAGTCCTTTTAAATTCGACTTCTTGGTGTTTGAGAGACGATCGCTTCTGCGCACAAGCTCAGGGCTTCGCTCCTGGAGGATAGTAATGGCTTCCCACTGCCTGCCTTTCTACCCCGCTGCTTTCGTCGCCTCCAAAGGAGGTTACCTGGCGGCCGGGGGAATCGTAAAACGGCCGTGCCGGCATCCTGCCCCCTGGATCTCCTTCCAGGGGTGTTTTGGGGGGCTGCGGCGCCCTTCCAGCACCCCCCTTTTCCTCCCAAGAGCTGGATTCCCTCTCCAGAGAGAAATCCCGCTTGTCTTCGCTCCCGCGATCAGCCGGAATTCTCTCTGACATTCATTTTTGAATCCTTCTCCCCATTCTCTCTTTTGAATCCTTGTTTCTTTTTCAGGGAAAGGATCTCTTTGCAGAAATGGACCAGATTTCTTCTGAGGCAGAGAGGCCTCCGCTGGACACCAGAGAGAGGCAGCTGGGTAAGGAGGGAGGATTTTTTTCTCTGTTTAGTCTCATTCTGTTGGTTTTCCAACTCATCAGAGGAGGGAAGATATATTTTTTCACACATAACATCTCTAATGCACCCAAATATCCAAATGCACTAAGCAGGCGAGACTTTCTCAAAGGCCCCTCTGTAGTTTGAGATGCACTGATTTACCTGTGAGACAAGAAGGCACTCTGGGCCTCCCCCTTACCTTTTTCCTCTTGCAGGTGACACAGTGATACTGGCTAGACCACTTCAACCATCTCTGAATGGGGACAGAATGGAAGCAGCGGCTGTGGAACCAGATCAGGTCAGGGGAAGCTGCCTTGCGGGGACAGAGGCCAAGGGGTGGAACAATGTCCTAGCTCAAGGAGTGGTGGTGAACAACAGTGTTGTCTCAGAGGAGGACATTTCCCTTTTTTTTAGGGTCCAGTGTGCTTTGAAGATGTCGCTGTTCGTTTCACAGACGAGGAGTGGGATTTGCTGGATCCTGACCAGAGAGCTCTGCATAAGGACGTCATGGAGGAGAATTGGGGGATCGTGGCCTCTCTTGGTAAGGAATCATAATATCAGTTTTTAAATTCAAAACTCCATATGTGACGAACCTCATATATTTTCACAGACCTCAACAGCGCCCCCTACAACACTGGATATTACAATATCCCCCCCCCCAAAAAAAGTCTTGAATAGTAAATTGCTGTTTCTTCTGTGAATGTTCTTCCTCCCGTTGCAGCTTATTAAACAAGCAGCAGCCTGGTCTGAACTCCCCAGACCCTTTTGACTGTAAACTTCAGAGTTGTTAGGGAAGTTGACATAGCTTGTGTCAGGTTTTCAGTTTTTGTTTTTCCTCCCGTCAGTCTTTGGTTGTCCAAAGAGAAGACTGACATTGGAAATGGAGGGATGCCATGATGGAGCCAAAGAAAATCGATTCAAGAGAAGAGCCAGGCTTATCGAATCACAGGTTCCCCAAAGGATGTCGGTTGATCCCTGTTAATTAATGCACCCAACCCTTCAGAAAACCATCCATCTATCCCACTTGTGTTATGCCTCTATTACCAGAGTTAACAAGTATTCTTCCTTAATTTCTCCCTGAGGTGCTAATCCATTTCTCTTCATTGTAGATAGAGATGGACTGGAAAATAACAACATGGGTGACCATGACAAAATCCCCACAATGGAGAAGCTGAATAAATATCTTGAATGTGGGAAAAGTTCCTTTTCCGCTTCCCATCAAAGAAATCCCATTGGGAAGAAACCCTATCAGTGCATGGAATGTGGAAAGAGATTCAGTCAAAAGGTCAATCTCACTTCCCATCAAAGAATTCATACAGGGGAGAAACCCTATCAGTGTGTGGATTGTGGAAAGAGCTTCAGTCACAGCAGTAGTCTCACTCGCCATCAGAGAATTCAAACAGGGGAGAAACCCTATCAGTGTGTGGAATGTGGAAAGAGCTTCACTCACAGCGACAATCTCACTTCCCATCAAAGAATTCATACAGGGGAGAAACCCTATCAGTGCGTGGAATGTGGAAAGAGCTTCAGGAATAGCTCAAAACTCACTTCCCATCAAAGAATTCATACAGGGGAGAAGCCCTATCAGTGTGGGGAATGTGGAAAGAGCTTCAATCACAGCCACAATCTCACTTCCCATCAAAGAATTCATACAGGGGAGAAACCCTATCAGTGTGTGGAATGTGGAAAGAGCTTCACTCAAAGCCACAAGCTCACTTCCCATCAAAGAATTCATACAGGGGAGAAACCCTATCAGTGTGGGGAATGTGGAAAGAGCTTCAGTCACAGCCACAATCTCACTTCCCATCAAAGAATTCATACAGGGGAGAAACCCTATCAGTGTGTGGAATGTGGAAAGAGCTTTAGTCAGAGCTCCTCTCTCACTTCCCATCAGAGAATTCATACAGGGAAGAAACCATATCAGTGTGTGGAATGTGGAAAGAGTTTCACAGATAGCTCCTCTCTCACTTCCCATCAAAGAATTCATACAGGGGAGAAGCCATATCAGTGTGTGGAATGTGGGAAGAGCTTCAGTCACAGCCACAGTCTAACTTTCCATCAAATAATTCATACAGGGGAGAAACCCTATCAGTGTGTGGAATGTGGAAAGAGCTTCAGTCACAGCAGCAGTCTCACTCGCCATCAGAGAATTCATACAGTGGAGAAACCCTATCAGTGTGTGGAATGTGGAAAGAGCTTCAGTTTCAACCACCATCTCACTTCCCATCAGAGAATTCATACAGGGGAGAAACCCTATCAGTGCGTGGAATGTGGAAAGACCTTCAGTCAGAGCGCCAGTCTCACTTTCCATCAAAGAATTCATACAGGGGAGAAACCCTATCAGTGTGTGGAATGTGGAAAAAGCTTCAGTCAGAGCAGCAGTCTCACTCGCCATCAGAGAATTCATACAGGGGAGAAACCCTATCCGTGTGTGGAATGTGGAAAGAGCTTCAGGAGGAGCTGTGATCTCAGTTCCCATCAAAGAAATCATACAACGTCCCCAAAACCCGTCATTATACAGCTTTCAGCGCCAGGGAAAAACTCATCTCTTTAACCAGTCCTTTGGCTGATTGACATCTAATGCCCTTTTACAATGTGGTGGGGAGGTGGGGGTTACAGGTTTTGGGGGCGGTGTTTTGTGTTTTCATTGTGTGATTTTATGTTGTAACCGTCCTGTGACCTGTGAGTGTAGGGAATGGGAGCCAACTCTTAGAGTCTGAGGGCTCTTTGCCCCCCAATAAGATATTTGAGGGGGCCACCCCCCAGTTCATAGGAATAGCCATTAAAATGGCATGCTTGCACCGCATCCTGTGACTGTTTAACCGAGGCGGGGCTTGCTAAACCCCTCCTATATATTACTCAAGTTGGCACCCCTGCTATAGGGCGCTATAGAAGTCAAATAAATGCATAAATAAAACAAAATCATCTTGGTCGCCTTCTTTTGCACTTGTTCCGGCTTGTCAATATCCATCTTAATATTATCATTTAAAAAAATTATGTACCCTTCATGGCTTTCTCAAAAACAAGTCAAGCTAGAGAAATCTCTCTTTTTTCTTTTTTTGGATGGAGTTACAGATTGTTTCTCAGGGGACTGCTGTGGTAATAGTGCATCTTAATTTCAGTAAGGTTTTTGAAAAGGTCCCCCTTGATATTTATGTGAGGAAGCTGGTAAAATAAGGCTGAACTAGGTAACTGTTAGGCGGATTTGACTGACCGATCCCAAAGAGGACTCCTTCATGGTTCCTCACCATCCTGGGGAAAAGTGACAAGAGGGGTGTTGCAGGGTTCTGTCCTGGGCCCGTTGTTACTCAAGTTCTTTATAAATGTCTTGGATGAAGGAACTGATGGGATGCTCATCACATTTGCAGATGACACCAAACGGGGAGCGGAGGCCAATGTGGCAGAAGGCAGAATCAGATCAAGGGCAGGAATAGTACCACTTTCTTTTGCCTTGGTCAGACCCCAGCTAGAATAAATACTGTGTTCAATTCTGGGCACCACAATTTAAGTATCTTAAATTTTGTTTGCCAGGGGAAATCAAGAAGGTGAGGGAACACAATCCATATTCCTTTTATAACACATGGCAAATGTTTATTGAATATATAAATTGTTAAGACTGTTGCAGGAATCCACCCAACACTCATGGGAAAATGTATCGTGGTCTTTTAGAACAGGCATCCCCAAACTCGGCGCTCCAGATGTTTTGGGACTACAGCTCCCATCATCCCTAGCTAACAGGAGCAGTGGTCTGGGATGCTGGGAATTGTAGTCCCAAAACATCTGGAGGGCCGAGTTTGGGGATGCCTGTTTTAGAATAATGAAATGAAACTTTAACACATGACATGCTGAATGTCTGAAATTCCATCAGGACAAGTTACTTTTTGTTTACTGTTGTAACTATTGCTTTCTGAATATTTATCTTCTGTACCATGAAGATAAAGAAAAATAATGTTTTTTAAAAAGGAGATGGGGAAATCATGTGTACTATTCCATCAATCTGCTTGCATGTGTTGAGTTTTATTTGGAGACTGTAACTCCCAGTAATTTCATTATCTGTATGTGTTTCTGTGTGTTCAGCACACATGATTGCAGGTGAGACTGAATAAAACACTTCATCGGAAAAATTAGAAGCATCTAATGTTCCCTGGACTTTTAATAATAAATAATAATAATTTTATTATTTATACCCCGCCCTCCCCAGCCAAGGCCGGGCTCAGAGCGGCTTACAAGCAATAATAAAAACAAGATGAATGATTGCAACTTAAAAACAAATTTAAAATACAACATTGAAATATTGAAACATTACAATATTAAAATGTAGCCTCATCGCAGGAGGAGAAGGAAAGGAAAAAAGAAAGAGAGGGAGGGAATCAAATTGGCTCCAAGCCAAAGGCCAGGCGGAACAACTCTGTCTTACAGGCCCTGCGGAAAGATATCAGATCCTGCAGGGCCCTGGTCTCATGAGGCAGAGCGTTCCACCAGGCTGGAGCCAGAGTTGAAAAGGCCCTGGCTCTGGTTGAGGCTAATCTAACTTCCTTAGGGCCCGGAACCTCTAGGGTGTTGCTATATATGGACCTTAAGGTCCTCTGGGCTTTAAAGGTCAAAAGCATCACCTTAAATCTGACCCTGTACTCCACTGGGAGCCAGTGCAGCTGGCAAAGCACTGGGTGAATATGCTCCCATGGCAGGGACCCTGTGAGGAGCCTCGCTGCGGCATTCTGCACCCGCTGGAGTTTCTGGGACAGCTTCAAGGGCAGCCCCGCGTAGAGCGAATGACAGTAGTCAAGCCTGGAGATGACCGTCGCATGGATCACTTTTAGGGCAATGCATGGTGCTTTGGTTTGACACATAAAAATCTGGCTGCTCCCAAAGACTTGTCTGTCTGTCTCTGCACCACAACACTGCTTTGGAACGGCTTCTTTCTGATTGGTGGTTAAAATGACGATTGGTTGGTGCTGGTGCTTGAGGATGATGAAAGGTACTTAACAAAAAAAGTTGGGTTTTTAAAAAAAGTCCCAACAGCCATGTTTCTCAGGCTAGGCTGGCCATTGTCCTGGTCCCATTCATCTTATGGTGGACTACAAAGCTCTTAACAGCTTCTGATCAGTTTACTTGAGAGATTGCCTTCTCCCATGTATTCCCAACTCAACTGCTTTGAGAAAACTGGCACAGTTACCAGTTCCACATAGAACACCTGTACTTGTGAGAATTCAAAATTTAAGTGTGGCAACACAGGTAGACTTTGGAACTCCCTGCCTGCACTACTTTTTCCTGCTTTTCTTTTTGGTGCCTGCAAAAATAAATAAATGTTTGTTTAGGCAAGCCCATCCAGATATTTAAAATGTGGACATGTATTGTAATCTGATTCTGAGCAAACGGTTCATTTGTAATTATTTCTAAATATTTTAAATAGTTGTGTGTAACTTCTTTTACTGATTAAAAGAATTCTGTATGTGTGTGGGGGGTGTGTGTGACACCGGGTACCACCTGATCTTGCTATGCCTCTGGAGCTGGAGCTGCAGAATTGGTCCTTTCCCCTACAAGCTGCTCCTCCACTTTCCGGCCAAGGGAGGGAGATGCTCAGAGTCCAGCCAAGAGCCTCACCCCCCAAAAGGATATCTGGGCATTGGCGAAGCCAGGGGGGCAGCTGCCCCCCGAAATCCATAAGAAATAATAAGAATCTGAGGTTCTGCCAAGCGAGAGAGGGCTGAGTTGGGTGGACTCGGCTTGGCAAGGGTTAAAGGGAAGTGAGCTGCCTTCCTAGAGAGGACAGGAAGCAAGGGGGGGCCAGGTCCTCCAGAGCCAAGGCCCCTCCCTCCCCAGTCCTTTCCTGCAAGGAAGAGGGGTGTTGCTTTGTGTCTCTCCTGCAAGGGCTGCATCGCTGCCCCCTCCTGGGATCTGGTGAGTCTCCTCTCTCTCTGGGATCTGGTGGGGGTCCCAGGGCTGCAGCAGGGGAGGAGGCCGGGGGGGCCGGATCTGCTCATGCAGGGGGGGGGACCCCAAGTCAGGGAGGAGAGGGTCCTGCCAGGGAGGGGCCAGGTCTGCCACGCTCTCCTTCCTGCAGATCAGAGGATCCCAAACTCATTTGACCCTCCGCCCCCCCCCCTTCAGAAAAGATCTCCCTTTTTAAACAAAGGAGTCCCTGGGACTTTAACTCTCTGTGACATCGCTCAGCGTCATTGCACAACAGAGGAAACATCTGCAAATGGTTTTCCAAAACCAGACGAGGAGGTGGACTAGCCCCCCCCCCCAAAAAAAAGGGTGGGAGAGAAAGGGAAGGGATAAAGAGAGGGATCCCAGCCCATAGTCTGGCTGCTGCATTGCAATCCAGTTTCCCAGTGTCTCCCAGGGCAGCTCCCCACGGAGGCCACTGCAGCAATCCCCTCGCACCCAGAGCAGGGCATCCCAGGACCACATCCTCTCTGTCCCAAAGGGATTGTTGCTGGCAAAGCAGCCGGAAATGGGCGCTGCTACTCACTGAGCCTCCAGGGACCTTGGCATCAATGTCTCTCTGTGTGTTAAGCTATCTAACAGAATACTAATACTAAATTACCCTCCTAAATTTCAAGGGAGGTGTCTTTGGCCTCATCCACTTGGCCCTCAGGGGTTGGCCAGATACATACCTGGCCCTCAGAGCAAAGAAAAAGGGACCCCACCCCAGGAGTCTGTCTGGAGAGCGGCAGAGAGTCCAAGTGCAAGAAAAGGAGACGGAAGCAGGGGAGAAATGTGCCTGGAAGTGGGGGTGGGGGGAGAGCAACTCCTGAGGACCCCCGGATGAGGACCCCAATGAGAGCCAAGTATCCATTATTCAAAAGATGCAAATTATTCCCTTAGGAGTCGGTTTTTGTGTCTGTCTTTCAAGGGCTGCATCGCTGTCCCCTGCTGGGATCTGGTGAGTCTCCTCTCCACTCATTTGGCCTTCCACTCCCCATGGAGGGGGGGAGAATGACACCAAGGCAGGATAGAGCAGGAATATGACTTCCCATGATCTGGACTCGAGACTTCAGTGGATGCAGCCTAGAATAGCGCTAGCTTTTTTCTTCTTCTTTTGCTGCTGTATCACATTCATCACTGGTAGTGACAAGCAAGCGATTCCGGCTGTTTTCACCAGATTTAGCTGGCTCCCTCCCCCCCCCCCCATTTTTCATTCTGCAGTACTAAGTGGGAGAAGCTGCAAGAAGTTCAGAACTCTGCATAGATTAAGATATGAGCCAGAAGCTGCAGACTCTGCCTGGAGACCTTGCCCAGCTTGACTTTAAAACTCCGAAATTCCTCCATGATGGCTTTCTTGTCAACTTTTGCATTGCTAGGCAATGCTTCTGTTATTTCGCTCAGTTCTTCTTCTCCGTAGTTACTTGTAGACTAGATTCCCTTTCTCCTGTGGGGAAGGAATGGGGTCCGTGATGCAGACCCCCAAGTGTCCCTATTTCACAGGGACAGTCCTGGATTTTGCAACACATCACAGCACTGAATAAAACAATCCGGAAATGGGTTTCACATGTAACTCAGACCAAGCCCAGAGAATAAAACATCACCATAAGCAGAGAACATGGACTCATGCACTATCTGGTCTTACAGGAGCCTGAGAATTTTATTCACTGACTGACTCCTCTTAGATTTCACCCACTTCCTTCCATATCACAAAAATGCCACATTTCAAAAGCAGAATATAAATATATACACCCTGTTTCATTCCTTTATGCTGCTCTGCTTTTCACAAAACCTGTGTCCTCGGCCCAGGCAAATACTTAGCAGTCAGGGCATACCAAAACATCTCCAGTCATGGATGTTCTCACTGCAACTTTGAGAAAGTTGGTGGATTAGCATTTTTCCTGTGCGGATTTATATCACTATTGTTGGTGCTGGTAGCCTCTTCTTCCTCATTGTCTGGTTTCCTAACAATTTTGGCATTGTTGCTAAAAAAATCTAAAATGTTTTTTCCCCATACTGTATTTATTGACAAAGGGATTTTGCAGGATTCTTGGGTGCTCAGTAGAGAGAGAAGAGGGTGTGTAAACTTTATACAACTTTATACACTGTATTTGCTTTGTAGGATTTGCTAGAGCTTCTCACTAAGACAGACAGAACTTGGCAGAAGACCAAAGGGTTCCTTCCGATCTCTCAGAGGCTTCCTGAGAGCACAGATGGATGAGCGAGACTCAGCTGGCCCTGGAACAGGAAGAGGCCATGCCATACGAACTGGGAGCAGTGGGGGATTCTGGGAAAACTCTGTGCAGAAGATCCTGGGTGAGGAGGACACCCTCCGCTCAGAGGTGCAGGGCCAGCAGTTCTGCTGCCAGGAGGCTAAAGGACCCCGAGAGGTTTGCAGCCGACTTTACCACCTTTGCCGTCAGTGGCTGAAGCCAGAAAGGCACACGAAAGCTGAGATGCTGGACCTGGTGATCTTGGAGCAGTTCCTGGCTGTCCTTCCACCGGAGATGGAGAACTGGGTGAGGGAATGCGGAGCGGAGACCAGTTCCCAGGCGGTGGCCCTGGCCGAAGGTTTCCTCCTGAGTCAGGCAGAAGAGAGAAAGGAGGCAGAGAGAAAGCAGGTGAGAGAGACTTTGCCCTGGATACTCCAAAGGGGCTCCAAACAGGACAGAAAACATCCCATCATGCTCTACTGATGGCTCATTTTTTTTTTCTGGGAAGGCATCCATGGAATGAGATCTAACACCCTTCAAGTCTTTTTCATTCTCTTTGTAATATTTCTCACTCTTCATTCTCTGTTTTGAATCCTTGTTGGTCTTTCAGGAAAATGATCATTTTGCAGAAATGGACCTGGATTCCTGTGAGACAGAGGGGCTTCCGTTGGACACCAGAGAGAGGCATCAGGGTAAGGAGGGAGGAGTTTTTCCTCTCTCCATTTGGTCATATTCCTTTGGCTTTGAACAGGATGGATTTGAATCAAATCATTTGTTTTTTACAGAAAATCTCATTCTTGCTGGTATAATCTTAATATTTACAACCAGATGAAGGTTTCATTTTTAGAATAATAGATTTTCAGAGTGGTTTTTACAATCTTTGATAAAAGATTACTGATTTGGTTAGAAATACATAGATAATTATGGAATTATTGTCAGGTTTAATAAGTTAGCTGCTTATATTTGGACAACTTTTCTGCTGTACTTTATTGGAAGGAGAAAAATAAATAAATAATCATTTCCTTAATAACAATTTGAATAATTTATTTAACTAAAACAATAACATTACAGCATATGTATCCATGTTTTTTAACTAGCGTACAGTAGTTAGAGATTTTATTGTTTGGACAGTGCCAGTTGAGTCCTGGGAAGAAGGGCCTGGAACCCGTCAACCTTATTAGTTGACTGGCCAGCACTTCAAGGTCTCGTCAGGAACTTGCAGAGCCCAGTTACCACCCTAAGATCCCAAGACTTGTGGAGTATTCTTCTCACAAGGTTGCACTTTTATTTTTACTGCTTCACATTTAGCTACTTGTGCAGATCTATTCCACTCCAAACAATCTGTTCATTGAACCTCTTGGAACTTATCATTTAAGAGTTAAAGGGTTGATTCTGTGTATATAAATTTGCAAAGGAAGAATAAGGTGAAGGTTTTCTCCTCAACTCTGTATGTTTATTTTATAACATTTTTCCTGTGAAGAAAAGGCATGATTTCTTTGCGGACACAAATTCACGCTTTTCAGAACTGCAAAAACAAACATCTGTGATAATATCTTCATGTTAGAAAAACTGCCCCAAATATTCTTACAGAAACCTCTGGAATTGCATGACATTGTGAATGGATTAATGGAATTCATTTACCAAAAAATTTAGACATTGTATATAAAGGCTCATGCTACATAATTAAAAACAAATCCTTATTTCCTTATGAATAGCCTTTGGACTATAATGCTACTTAAATAGAAAACTATCAATAGAAAGATTTTTCCTCCAAAAGCAATTTATTTTTAAAAATCAGATTTAAAATTTTAAAAATCCAAATTAAATTTTAAAAAACCCTGTTTATTTTATATATTTTTTAATCATTGCTTTTCTAATCCACCATGGTTTTGAAACTCATCTGTGGGTTCTTTTCATCTTTTATTGGGGGAGATAGTTGGGACCAAGAGCCCAGAGGAGGGGAGATATATTTTTTCACAACTGACATCTGAAATGCACCCAAACATCCAAATGCACTCAGCAGGCGAGACTTTCTCAAAGGCCCCTCTGTAGTTTGAGATGCACTGATTCACCTGTGAGACAAGAAGGCACTCTAGGCCTCCCCCTTACCTTTTTCCTCTTGCAGGTGACACAGTGATACTGGCTAGACCTCTTCATCCATCTCTGAATGGGGACAGAATGGAAGCAGCGGCTGTGGAACCAGATCAGGTCAGGGGAAGCTGCCTTGTGGGGACAGAGACCAAGGGGTGGAACAATGTCCTAGCTCAAGGAGAGGTGGTGAACAACAGTGTTGTCTCAGAGGAAGACATTTCCCTTTTTCTTTTAGGGTCCAGTGTGCTTTGAAGATGTTTCTGTTCATTTCACGGACGAGGAGTGGGCGTTGCTGGATCCTGACCAGAGAGCGCTGCATAAGGACGTCACGGAGGAGAATCGTTGGATCATGGCCTATCTTGGTAAGGCCCATGTGGGATCATAATATCAGTTTTTAAAATCAAAACAGCTCTCTATGATGAACCTCATATATTTTCACTGAATTCAACAGCGTCCCCTACAACACCTGGGATTTCAATATTCCCACCATTAACCTTGAACAGTAAATTGCTGGTTAATTTTTTATAAACATCTCTCCTTCGAAGAAATCTTGAAAGAATCTCTTTAATTATAATAATTGGTTTTCCCTGAATACACAACTTTTTGTTATAGTTCTGTTTCAATACTTCATGTCCAAAGAGTTGAACATAACTAATACGTCTCCTGGCAGTTTCTTCCCTCTAGCTTTAGCGGATTTTATTTTTATCCAAAAGATGTTTGCTATTGAATATCCCATATCCTCTTCTTTCATATCTAACCAAGCTGCCAGTTCTTTAACCAGTTTAGGTCTTATATTTTCATTTGGGTCCTCTGGGATCCCCCTGAATTTCAGATTTGATTGTTTCTGTCTCATCTGAGTCATTGCCATACTGTCCAACAATTCTTCCTGTATTTTATTTATCTCCTTGACCTCTATTTTAATCCTATCCATATCCTTCCTACTTTCTTTCATATCTTTTTGCACCCTCTTCATTGAGTCCTCAAGAGCTTTGGATCTTACCGTCAAATCTTTCACTTTTCCTGTCAGCTCTCCCACCACCTCCTCCAATCTCTTATCCAATGTATCCTGTACTTCTAATAACTTTTTCTCAATATATTGTTCATTATGTTTAAATTCTTTCCTTATTTCCGCCATTAAGATGTCATAATCCTTGATTTCTTTCCCTTCTTTCCCTTCTGGATGGTTCCCTTTCTACTGGCGTTCCCACCCCTTTTTTCATTTTGTATTTCAGCTTATATTAATTAACTAGTAAAATTTTTTTCACCCCTAGAGGTCGCTAAACTGAGATATTGAATTTCTCTATTCCTCCAATGTAGTTCTTCTAGTGTAGTTCCCTTCTGCCCCCACACGGTGGCGCCTTAGTTGCCTTATATTAATTATCTAGTAAGATTTTCCCCACCCCTAGAGGTCTCAAAGCTGAGATATTGACTTTCTCTATTCTTCCGATGTAGTTCTTCCCATGTAGTTCCCCTCTACCCCCACACAGTGGCGCCTTAATTGCTTTCCAAGTCTTAACTCTTAAAATACAAAAAATACAAAGAAGGAGAGGGAAGGAGAGGGGAAAAGAACAACAAGAAACCGTGGGGGGGGGGGAAAGGTGAGGGGGAAGACACACAACCAAAAAGTTCTAAGGAACAGGAACAGAATACGAGGTGAGTCTTAATGCGAGAGCAGAAACAGGGAAGAGAGGCGGAGCTAAGTGGAAGGAGCTCCACGAGGAGAGGAGCTTCCCGGGGTAACAGAAGGTTTTGCCGAAAAGTCCTACTTAAGCCTTCCTTCCTTGTCCGTTTGCCCCCAGTCTCTTCTGACTAAAGCGGTAATTCAATCGCTTAAAGTGCAGCGTCCATCTTCTCCTAATTAGTTGTTGTTGTGTACCACTTTAAAGAAGGAGGAGGAAACAAAGTGTGAAATGGCGGCGGAGAGTCCCACTGTATTCTCAAACTCTCCTCATACAGTTCGTGTTCTCCTCCCAAACCTCCTTAAAGAGACGCTGCCTCTCAGCGTTTCAGTTCCTCTTATTTCCAGTTCAATTTTTAGTCCTTCAGATGCCTCAAGTATAAAACAGTCACTGTTTAAACGTGGGAGGCGGAAATCACAGTTTAAGCACTATTTAAAACGGGCACTGTTTAAACAGGCAAGCAAGAGGGTTGATTGCAGGGTCTCACTTATGTGTCCCAAACTAGTCGCTGGCGTAACACACTCCGACCTGGAGAAACAATTAATTTCCATTCACTTCTCTCTAATCCATTAAGATATTTTCAGTCATTTCGTTGCCTCAGATTTCTTATACTTTGTATCCAAGGTCTCTCCGCTACACCCACTTAGCGGTTACTTTCTTACTTTCTCTCCTCTCCCAGCCTTCCGCTATATTCCATTTTACTCTTACCGCTGCAGTGGACTCCTTCTACTTTCTCCCCACGTCTTCTTATTCCGCTGGTTTTCTTAGCCAAATTTCTATTTGTTGTTGCTTTCGTTGCCTTATTTGTATCCAGCTTCTTAACTGCTGTTGGAGGCTCACTGCTTTCACTCAGAGCCTGAGGCTTCACAGCACGGGGTTTGTTGCTTCCCCTCGTGTTGCAGCTCAAATCCTGTTAAAAACTAAAAAACAGGAGAGCACACGCAGCACCGCTGGGTACTCTGTCCCCCAGGGTAATCCTCCTGGGGTTTCGAGGTTCACGGAGCCTTCGTGATGCCTCTGGACCCCAGTGTTATTCGAGACCCCCCGGAGGGTAGCCTCGCGCTCCTTTTTGGTAGCTGCGGCTCACTGGAATTCAAACTGAGTCTTTTCAGGGCGCCGCATTTAAAATATATTTTAAATTATATATCACAGGTTCCCCTAAGGATGTCAGTTAAATCCCTTAAATAAATGCACCCAACCCTTTAGTAAAACCATCCATGTAAACCACTTGTGTTAATGCCTCTATTACCAATATTAACTACTATTGCTCATTAATTTCTCCTTGAGACACTAATCTATTTCTCTTCATTGCAGATAGTGATGGACTGGAAATCAAGAACAAGGGTGACCGTGACAAAATCTCCACAATGGAGAAGCCGTATCAATATATTGAATGTGGAAAAAGTTCCCATTCCACTTCCCATCAAAGAAATCCCATTAGGAAGAAACCATATCAGTGCTTGGAATGTGAAAAGAGCTTCAGTACAAGCTCCTCTCTGAGTTCCCATCAGAGAATTCATACAGGGGAGAAACCCTATCAGTGCGTGGAATGTGGAAAAAGCTTCCGTAAGACCCACCATCTCACTTCCCATCAAAGAATTCATACAGGAGAGAAACCCTATCAGTGTGTGGAATGTGGAAAGAGCTTCAGAAAGAGCTCACATCTCACTGCCCACCAAAGATTTCATACAGGGGAGAAACCCTATCAGTGCGTGGAATGTGGAAAGAGCTTCAGTCAGAGCGCCCATCTCACTTCCCATCAAAGAATTCATACAGGGGAGAAACCCTATCAGTGTGTGGAATGTGGAAAGAGCTTCAGTAAGAGCTCTCATCTCTCTTCTCATCAAAGAATTCATACAGGAGAGAAACCATTTCATTGTGTGGAATGTGGAAAGAGCTTCTGTCGGAGCACTGATCTCACTTCCCATCAAAGAATTCATACAGGGGAGAAACCCTATCACTGCGTGGAATGTGGAAAGAGCTTCAGTATGAGCTCCCATCTCAGTTCCCATCAAAAAATTCATACAGGAGAGAAACCATATAATTGCTTGGAATGTGGAAAGAGCTTCCGTCGGAGCACCGATCTCACTTCCCATGTAAGAATTCATACAGGGGAGAAACCATACGATTGCTTGGAATGTGGAAAGAGCTTCCGTCGGAGCAGTGATCTCACTTTCCATCAAAGAATTCACACCGGGGAGAAACCCTATATATGCTTAGAATGTGGAAAGAGCTTTAGTCAGAGTGCCCATCTCACTTCCCATCAAAGAAGTCATACAGGGGAGAAGCCATATCAGTGCTTGGAATGTAGAAAAAGCTTCAGTACGAGTTCCCTTCTTACTTCCCATCAAAGAATTCATACAGGAGAGAAACCCTATACATGTTTAGAATGTGGAAAGCGATTCCGTCGGAGCACTGATCTCACTTACCATCAAAGAAGTCATACAGGGGAAAAGCCCTATCAGTGCTTGGAATGTGAAAAGAGCTTCAGTACGAGCTCACTTCTTAGTTCCCATCAAAGAATTCATACAGGGGAGAAATGCTATCAGTGCATGGAATGTGGTAAGAGCTTCAATACGAGCTCCTATCTCACCTTCCATCAAAGAATTCATACAGGAGAGAAACCCTATCAGTGTGTTGAATGTGGAAAGGGCTTCAGTATGAGCTCCTATCTCACTTCCCATCAAAAGATTCATACAGGGGAGAAACCCTACCAGTGTGTAAAATGTGGAAAGAGCTTCAGCTATAGCTCCCATCTCACTTCCCACCAAAGAATTCATACAGGGGAGAAACCTTATCAGTGCATGGAATGTGGAAAAAGCTTCAGTACGAGCTCCTATCTCACTTTCCACAAAAAAATTCATACAGGGGAGAAACCGTATCAGTGCATGGAATGTGGAAAGCGCTTCAGTACGAGTTCCTATCTTACTTTCCATCATAGAATTCATACAGGGGAGAAACCCTATCAGTGCAGCGAATGTGGAAAGAGCTTCAGGAAGAGCTCCCATCTCACTTCCCACCAAAGAATTCATACGAAGGGCAGAAAAACCCTTCATAATACTGCTTTAGTCGCCAGCCAGATATGCGCCTCTTTAACCAGGTCTTTGGCCAATTGACATCTAATGCCTTTTTAAAATGTGTGGAGGGAGAGTGTAAGGTGTTTTGTGTGTATGTGTATTTTCGTTTTATTATATTGTGTTTTTATGTTGTAACCACCCTGAGACCTGTGGGTGTAGGCTATAGGAGCTAACTCCTAGAGGCCATGGGGTCTTTGCCCCCTCCCATTATAAAATATTTTAGGGGGCTGGACTTCCGGTTCCGGTCTGCCTTAATGCCACTCCCACTATAGCGGTGATCATTAGCAAAGAATAAACATGGATTATTTGAGAGTAATTTTCCTTGCAAGTTCCCCCCAGGACCCGGGGGGAGTTAGCTTCACTCACAGATCATCTCGGTACCTGCCTCTTGCTCCGGCATGGAATCAGAGTGGCAGGGAGGCGCTGAGTGCAAAAGCATTTTGCTTATCTGTAACCCTCCTACGCAGCCATTAAGAAGCAGAGGGAGTTCTGTTTATTAGAATGAATTTAGAACTAATATACAGACACGTGCTGTAAAAGATGGGAAAATATCATAAACTGCTAAATTGAAAAATTGTCCAGTAGCACTTTAGAGACCAACTATGTTTGTTCTGGGTATAAGCTTTCGTGTACATGCACACTTCTTCAGATACACTGAAACAGAAGTCACCAGACCCTTAAACTGAAACAGCTACAAAGCCATAATGATTCAAACTGGAAAGAAGACTTCCTTCAATGTGAAATATGGTATGTGAGGGGGAGGGAGCCTTTACCCTTTCTGTATATATATCATGTTTGCTACATAAATGATTCAGCCCCCCTTGAATGCTAACAACCTGATAAAAGGCAAGAGAAGAATGGGATTATACTTACGAAGTACAACAGAAAATAGAGCAGTGTGAGAAAATTGAAATGAATTTAAAAAATTGAATTTCCACTGTATTGCAATGGGATGATGTCAGGGAACTGACATCGGAGCGGGAGGCGAAGGGGAGGCTCCTAGATGATGCTGGAGAAGGACCCAGCAGCAGGGGGAGAAGCAGCTCAGTGGAGGGGGAAGCATTTAAGCGCAACACCAGGAATAAAGGTGGGCAGATGGGGGAATCGGAGAGAGGGCTCCAGGACTCTTCACTGGAACTCAGTGAGGAGGGGACAGGTCCTCCGCTACCCACGCCCTCCCTGCGCAGAAGGCTCCCGCGCAGTGAGAGGAGGAGGAGACTGGGTGTCAAACAACTCTTATGTTGGAAGAGATTCAAGAAACGCCCACTGACGGATTCTGCCAGTGACTGAGGCAGTCATGATTAGAAAGGGCTGTGCAGTCAGAAAGGTTTAACAAGGCAAATTAGCCTAGAGAGGCACCAGTTTACACACGAGTAACTCATACTCATCACAGATGACCTGGATTTTGATCTTTGAAGATTGGCCAAGGCTTGGCAGGACGCCAGATCATAATTGAGAGAGTTGGACGAGAAGCAGTAGGTGGAGTCTTGCTAGAGATTTGGCAGGACGCCAAATTACTCTTTATGTAGACTCAAACAATAACAACAACAAAAAGATGGCGTGTGACACAGTTGAAATTACAGGTTCATTCTCTAGGAACAAAGGAAAAGAGCGGAAGTAGCGATGCTGTGCAGGACATGATGGAGAAGAGGAAGGATGAAGAAACATGGATAAAATAAACATCACACACAGGAAATATAGGGGATACAGAATTCCTCTTGCAGAAATAAAATTTAACAAATGTGTTAATACGAATGGAAGTCAAAAACTTTGAAGCTGCTGATAAGGTAAGGGATTAAGATCAAGACAGAATATAATTGGATTAAGATTTCAGAAGCAGGATGAAATAAAATTATCTCACCTTGAAATCTACCATGCAGGAGGCCACACAAAATGTATAATTTGCTTTATAATTGATATATATTTGAATTGTAATTGTAATTTGAGATTGATAAATGCTGTTTACATCAGATTTTTTTTTTACAAAAACAAAATAAAATTTCAGGGGGCCACTCCCCTGTTGATAGGCATTGCCATTCAAATGATGTGCCTGCATCACATCCTGTGATTGATTATGCGAGGTGGGGCTTACCTGCCCCCCCAATATTTTATTCAGGTTAGCAGTCCTGGTATAGGATGGTATACAAATTAAATAAATACATAAATAATATTAGATCATCTTGGTCATCTTCCTTTCTACATGGTCCAGCTTGTCAATATCCTTGTTTATTCTCATTTTTAAAATTTATGTGAACTTCATCTGAAGATTTCACAGTGGTTCACAACATAAATATGCAGGTTGAAAGCATGGGTTTCTCAAAAACAAATTAAGCCAGAGAAGTCTCTCTTTTAGGGATGGAGTTACAAACTTTGTTGATTAGGTGACTAGAGAATTTGGACATAATATGCAAGAAGCACATGTAGCAAGAAAACAGAAAAGTCTTGATGAACAAACAACTGGGGATGGACTTTATATCATCAGACAAAACTAAAAAAAGAGGTGCAGTAATTTATGCAAAGAATAAATATAACCCCTCTGACTTCCCGCCTTTCCTGTACACGCGCCTCTTGCCGAACACCAATAGATAACGCCGCCTTGGTCAGCTCATCCGTGGATCTCGGTCAGGGTCCCCTGGAGAGCTCATCCTTGATGTCCAAATTTAAGCCTGCCCTAAAGAGCGCCTGCATGGGTTCGGACAACAAATCCCAGTCCAGCTTGTGCACCAGCATTGCGAACCGTGACCAATAGCTGCAAGCAGTCAGGGATCCCTGCTTGAGGGTCAGTAGCTCCTGCTGTGTGACATCCCCCTGAATTTCACTGGTAAACATTGCGTCCATCACCTCATAAAATTTCCCCAAGTCCTGGAGGGCATCGTTTCCCACGCTATTAGGTGTCTCACCCATTCCCGGGCTGCCCCTTCTAAATGGGAAACTATGAACGCCACCCTCTCCTCATCATTAGCAAATTCCCTCCTTTGTAAGTCCAGGCATATTTAATCTCAGTCTTAAAAGCAACGTATTCTTGAGGGTTCCCACCAAAATTGCTCACCAGAGATGGTACTTTTCTCCCCAACGGAGCTGCTCTGATTTGCTGGTCCTGCACTCTGCGCTCCTCCAGCCTTGCTGCGAGCTCAGCGACGTGCGCTTCCAGCTCCACGTTCCTCTGCCTCAGGGCTGCTACATTCCACGCCACCTCTTCCCTAGCACTTCTGCCTGTAGCCCCTCTGCCCGCTGCTCTTTGCTCCTCCAGACTCCCAGTATCCTCTTGATCCATCGTACCGCTCTCCACTGCTACACGCGAGCAACCGCAATGACTACCGGATTGTTGTCAGATGTGGGTGGTGGTTGCTCGTGAGTAACCAGGTGGGATTCCGACCTGTCTTTTACAGTTTTTAGTGGTGCAAACTATTTACAGTGCAGAAACACAAAGTTCATGTCCATCTTAGTCACTTGCAGAATCCGGGAGTGGCCCCTTCTGGCTTCTCCCCCAGCATAAGAACTTCGGTACCCCAAGCCTCCACCTCCCTTCCTTACGTTTCACCCCTCTGTGCAGGCTGGGCAATGGAAGGGGTGTGCGTCTCTCCTGGTCAGCCTGGCTATGTGAGGTGCTGGGGCTCTCCACAGCATCCGCAACCCCTTTCCCCACTTGGCTGGTCCCTTCCCTCTCTCCTTCACTGGAGGTGCGGCTTTCCCCACCGCTGGAGGAGGAGCTGCTCCTCAGGATCTTTGGAGACACTCTGTATCCCAACCGCTCCCCTGCCTCCCTCCTCTGTTCTGATGGCAGTCCCCTGACACCAACTAACTTTGCAAAAAAACTGAAAAAATCCTGAAAGATTACTTTGAATTAAATTTGAATCAAGGGACAGGAAATAATATGGTCTGGGATACAAGTAAAGCAGTGGTGAGAGGTTTCTTTATTCAGCAAAATGCTTGTCAAAAAAAGGTTAGAGGAGGCAAAAAGAAATTTTGAAATAATTGATTAGAAATGAAAAAGAATTGATTTAAAAAAAAACAACCTGGAAAAGATTCAATAAAACAGAATGTAAAAATGTTACAAACACAATTCTCAATGTTAGTGAACCGAGAAATTGAATGGAAGATTAAAATGCTAAGGTAGAAAAACTTTGAATTTGCAAATAAACCAGGGAAACTACTTGCCTGGCAATTAAAAAAAGAAACAGGGACAGACTGTAATAAATAAATTGAGAATAGAAGGCAAAATAGTAGATAACCCGAAGGATCTTAGAAGGCAATTTGTAAAATATTATACAGAGTAATATCAAGCTGGTAAAGAAAATAAAGATATAATTGAAGAATATTTAAAGCAGAGTAAGTTACCAAAAATCCTGAAGGAGAAAATTATTTGAATGCACCAATGACAATGCAAGAGGTGCAACAAGGAGTTAACCATTTAAAATTAGGTAAATCGCCGGAGCCAGATGGTCTATCAGCCAAATATTATAAAAATAACTACAAGACTTTCTGATACAACCGTTGAAAGATGTAATGAATAAAATATTGAACACAAGGGAAAATTCCAGATTCATGGAAAGAGGCATACATAAAATTACTTCCAAACAAGACACAGATTTGCTTTCAGTAAAAAATAGGCCTATTTCTCTGCTCAACAATGATTATAAATTATTTGCTAACATTATGGTGAATTGTTGTTAAAAAGTTAATTCATCAGGATCAAGCTGGCTTTCTTCCTGGCCGACAGCTGAAGGACAACATAAGGAATATAATTGATATAATAGAATATCTGGAGGTGAGGAATAAAAAGCAGGCTGCTTTGATGTTTGTGGATGCAGAGAAGGCCTTTGACAATGTGTCCTGGAAAAAATCTATGGAAATGGTGAATTTTGGAGAAACATTTTAAGAGGAATTGACGCAATTTATACAGATCAGCAGGCAATGCTGATAGTGAATAATGTAGTATCAGAAAAGTGTAAAATTACAAAAGAGACAGGACAGGGTTGCCCCTTGTTGTCATTATTGTTTATTTTAGTATTAGAGACCCTGGTGAGGAACGTAAGATTTAATGAAGAAATAAAAGGTATAACAGTTGGGTGCAAAGTGTATAAATTGCGAGCATTTGCAGATGACCTTGTAATAACAGTGGAAAACCCGTTGCTAAGTATACCAAGGGTATAAGATAAAATATTTGAGTTTGGACAGGTAGCAGGATTCAAATTAAATAAAAATAAAACAAAAGTATCGGTGAAAAATATGACAGAACAAAATAAAAATAAACTACAACTAGCAACACAATTGACAATTAAAAAAGGTGAAGTATCTGGGGGTATGGTTAACTGCTAAGAATATAAACATTTTAAAGGATAATTATGTAACAACGTGGAATGAGACAAAGAAAAACGTGGTGATCTGGGGAAGGATGAATCTATCACTTTTGGAAAGAATGTCAGTTATGAAAATGAATGTATTGCCAAGAATGTTGTTTATATTTCAAACAATACCCATGGTCAACACAGAGGGACACTTCAAACAATGGCAAAAAGATATTTCCAAATTTATCTGGCAGGGCAAGAAACCAAGGAGTAAATATAAACTATTAACAGATACCAAAGAAAGAGGTGGCTTCTCTCTGCCGGATTTGAAATTATATTATGAGGCATCATGTCTCTGCTGGCTATGGGAGTGGATAATGTTAAAAAATACAGACAACTTAGACCTTGAGGGTCATGGTAATATATTTGGTTGGCATGCACATTTATGGTATAAGAAGACCAAAGTGCAAAAGGATTTTTGAATCATTTGGTAAGAAAAGCAATTTATGGAGTATGGGAAAAATATAAAAACCTGTTAGAACAGAAAACACCATGGGGGCTTTCACCAGTGAAAGCTATATCTCTAAAAAAGACTAATGCTAAATGTGAATGGGCAACCTATAAAAAGTTATTCATAGAAGTAGAACAACTGAAATTGAAAAGTTTTGAAGATGTAAGAAAGTTGGTTACAGATTGGTTGCAATAGCATCAATTAAATGATGTGTTTAAAATAGATAAGAAAAATGGATTTAGTACAGAAATTTCAAGGTTTGAAAAAGACATTGGAAAATAATGTGAAGTTACTTTCTAAAATGTATAAATTGTTGCTAGAGTGGCATACAAAAGACGAAGAAGTCAAATTGTAGCAGGTGTTTAATCAGTAATGATTAAACACAATATATTATATATATACACAATATATATTCAATTTTCATCTTGGAAAAAACTGGAGGGAGGACTTGAAATTTACAGCGTTCTGTGCGTTGAAGGAAAATTATATGTAAATGATGTATTGGTGGAATTTAACACCTGTAAGAGTAGCAAAAATGTATAGAACTGCTTTAAATGTTTGCTGGAAATCATCATCATCATCATTTTAAATTTGTATACCATCTTTATATCTTACAATACTCAAGGCAGTTTGCAAGCTGAAGAAACAAAAAATGTACATCTTATAACAATCTAATGCAATACAAAAATGAGATAATAAAACATAACTTTAAAATAAGCAACCTACAACAAAAAAGTAACATTCAACAATCATTAGAATAGTATAAAATAATAATATCAGCATATAAAAGTTAAACAGAAATTCACTCTTAACAGTTACAATAAATAATTTCTAAACTATAATAAATCAAACAATGGCAAGCCACAGTACATAAAATAATACAATGGAAATTGAAAAGCAGAGACTAGAGGGTGGAACAAGGCAGGTGGAAGGAGGCCTTGCCTGATGGAGTCTCTCCCCTCACAGGTCTCCCTCCAGGAACAGCTCCTCATGAGGAGTCCTAGGGCCAGAGAGGGGGCAAGGCAGGTGGAAGAAGTCCTTGAAGAAGAAGAAGAGTTTGGATTTGATACCCCGCCTTTCACTCCCCTTCAGGAGTCTCAAAGCAGCTAACATTCTCCTTTCCCTTCTTCCCCCACAACAAGCACTCTGTGAGGTGAGTGGGGCTGAGAGACTTCAGAGAAGTGTGACTGGCCCAAGGTCACCCAGCAGCTGCAGGTGGAGGAGCGGAGACGCGAACCCGGTTCCCCAGATTACGAGACTACCGCTCTTAACCGCTGCACCACACTAGCTCTCAGGGAGTCAGGGAGTCAGAGAATCCTCCATGATGAGATGAAATATTTGTTTGAATTTAAATTTGTTATGTAAAACTTGCTAAAAAAAAATGTTTTTTTTTAAAGACTCCAACCAGTAATCATGGGAAAATATGGTGTGATCTTTTAGAGTGCAGTGGTACCTCGGGTTAACTACTTACCGTATTTTTCGCTCCATAGGGTGCACCAGACCATAGGGCGCACCTAGTTTTTAGGGGGGGGAATCAAGAAAATTGATGTGGGGATCCGTTTTGCAGCACAAGGCTAGGGTTAGGGGGGGCTGAAGCGACGGAGCCCCAGACCAACCGTCCCAAAGACATCTTCCTTCCAAATCGGGTTGACAAAGCCAAGCGCTGCTTTGCAAGCGACACGATGTATGTCTGCACTGATCTTTTTGCCGTCTTAAGTCGTCTTTGTGTGTGAAAATCGTCCCCAGTGCAGGTGGGGTAACAGCAGCCAGAATTTGGGCCTGCAAAGAGGAAGGAAACAGACCATGTGGGGAGCGGGGTTTAAATCCACACTCATGCGCTTAACCCCCCCCCCCCGTAAACGCTGCTAATAAAATCCCCTAGCATTGCAGTGGGTTGGACTAGATGACCCTTGGGACCCCTTCCAACTCTACAATTCTATGATCGAAGTCGGACTTCTATGATTCTATGCTTCCCCTGTGGCTGCTTCAAAGTTTTTAAAAAAGTAAGAAAGTCGGGAGATCCCATCGTGCCTATTCCATGTCTGCTTTCCCGGCTGCCTTCGCCGCCTCCCCCTGCAAAAAAGGGGCCGCTTCTTCTCCAGGAACCCCCCTCCAGCAGGCAGGGGCGACGTGTTTTGGCGCGTCCCTCGTCTCCCCCCCGCCTCACCTTCTGGGTTCCCTCGCTCCCTCCCCTGCCGTTTCTGCGGTGGGTGCTGGCGGGTCTTTCCGCCGTTCCTTGGCAGAGCAATCCCCCCACGGCGGTGAGGGAGAGGGGCGGTGGGAGCGCGCGTCAGGCGGAAGGGAAGCGGCCTCACCGCCTTTAAATGGCATTACATGTCATCTGAGCAAGCTCCTGTGTGGGCAGGCGAGAGAGAGAGCGTGGCGCAGGGACACCAGCGGAGCGCCCGCTTCTTTCTGCCCGTTGCCGCCACCAGCAGGATTTACCCTCCTCCCCAGCGCGCTTTTTCGGCTGCAGAAGCCACCCTCTCGTCCCACCTCCGGCGGCTTTCCCGCCTTTTTCGCCCGGGTCTCCCTCGCATTAGAGAGAAACGCCTCAAGGCAGCGAAGAATAAGCAGCAGCACAAAGCGAGACCCAAGCGCGAGGCGCTCTTCGGGGCACTGGTTTTCTGGCGTGCGCGCTCTTTCTCGGCGTTCCCTTTTTTGCTGCTTTTCTCTTTCCCTCGCTTGATGGCTGCTGCCGCCGCCAAGCCCGCAGAGCTGATGGGCATCTACTCGAGCTACCAGGCGGTGATGCCGCACTTTGTCTGCATAGCCAAGGAGTTCCCTCAGCCCACCCGGCCGGCCAAGCTGCCGCAGGGCAAGCTGCACAGACACTGCCAGTCGCACTTCAAGCCACAGCTCTCCTGGCTTCAGCAAAAGGAACCTGAAGCCTTTGGAGCACAACCCGAGTTCCCGCTGCGCTCCAAAGGTTTCAGGCGGCTATCCCTGAAGCCTGGAGAGCAAGAGGGGTCGGTGTGCACCAGGCTTCAGCGAAAGCAACGCGTAGCCTCTGGAGCGCTCCCTCTGCGCTTTGGAGGCTTCGCGTTGCTTTCGCTGAAGCCAAGGAGCCTGCATTCGCTCCATAGGACACACAGACATTTCCCCTTAATTTTTGGAGGGGGAAAAGTGCGTCCTATAGAGCGAAAAATACGGTAATTCGTTCCGGAGGTCTGTTCTTAACCTGAAGCACCACTTTAGCTAATGGGGTCTCCCGCTGCCGCCGTGCCACTGGAGCATGATTTCTGTTCTCATCCTGAAGCAAAGTTCTTAACCCGAGGTAATATTTCTGGGTTAGCGGGGTCTGTAACCTGAAGCGTCTGTAACCTGAAGCATATTTAACCCAAGGTACCACTGTAATCAAATGAAACTTTAACACATGGCATGATGAAAGTCTGCAATTTCATCAGGGTAAGGTATTTGTTGTTTATGGTTGTAACCATTGCTTTCTTTAAAATTATCTTTTCTACCATGAAAATAAATAAAAGCAATTTTTTAAAAAGGAGGTGGGGAAATCATATGTACTATTGCATTAATCTGCTTGCATGTGTTGAGTGTTATTTGGAGACTGTTGTTGTTGTTTCGTCGTTTAGTCGTGTCCGACTCTTCGTGACCCCATGGACCAGAGCACGTCAGGCACTCCTGTCTTCCACTGCCTCCCGCAGTTTGGTCAGATTCATGTTTTTAGCTTCGAGAACACTATCCAACCATCTCGTCCTCTGTCGTCCCCTTCTCCTTGTGCCCTCCATCTTTCCCAACATCAGGGTCTTTTCCAGGGAGTCTTCTCTTCTCATGAGGTGGCCAAAGTATTGGAGCCTCAGCTTCACGATCTGTCCTTCCAGTGAGCACTCAGGGCTGATTTCCTTCAGAATGGATCAGTTTGATCTTCTTGCAGTCCATGGGACTCTCAAGAGTCTCCTCCAGCACCATAATTCAAAAGCATCAATTCTTCGGCGATCAGCCTTCTTTATGGTCCAGCTTTCACTTCCATACATCACTACTGGGAAAACCATAGCTTTTACTATACGGACCTTTGTTGGCAAGGTGATGTCTCTACTTTTAAGATGCTGTCTAGGTTTGTCATTGCTTTTCTCCCAAGAAGCAGGCGTCTTTTAATTTCGTGGCTGCTGTCACCATCTGCAGTGATCATGGAGCCCAAGAAATAAAATCTCTCACTGCCTCCATTTCTTCCCCTTCTATTTGCCAGAAGGTGGTGGGACCAGTGGCCATGATCTTTGTTTTTTTGATGTTGAGCTTCAGACCATATTTTGCGCTCTCCTCTTTCACCCTCATTAAAAGGTTCTTTAATTCCTCCTCACTTTCTGCCATCAAGGTTGTGTCATCTGCATATCTGCATATTTGGAGACTGTAACTCCCAGTAATTTCACATTATCTGTGAGTTTCTGTGTGTTCAGCACACATGATTGCAGGTGAGACTGAATAAAAGACTTCCTAGGAAATTCCCTTTGACTGCTTCTGTATTGTTTCAGATGCAGCTTCACTTACAGATAAGAACAAATCATATTTATTGCTGACAAATCATACCATTGTCACCTCCACCCCAACAAACCCTGTGCTGAACATGAGCAGCTGCTTTCTTCCCATTTCTTAGGTGAAAAGAACTGATAATGAAAAGGAAGAAGGGAGATAGACCTGGGATCTGGGGGGCTTCATTTCACCCCTTAGTCCTGCTCCTGAAAGCTTGGCAAATGTGGAGTATTTGCTCACACACTGCCATGACTTAAAAATGAATCTTCCAAAATAAAAATTAAAAAATGGTATTGCAGTCCTAAAAAGTCTCAAGAAAGCAATTCCTGTAGTATTTGGCATCTTAGCGAGCCCAGTGCCACTCTGCCAACTGTCTCACGCCCAGCTAACTAATCTGAAAAGCTGTCTTGTCATCTCTGCAAGGACTTCAGTGTCCCTTGAATTAGCAATTCAGCATTTCTGGAAAGGGAAATGATACACTTTTGTATATTAGCATAACAAGCATGCATAAGAATTATTAGACAGAAAAAGCATGCACAAGAAAGTATTACTCATTTATGATGAAAATGGGATTTATTTATTATGAACTTTGCTTGGTTCCTGCTTGGCAGCCAGTGCGATTGTTTCAGCAGGGCTAGAACTCAGGACCCGCTGCCTTGAGGGACATCTAAGAGCAGTTGGGCAGGGAAAGGTCTCCCTTGGGAGGTGGTGGACTCTCCTTCCTTGGAGGTTTCTGAGCAGAGATCGGACGGCCATCTGCCATGGATGCTTTAGCTGAGATTCCTGCATTGCTGGGGGTTGGACTAGATGACCCTGGGATCCCCTCCTATCTCTCCACTCCTGAATTCAAGGGGGAGCTTCCTTGCCTAATGCAAAGCCCTTTTCCCTGCATGCTCTTCCTCTGGTTTCTGGCCATGGGAGGGAGATGCTCAGAGTCCAGCCAAGATCCTCACCCCCAAAAGTATATCTGGGCATTGGCGGAGCCAGGTGGGCAGCTGCCCCTCAAAATCCATAAGAAATAATAAGAATCTGAGGTTCTGCCAAGCGAGAGAGGGCTGAGCCGGAGGGACTCGGCTTGGCAAGGGTTAAAGGGAACTGAGCTGCCTTCCTAGAGAGGACAGGAAGCAAGGGGGGGCCAGGTCCTCCAGAGCCAAGGCCCCTCCCTCCCCAGTCCTTCCCTTGCTTTGGTGTCTCTCCTGCAAGGGCTGCATCGCTGTCCCTCCTGGGATCTGGTGAGTCTCCTCTCTCTCCCCCCAGAGGGTGCAGTGGGGGGACGGGGGGGGCAGGGCTGCAGCAGGGGAGGAGGCCTGGGGGGCCTGATCTGCTCCTGCAGGGGGGGGACCCCAAGTCAGGGAGGAGAGGGTCCTGCCAGGGAGGGGCCAGGTCTGCCACGCTCTCCTTCCTGCAGATCAGAGGATCCCAAACTCATTTGACCCTCCGCCCCCCCCTTTCAGAAAAGATCTCCCTTCTTTAAACAAAGGAGTCCCTAGGATTTTAACTCTCTGTGACGTCGCTCAGCCTCATTGCACAACAGAGGAAACATCTGCAAATGGTTTTCCAAAGCTGGACGAGGAGGTGGACTAGCCCCTCCCCCCAAAAAAAGGTGGGAGAGAAAGGCCAGGAATAAAGAGAGGGATCCCAGCCCAGAGTCCGGCTGCTGCATTGGGGACCAGTTTCCCAGTGTCTCCCAGGGCAGCTCCCCACAGAGGCCACTGCAGCAATCCCCTCGCACCCAGAGCATGGCATCCCAGGACCACATCCTCTCTGCCCCAAAGGGATTGTAGCTGGAAAAGCAGCCGGAAATGGGCGCTGCTACTCACTGAGCCTCCAGGGACCTTAGCCTAAATTTCAAGGGAGGTGTATTTGGCCCCACCCACTTGGCCCTCAGGGGGTTGACCAGATGTATACCTGGCCCTTGGAGCAAAGAAAAAGGGACCCCACCCCAGGAGTCTTTCTGGAGAGCAGCAGAGAGTCCAAGTGCAAAAAAGGAGACAAAAGCAGGGGAGTGGGGGTGGGGGGAGCAACTCCTGAGGACCCCCAGGTGAGGACCCCCACTAGAGCCAAGTATCCATTTTTCACAAGATACAAATGACTCCCTTCTCAGTCAGTTCTGACTTCATGCATTGACTGGAAGGCAGGAGCAACCAGGCTGAGTCCCCTCGCATTAATCTCTTCGCTTGCCTCCAGAATTCCACAATCTCCCTTCTACAGGCCTACATCTCCTCCTCCTCCTTTTTAGAAAGATACCTCAGAGTCTGGGCTGTGGTGCTCCCAGAAATCCCTTCAGTTGCCTCCACATTTTGCATTGCAATCTTTCTTCTAGGAGGGCTTGAGGCTGCTTCCTCCTATTTTTTTTTTTAATTAATATTTATTAAAGTTTCAGAAATAATAAAATCACATTAATAAACAAGAAATTTTTTAACAAAAACAGAGAAAAATACACCATACAAAATACAAAATACAAAATAGAAAAAAGAAAAAAAAAGAAAAAAGAAAAAAAAAACAGTTAAAGATAGTTCCGTCTTTTCATAACTTCTTTTACATTTACTTGTTTCCCGGACTTCCTCATACCTCCCTCTTTTGTATTCCAATTCTGTTTGTAAGCCCAGCAATTTCTTTCCCTCCTTTTTAATTCCAATCCTAAATCTTAATATATTATGACATTAGATTTTTACCTATTTAGAGGCTGCTTCCTCCTATTCCTCCTCCTCCTCCTTTTTCTCCTGTACTACTTCTGCTGTGTGTGACATGGGTCAGCGTCATTGCACAACAGAGGAAACATGCATGAATGGTTGCTCCCAAACCTCTTCCTTTGTTTCTCTCCTTTCTTTCTGCTTCTACCGCCCCCTTATTGGCAGAGGAGGCCAGCCAAGCAGATCAAGCCAAGCTTTATGAGGAGCTGGGTATGTTTAGTTGGAGAAGAGGAGACAGAGAGGAGATTGGAGAGCCATCTCACCTGGGGGGAGGATTCCAACCAATGGCTTCAAGCTACAAGAAAGGAGATTCGGACTCAACACACCTAGTCATTTTTCACGAGGCACCAATGACTCGCTTGTCAATCAGTTCTGACTTCATGCATTGACTGGAAGGAAGGAGCAACCAGGATGAGTCCCCTCCATTAATCTCTTCGCTTGCCTCCACATTTCTGCAATCTCCCTTCGAGAGGCCTACATCTCCTCCTCCTCCTCCTCCTCCTCCTCCTTTTTAGAAAGATAGCTCATGGTTTGGGCTGTGGTGCAGTCCTACCCTGGTTCCCAGCAAGACTCATCCATGCTTGCTCAGGGAACCTTTTTCTTCTACTGATATTGTACAACTTTTGTAACAGAACAATGTATTTGCTTTGTAGGATTTGCTAGAGCTTCTCATTCAGACAGACAGAATTTTAAAAAGATCAAAGGGTTCCTTTTGGTCTCTCAGAGGCTTCCTGAGAGCACAGATGGATGAGCAAGACTCAGCTGGCCCTGGAGCAGGAAGAGGCCATGACATCCAAACTGGGAGCAGTGGGGGATTCTGGGAAAACTCTGGGCAGAAGATCCTGGGTGAGGAGGACACCCTCCGCTCAGAGGTGCAGAACCAACAGTTGAGGCAGTTCTGCTGCCAGGAGGCCAAAGGACCCCGAGAGGTTTGCAGCCGACTCTACCACCTTGACCATCGGTGGCTGAAGCCAGAAAGGCACACGAAAGCTGAGATGCTGGACCTGGTGATCTTGGAGCAGTTCCTGGCTGTCCTTCCACCGGAGATGGAGAGCTGGGTGAGGGAGTGTGGAGCGGAGACCAGTTCCCAGGCGGTGGCCCTGGCCGAAGGTTTCCTCCTGAGTCAGGCAGAGGAGAGAAAGCAGGCAGAGAGAAAGCAGGTGAGAGAGACTTTCCTCTGGATACTCCCAAGGCCTCCAAACAGGATGGAAAACATCCCATAATGACCTACTGATGGCCTATCCTTTTTCTGGGGCTGCATCCATGGAATGAGATCTAACACTCTTAAAGTTTTTTTCTTTTTCATTCTCTTTGTAATATTTCTCACCTTTCTCTGTTTTGAATCCTTGTTGGTCTTTCAGGAAAATGATCATTTTGCAGAAATGAACATGGATTCCTGTGAGACAGAGAGGCCTCCGTTGGACACCAGAGAGACACCACTGGGTAAGGTGAATGGTGGGTTTTCTCCTTTTGGTCTCCTTTTGTTGGTTTCCCAACTAATCTGTGGGTTCTTTTCATCTTGTTTTTTCTTTGGGGGGGTGACTGTTGGGGCCAAGGGTCTAGAACAGGGGAGACATATTTATGCACAACAAACATATGAAACAAATGTCCAACTGCACTCAGCAGGTAAGGCTTCCTCAATGGCCCATTTGTAGTTAGAGATGCCCTGTTTCACCTGTGAGAGAAGCAGGCACTCCTGGCATCCTGATTACCTTTTTTCTCTTGCAGGAGACAGAATGATGCTGGCAAGACCTCCTGATCCGCCTTTTCATGGGGGCAGAAGGGAAGCAGCGGCTGTTGAACCAGATCAGGTCAGGGGAAGCTGCCTTGTGGGGACAGAGGCCGAGGGATGGAGCAATGTCATGGACTGGTTGGGCACAGAGGAGTGGTGGGAGGAAGCAGCCAGGGAACCAGGAAGGGAAGACCGCTCAGAGCCCAAGGAGTGGAGGTGGAACAAGGATGAGCAGTGAAAGGGAGAAGAGGGAGAAGCCTGGGAAGAGGACGTGTCAGAATCTGAATGGGTAACAGGGCTTAGTGAGCTGGGAGACTCTGTGGCAGAATGCAGTGCAGAATCAGAGGCAGAAGAGGGAGGAGGCGAGTGGGAGGAGGGAGGTCGAGAGGCAGGTCAGGAGAAGGAGGAGCCACCATTGGCTCCTTCTTCTTCTGCCAGAAGCCACCCTCCCTGATTGTCTCTCAGAACCAGGAGACGTCTGACAATGGAGGAGCAAAGGCAGGCTGCACATTGGTGCACTGCTCAATCGCTTGCAAGAAACCCCAGAGAGGAGGGGAGTTAGAAAGCTGTGGGGAGCCGGAGGCCTTCACTCTCAGCAACTGATTTTGTGGAGGAAGACCCTGGCATGGAATTCGACTCAATATTGATCCAGAGCAGAACTCCAATATATAGTTAGCAGATTTGCACTGTCCATAAGAAATCCAGTTGCAGCAGACTTTACTTACATAACATAATAAGTCTAAACCTTAACACTCAGCATACTTTGTACAGAACACCAGAAGGAAGAGAGAGCGAAAGAGAAAGAGGCTCCTTCTGGCCTCTTATTATAGTCAGCCTGACCTTGACAGAAGAGATAAGAGAACCACTTTAAACCAGCTGTACTCAGCTTCTCTGAAGGAATAACCCAAACATCAGGAACCTTCTGCTTATTTCTCTTATGCAGACAAGCTTCCAGAACCCTCTTGAATTAATCAGAGTAGGAAAGAGATCAATGCTTTCTGCACTAATAAATGCAGACTGACAATCCCCCCCATTTATTAGGTGCGGGAAGTATTGATATGCAAAACACCTCTAGAAAAACATTGCATGTACGCTTTCCTTCTACAAAAATAAATCCTAGCCTTTGGTTGGTAGACCAAAGACGAAACAGTCTGACCAGATGCTTCTGTGAGCAGCAGAACAACATCCTGACTCCTAAAAAACCAACTCACGTTTTTCAAATATAGTCCCTCACATTATAAAACAAAACAGTACCTATGAAACCTGACACAGTTAAGGAAAAGACGCAACTCACACATCAAAACAGCTATCTTATAAACCTTACCTTATGTTACCTTATCTTAAACTCCACTCAAATATATAAACCAAGACCTGAAAACATCACTTCATAGCAAACCTCTCCAACAGAATACTCAACAGAGCACCTCTTTACAAGACCACTTAAACAAACTACCTAATCTTACTTTTCATATACCTCCACACTAAAGAAACTTCCACCTAGACAGCTAGTCCATTAATTGATTGACAATGCAAACTGACAGACCCTCGGGGAATGAGCTGCTGTTCTCATTAGGCCTGAAACTCAGCCAAGTCTGTGAATATCGTGTTCTTGCTAAGAAAGAGTTAACTCCAGCTGTGAACTGTGGGATTTCCTGCCCAGATAACTCTGTGACACGAGGCTTCTGAATGTCGCCAGTAAGATTCATCTGTAGTTGCTGTTTTCATGGAATCCTAGAGTTGAAAGGAACCCCAAGGGTCATCAAGTCCAACCCCCTGCATTGCAGGAATCTCAGCTAGATCACCCAAGACAGATGGACATCCAAACTAGGCTTATTGTATTTCTATATTCATCACTGAGTGCTAAAATAGGCTTCTAAGCAGTGGACAGACGATAACAAATAGTGGCCAGGATTCACCTACCCAGCCCTGTCCACTGCAAAATGGGGCCCGCCCCCCATTCCTCCCCCTCTCCATGCCCCCATGAACCCCTTTAATTTGGCTTTAGAGCATTGGGATGAAACCTCCCCAGAACAACTCACGAGGAGAGGGGAAAGTGGATCCTTCCATCTGGGAAACTTGGATGCTTGTGTAGGCAGAATGACTTGAAAAACACCAGGTGGAGTACCACCTATTTGCACAAAGACCAATACCCATAATTAAAACGCAGAATTAAATAATTCCATTAAAGTGTTAAAATAAGCATCCATATTTAAAATGTGCAGCAAAGCAATCCTATTGAAACAACACCACAATTTACAGGAAGGAAACAACAGACCATTGTGGAGTAGATCATATTTCTGCTGTCTCAGAGGAAGACATTTCCCTTTTTCTTTTAGGGTCCAGTCTGCTTTGAAGATGTCGCTGTTCGTTTCACGGACGAGGAGTGGGTGTTGCTGGATCCTGACCAGAGAGCTCTGCATAAGGACATCATGGAGGAGAATCGTGGGATCGTGGCCTCTCTTGGTAAGGCTCCCTGTGGGATCATAATATCTCTTTAAATTCAAAACAGCTGTCTGTGATGAACCTCATATATTTTCACAGAATTCAACAGCGCCCCATACAGCACCTGGGATTACAATATTCTCACAAAAAACCTTGAACAGTAAATTACTGTTTTTTCTGTGAATGATCTTCCTCCAGTTGCAGCTTCTTAAACAAGGATCAGGCTGGTCTGAACTATCGAGGCCATTTTAACTGTAAACTTCAGAGTTGTTAGGGAAGTTGAAGTAGCTTCTGTCAGGTTTTCACTTTTTGTTTTTGCTCCTGTCAGTCTTTGGTTGTCCAAAGAGAAGAGTGATGTTGGAAATGGAAGGGATTCCATAACCTTTGCTCTCCACCAACCCAAGAGTGGGTTGCCTGACAAAGGTGTTTGGCTGTTTTAAAATGTGAACTGCTGCGTTAGGGACGCGGGTGGCGCTGTGGGTTAAACCACAGAGCCTAGGACTTGCCGATCAGAAGGTCGGCAGTTCGAATCCCTGTGACAGGGTGAGGTCCCGTTGTTCGGTCCCAGCTCCTGCCAACCTAGCAGTTCGAAAGCACGTCAAAGTGCAAGTAGATAAATAGGTACCGCTCTGGCGGGAAGGTAAATGGTGTTTCCGTGTGCTGTTCTGGTTCACCAGAAGCGACTTATTCATGCTGGCCACATGACCTGGAAGCTGTACGCGACATTTTTCCACCCTCGCCACATCAAGCAGTTGGTCCCTTACCTTTCTCGCCCCGACCTGGCCACAGTGATCCATGCGACGGTCACCTTCAGGCTTGACTATTGTAATTCGCTCTACGCGGGGCTGCCCTTGAAGCTGTCCCAGAAACTCCAGCGCGTGCAGAATGCTGCAGCGAGGCTCCTCACAGGGTCTCTGCCATGGGAGCATATTCGCCCAGTGCTTTTCCAGCTGCACTGTCTCACGGTGGATTCAGGGTCAGATTTAAGGTGCTGGTTTTGACCTTTAAAGCCCTTCACGGCCTAGGACCCTCGTACATATGGGACCGCCTCTCCCGGTATGCCCCATGGAGGACCTTAAGGTCCATGAATAGTAACACCCTAATGGTCTGGGCCCTAAGGAAGTTAGATTGGCTTCAGCCAGAGCCAGGGCCTTTTTAACACTGGCTTCGGCCTGGTGGAACGCTCTGTCTCATAAGACCAGGGCCTTGCAGGATCTGATTTCTTTCCACAGGGCCTGTAAGACAGAGTTGTTCCGCCTGGCCTTTGGCTTGGAGCCAATTTGATTCCCTCACCCTCATTCTTTTTCCTTTCTCCTCCTGTGATGAGGCTGCATTTTAATATTTTAACGTTTCAATATTTTAATGTTGTATTATAATCTTGTTTTTAAGTTGTATTCATTCAACTTGTTTTTATTTTTGCTTCTTAGCCACCCTTAGCCCGGCCTTGGCTGGGGAGGGCAGGCTATAAATAAAAATTATTATTATTATTATTACGCCGGTTCCCTCAGCCAATAAAGCAAGATGAGCGCCGCAACCCCAGAGTCGGTCACAACTGGACCTAATGGTCAGGGGTCCCTTTACCTTTACCTTTACCTTTACCTTTACCTTACTGCGTTTTCAGGGTATGGATTCAACATTCTTTTTGACCAGTTTTAACAAGTATTCTACATTAATTCCTCCCTGAGGCTCTAATCCATTTCTCTTTATTGCAGATAGTGATGTACTGGAAATCAAGAACAAGAGTGACCATGACAAAATCCCCACAATGGAGAAGTTGTATAAATATCTTGAAAATGGAAAAAGTTCCAATTCCACTTCCCATCAAGGAAATCTCATTAGGAAGAAACCCTATCAGTACATGGAATGTGGAAAGAGCTTCGGTCAGAGTTCCTCTCTCAATTCCCATCAAAGAATTTATACAGCGGAGAAGCCCTATCAGTGCATGGAATGTGGAAAGAGCTTCGGACAGAGAGCCCATCTCACTTCCCATCAAAGAATTCATACAGGGGAGAAACCCTATCAGTGTGTGGAATGTGGAAAGAGCTTCAGCCAGAGCTCTGATCTCACTTCCCATCAAAGAATTCATACAGGGGAGAAACCCCATCAGTGCATGGAATGTGGAAAGCGCTTCAGTAAGAGCTCCCATCTCACTTCCCATCAGAGAATTCATACAGGGGAGAAGCCCTATCAGTGTGGGGAATGTGGAAAGAGCTTTAGTCACAGTGGCCACCTCACTTGCCATCAAATAATTCATACAACAGAGAAACCATATCAGTGCTTGGAATGTGGAAAGAGCTTCACTACAATCTCCTCTCTGAGTTCCCATCAGAGAATTCATACAGGAGAGAAACCCTATCAGTGTGTGGAATGTGGAAAGAGCTTCAGTACGAGCTCTGATCTCACTAAGCATCAGAGAATTCATTCAGGGGAGAAACCCTATCTGTGTGTGGAATGTGGAAAGAGCTTCATTGATAGCTCCTCACTCACTTCCCATCAAAGAATTCATACTGGGGAGAAACCTTATCAGTGTGTGGAATGTGGAAAGAGCTTTACTCATAGCTCCCATCTCACTTCCCATCAAAGAATTCATACGGGTGAGAAACCCTTTCATTGTGTGGAATGCGGAAAGAGCTTCAGTAAGAGATCCGATCTCACTAAGCATAAGAGAATTCACAGAGGGGAGAAACCCTATCAGTGTGTGGAATGCGGGAAGAGCTTCATTCAGGGCTCCCATCTCACTTCCCATCAAAGAGTTCATACAGGGGAGAAACCATATAATTGTTTGGAATGTGGAAAGAGCTTCGCTCAGGGCTCCCATCTCACTTCTCACCAAAGAATTCATACAGGGGAGAAACCCTATCAGTGCATGGAGTGTGGGAAGAACTTCAGGAAGAGCTCTGAACTCACTTCCCATGAAAGAATTCATACAGGGGAGAAACCATATAATTGTTTGGTATGTGGAAAGAGCTTCACTCAGGGCTCCCATCTCACTTCTCACCAAAGAATTCATACAGGGGAAAAACCATATCAGTGTGCGGAATGTGGAAAAAGCTTCAGTATGAACTCCTCTCTCACTTCCCATCAAAGAATTCATACAGGGGAGAAACCCTATCAGTGTGTAGAATGTGGAAAGAGCTTCACTGATCGCTCCTCTCTCACTTCCCATGAAAGAATTCATACAGGGGAGAAACCCTATCAGTGTGTGGAATGTGGAAAGAGATTCCTTCGGAGCACTGATCTCACTTCCCATCAAAGAATTCATACAGGGGAGAAACCCTATCAGTGCGTGAAATGTGGAAAGAGCTTCAGGGACAGCTCCTCTCTTAATTCCCATCAAAGAATTCACACAGGGGAGAAACCCTATCAATGTGTGGAATGTGGGAAGAGCTTCAGGGACAGCTCTCAACTCAGTTCCCATCAAAGAATTCATACAGGGGAGAAACCCTATCAGTGCATGGAATGTGGGAAGAGTTTCAGGAAGAGGTCCTCTCTAACTTCCCATCACAGAATTCATACGGGGGAGAAACCCTATCAGTGTGTGCAATGTGGAAAGAGCTTCAGTGCCACCTCCCATCTCACTTCCCATCATAGAATTCATACAGGGGAGAAACCCTATCAGTGTGTGGAATGTGGAAAGAGCTTTAGTCAGAACTCCAATCTCACTTCCCACCAAAGAATTCATACAGGGGACAAACCCTATCAGTGCGTGGAATGTGGAAAGAGCTTCAGGGACAGCTTTGATCTCATCTGCCATCAAAGAATTCATGCAAAGGATGAAAAAGCTTTCATTGTACAGCTTTCAGCACTAGGGAAAAACACACCTCTTGAACCAGGCCTTTGGCTGATTGACATGTAATAATATCCTTTAAAAATGTGATAGGGAGGTGGGGATTACATGTTGGGGAGGTGTTTTTTGTTTTCATATTGTTATTTTATCTTGTAACCATCTTGAGACCTGTGGAATAGGAGCCAACTCATAGAGGCCGAGGGTTCTTTGCCCCCCCAATAAAATATTTGAGGGGGCACCCCCCAGTTGATAGGCATTGGCATTCAAATGGCATGCACACACCACAGCATGTGACTGATTATGTGAGGTGGTGCTCACTAAACCCCTTCTATATTTTATTCAAGTTGGTACCCCTGGTATAGGGAAGTATCGAAATTAAATAAATGCATAAATAAAATAATACCATCTTGGTTGCTTTCATTTGCACATGTTGCAGTTTGTCAATATTCTTCTTAATTATTATCATTTTTAATTATAGCTTAACCCACACACAGCCATAGATGCCAAGGTCATGAGGCCACCAACTGATGTGCCTTTCAAAGGAGTGTTAGACAAATTCCCGGAGGAGGAGGAGAGGGCTCTGCTCTGGCTCCACAGGGAGAGGCAGCCAAGCTTCTGAAAAACAGTTGCTGGAAATCGCAGGAGGGGAAGAAAAGGGCTCTAGTGCTCGGATCCTGCTTGGGGGTTTCCTGTTGGGGCACCTGATCAGCCACTGTGAGAACAAGGCTAGAAACTACCCCCATTGGCCACTTGCGGCCCATGGGCCACAGGTTGCCGACCCCTGGGTTAAAAGTTTTCTCAAAAACAAGTAAAGCTAGAGAAATCTCTCCTCCCCATGTTTTGGATGGAATTCTTAACCCAAGGTACTATTTCTGGGTTAGCGGAGTCTGTAACCTGAAGCGTCTGTAACCCGAGGTACCACTGTATTTAGACCCTCAATTTGAGTAACTTGGGGGGCATCACCGGAATCAACTATGCTACAGGTACCATTAGGCATGCAATTTTCAAGTAAATTTTTCATGGGTGTGGCAATTCCAGAGGCATGTAGTCCTTGGTGCTTTACTTTATATTCACTTGCTATGTACTGAAGTACTAAGTACTGTGCTTTTCCGTGTATAAGACTAGGTTCTTTTTACTTTAAAATAAGGTTAAAAATCTGGGGGTGTCTTATACATGGATAGTGCATATGCCCATTTTCTAAATTTGGGGTCCCTAAAAGTAGGGGGTGTCTTATAAATGGGGGCGACTTATACACAGAAAAATATGGTACTTTGTGGACTTCAGCGTCAGGTCAATGAACACAAGGTGCAGCTGCTGTACAGGGTGACATTAACTAGCACAAGGTGGTTCTATTAGTAGGCAGATAGGCTTCAAGCTGCTCTATCTCTTTGCAGAGGATGCAGTCCTAGGTTAGAAGTGAGTAGTTGCAAAGTAGCTTTCTGACACATTTGAGTAAGACCCATTTGGAGAACTCCTGTTATTTCCATATATGATATTTTTACTAGAGGCTTATGTGAATTGCTGAAACAGGCACACAGCCTAAAAGGTAAATACTGTTTAGGGAAGCTTTTAATATCTAAAGGACTATAGTATTTTAATATTTTGTTGGAAGCTGCCCAGAGTGGCTGGGGAAACCCAGCCAGATGGGCGGAGTATAAATAATAAATTGTTGCTGTTGTTGTTATTGTTATGTTAAAGCTATGGTTTTCCCAGTAGTGATGTATGGAAGTGAGAGCTGGACCATAAAGAAGGCTGACTGCCAAAGAATTGATGCTTTTGGATTATGGTGTTGGAGGAGACTCTTCAGAGTCCCATGGACTGCAAGAAGATCAAACCTTTCCATTCTGAAGGAAATCAGCTCACTGGAAGGACAGATCCTAAAGCTGAGGCTCCAGTACTTTGACCACCTCATGAGAAGAGAAGACTCCCTGGAAAAGACCCTGATGTTGGGGAAGATGGAGGGCACAAGGAGAAGAGGACGACAGAGGACGAGATGGTTGGACAGTGTTCTCGAAGCTACCAGCATGAGTTTGACCAAACTACGGGAGGCAGTGGAAGACAGGAGGGCCTGGCGTGCTCTGGTCCAGGGGGTCACGAAGAGTGGGGCACGACTAAACGACTAAACAACAACATTATTATTATTACAAATATATGTATATATTGCCATTTTAGGGCAATTTCCTGTTTGCTTTGAGCCTTAATTCAAATCTCTGAATAGTTATTCTAAAATTCAGTTTACATTGCTAGACATCATGTGAGAGAAGTTTTTCAAAACTAAAATTAATCAAGAGTTATCTTAGGTCCACTATGAGTCAAGCTGAGCTCTCTGGCTTAGCCATCTTGTCAACTGAAAACAAAGTAGCGAAAGGAAATGATTTTGATGACGCGCGGGGGGGGGGATGTTTTGAGTGCTTATGCTAACAATGTTAAGTAAATAAACAGAAAATAACACTTGCAACTGTAAGTATCTTATTTCTCCTTCTTTTAATAATTTAAGGGGGGTGGTGACAAGAAATTTTCCGCAGCAGGACATTGCAAAACAGCCCCCCCCCCCCCCCCGTTGAGGGAGTGCTATGAACAGGCGAAGGGGGGAATTGCAACTGCCAGAAAAGGAGCTCATCTCCTTTTGCAGGAGAAGCGTGGGAAACCCCCCCCCCCCAGAGAACAGGGAAAGTGTCAATTCTAAGTAGATACAATGTATCTGGTCTTGGCCCAATGTTAGCCTAGCTGGAAACTCCTGAAGGAAAGGAAAACAGGAGGCGTCCCCCAAAAAGCATCTCTGGAAGTGTGCAATGCACACCAGAGAGAAAAACGCAGCAGTCAGATCTGGGCACACTGGGCTTTGCAAGGGTTAAAGGGAACCGAGCTGCCTTCCTAGAGAGGAAGCAAGGGGGGGCCAGGTCCTCCGGAGCCAAGGCCCCTCCCTCCCCCGTTCTTTCATGCAAGGAAGGGGGGGTTGCTTTGGTGTCTCTCCTGCAAGGGCCGAATCGCAGCCCCCTCCTGGGATCTGGTGAGTCTCCTCTCTCTCTGGGATCTGGTGGGGGTCCCAGGGCTGCAGCAGGGGAGGGGGCCTGGGGGGCCTGATCTGCTCATGTGGGGGGGGGACTCCAAGTCAGGGAGGAGAGGGTCCTGCCAGGGAGGGGCCAGGTCTGCCACGCTCTCCTTCCTGCAGATCAGAGGATCCCAAACTCATTTGGCCTTCTGCCTCCCCCCTTTCAGAAAAAAACTGACTCCCCCGAAATCTTCCTTCTTTAACTCAGCGTCATTGCACAGCAGAGGAAACGTGCAAATGGTTTTCCAAAGCTGGACGAGGAGGTGGACTAGCCCCCCCTCCTCTAAAAAGGTGGGAGAGAAAGGCCAGGAATAAAGAGAGGGATCCCAGCCCATAGTCTGGCTGCTGCATTGCGGACCAGCTGCCCAGTCGTCTCCAAGGGCAACTCCCAGGGCCGGATTTAGGTTTGATGAGGCCCTGAGCTCCTGAAAGTAATGGGGCCCTTTATATGTCCAGCTGCCCTTTGTCAACAACAAATAGTCACTGGGTTTTTTTTTTGTTGAATATATGCTATACGGTTATTTATGGACCTAATAGTTATTTGCACCTGTTGCCATGCTACCAGTACTTGCAGAATGCTGACACCCTATATATAGAAATGAGCAAACCAGTGATATTTTAGGAAGCAGGCTAGCAGGCGGGGCCATTACTTACATCATAGCAGCCTACACAATACAAAACACTGTTGCTGTATGTAGGTTTTATTTTATCCAGGTTTTTTCCCCTTTAATATTTTTGGGGACCCCCCCAAGAGAGTGGGACCCTAAGCTATATTTTGTTTAGCTTATAAATAAATATGGCCCTGGCAGCTCCACACAGAGGCCACTGCAGCAATCCCCTCAGAGCCAGAGCATGACATCCCAGGACCACATCCTCTCTGTCCCAAAGGGATTGTTGCTGGCAAATCAGCCGGAAATGGGCGCTGCTACTCCCTGAGCCTCCAGGGACCTTGGCATCAATGGCTGTGTGTGTGTGTTAAAAGAATATTAATAAATTACCCGCCTAAGATTCAAGGGAGAAGTCTTTGGTCCCATCCACGTGGCCCTCTGGGGGTTGGCCAGAAACATACCTGGCCCTCAAAGCAAAGAAAAAGGGACCCCACCCCAGGAGTCTGGCTTGAGAGTGGCAGAGAGTCCAAGTGCAAGAAAAGGAGACAGAAGCAGGGGAGTGGGGGTGGGGGGAGAGCAAGTCCTGAGGACCCCCGGGTGAGGACCCCCACTAGAGCCAAGCATTCATTTTTCACAAGATACAAATGACTCCCTTGTCAGTCAGTTCTGACTTCATGCATTGACTGGAAGGCAGGAGAAACCAGGCTGATTCATCTCCCAGAAATCCCTTCAGTTGCCTCCACATTTTGCATTGCAATCTTCCTTCTAGGACGGCCATAGGCTGCTTCCTCCTCCTCCTCCTTCCTCTTTTTCTTCTTCAGAAGAAAGCTCATGGTTTGGGCTGTGGTGCAGTCCAGCCCTGGTTCCCTGCAAGACTCATCCATGCTTGCTCAGGGAACCATTTTCTTATCCTGATATTAGACAACTTTTGCAACAGAACAATGTTTTTGCTTTGTAGGATTTTCTAGAGCTTCTCCTTACGACAGACAGAACTTGGCAGAAGACCAAAGGGTTCCTTCCAATCTCTTAGAGGCTTCCTGAGAACCCTTATGGATGAACAAGACTCAGCTGGCCCTGGAGCAGAAAGAGGCCATGCCATCCAAACTGGGAACAGTGGGGGATTCTGGGAAAACTCTGTGCAGAAGATCCTGGGTGAGGAGGACACCCTCCGCTCAGAGGTGCAGAGCCAGCAGGTGAGGCAGTTCTGCTGCCAGGAGGCCAAAGGACCCCGAGAGGTTTGCAGCCGACTCTACCACTTTTGCCGCCAGTGGCTGAAGCCAGAAAGGCACACGAAAGCTGAGATGCTGGACCTGGTGATCTTGGAGCAGTTCCTGGCTGTCCTTCCACCGGAGATGGAGAGCTGGGTGAGGGACTGTGGAGCGGAGACCAGTTCCCAGGCGGTGGCCCTGGCCGAAGGTTTCCTCCTGAGTCAGGCAGAGGAGAGAAAGCAGGAAGAGAGAAAGCAGGTGAGAGAGACTTTCCTTTGGATACTCCCAAGGCCTCCGAACAGGATGGAGAATATCCCAAAATGTTCTACTGATGGCCCATCCTTTTTCTGAGAAGACATCCATGGAATGAAATCTCACACCTTTCAAGTCTTTGTCATTCTCTTTCTAATATTTCTCGCCATTCATTCTCTGTTTTTAAACCTTGTTCTTTCAGGAAAAGGATGATTTTGCAGAAATGGACCTGGATTCCTGTGAGGCAGAGAGGCCTCCGTTGGACACCAGAGAGAGGCAGCTGGGTAAGGAGGAAGGTTGTTTTTCTCCATTTGGTCTCATTCTGTTGGTTTTCCAACTCCTGTGTGACTCCTTTTCATCTTTTGTTGGGGGAGATAGTTGGGGCCAAGAGCCCAGAGGAGGGGAAATATATATTTCTTTTTTTATAAATGATTTTTATTTGTTTTGCATATAATCACATTACATAACATCGTATCCTCTTGTTTTATCTCTTTAGCTCGACTGAGCCTAATGACTTCCCTCCCTCCCGTCTGATGGTTTACAAAATTAAACTTTACAGCTTTTGCTTCATTTCCTATCCTTGTTATATCATTACCTCTACCTGAATAGGTAGCAATTTCACCTTACAGATCTTCAGATAACCCTGCTAATGATGTTAATTGCTTACAGTTATCGTTCAAATATAATGCAAATTTGTTCCAGTCCTTTTGGAATGCTTGGTCTCACTGGTTCTGGATTCTTCCCACCAGTTTCGCCAGTTCTGCAAAGTCCATCATTTTCATCTGCCACCCTTCTTCTGTTGGTAACTCCTGTTGTTTCCATCTTTGGGCTCCATTCTTGCCACAGTTGTTGCATATAAGAACAATTTTTTCTCTGGTCTCGGTATCTCTCTACCCACTATACTTACCGTATTTTTCGCTCTATAACACGCACCTAACCATAACACGCACGTAGTTTTTAGAGGAAAACAAGAAAAAAAATATTCTGAATCAAATGTTGTACCAAACTATTTAATAAACAACCGGTATATCAGAATCATATTACAAGCATGTAAAGTGAACAGCAGTCAACAGTGGCATTAAGAACCATCATCACTGTCATTAACAAATGAAGAGAGAATTTTAGGTTCGAGTACTCTTCTAGTCTTCTGTGAACCCCAAGAACTCATCACTGCTAGAGTCAGAATTTATGAAGTTCAGTTGCTCACAATCACTGACATCACTTTCTTCACTATCTTCATATAAAATGTCATCTTCTTTTGCATCCAAACCAAACCACATTTTTTGAATGACTGTGCAACGATTTCCTCCTTCACTGAGTGCCATGATGTGGGGCTTACCTGGCTGCCCCCCAATATTTTTTGAAGTTGGAAGAGGGAGGGAGGGAGGGAAGGAAGAGAGAGGGGGAACTCACATTTATGCAGCTGCCTTGCCTCGGAGCAAAAAGAGGAGGAGGAGACTCAGGGACACGAGACTTGTAAGCCGCTTTGTTTGAATTTACCGGTGAGGTGCTGGGGGAGGGACGGAAGGGGATGCCCTCTTTGTCCCTCCTTCCGGCTCATTGTAAAGAAAGCAGAGTAAGAGCCGCTTACATTTGTGTAAGGGAGAGCCATAGAGCAGGCAGACACTGAGAAAGAGAGGCTGTCTCCCTTTCCCCACCTTGGCTTTTACACGCTGCATGCAGCTCTTGCCAGCTTCCGATCTGCCTCCCTTCTCCCACCTCGCTAAAAAGCCATAGAGCAGGCAGACAGGAGGAAGAGAGGCTGTCTCCCCACTCTCAGCTGTTGCCGGCTTCTCAAGGAGCCAAGCGGAGGCTCCTCCTGCCTGCATTCGCTCCATAACGCGCACACACATTTCCCTTTACCTTTTAGGGGGGAAAAACTGAGTATTATGGTGCGAAAAGTACGGTAATAAAAAAGCTTCTGGTTTTTTAACAAAGGTGTCTTTAAACATTTTCTTTAACTCATTATATATAATTTCCCAGAAAGCTTTTACGTCTTTACATGTCCACCACATATGGTAAAAAGTACCTTCCTTTTCCTTACATTTCCAACGTTCATTTTTTGTTCTATACGTTTTGGCCAGTTTAACTGGTGTTAAATACCACCTGTACATCATTTTCATAACATTTTCTTTAAGCGTACTGCATGCTGTGAAGTTAATACTTTCATTCCATAACCTCTCCCAATCTTCTAACTGTATACTATGCCCAATATCTTTAGCCCATTGTATCGTTAATGATTTTACCTCCTCATCTTTAGTATGCCATTCCAATAATAATGTATACATTTTTGACAATATTTTTGTCTTATCATTCAATAAATCTATCTCAAATCTAGATCTTTTTGTTTCAAAACCATTTTTCTTTTTATCCTCTTCAAACACTTCATTTATCTGACGATAATGCAACTAATCCCTCAATAATTCTTTTGTTTCCTCAAACGTTTTTAATTTTAACTGGTTTCCTTCCTCCACCACTGTATCTCTGTAGGTGGCTCATTTTTCTTCCATATTTTTTTTTTTTAACTGCAATCACTTCCAATGGTGAGAGCCACCATGGAGTTTTACATTCTAATAGACTTTATATCTATTCCACACCTCATAAATTGTCTTTCTTATAATGTGGTTCAGGAATTCTTTATGCATTTTTACCTTCTCATACAGTAAATAGCATGCCATCCAAATCTGTTATCATATCCTTCCAGATCTAACTTGCTGTTGTTTGTTAAGGGATTGGATTTTGTTAAAGAATAGAGATCTGTTAGATCGGGAAATATTTTTCTTCACAACTAACATCTGAAATACTCTCAATCATCAGCAGGCAAGACTTTCTCAAATGCTCCTCTGTAGTTTGAGATGCACTGATTTACCTATGAGACAAGAAGGCACTCTGGGCCTCCCCCTTACCTTTTCCCTCTTGCAGGTGACACAGTGATACTGGCTAGACCTCTTCATCCATCTCTGAATGGGGACAGAATGGAAGCAGCGGCTGTGGAACCAGATCAGGTCAGGGGAAGCTGCCTTGCGGGGACAGAGGCCAAGGGGTGGAACAATGTCCTAGCTCAAGGAGTGGTGGTGAACAACAGTGTTGTCTCAGAGGAGGACATTTCCTTTTTTCTTTCAGGGTCCAGTGTGCTTTGAAAATGTTGCTGTTTATTTCACGGACGAGGAGTGGGCGTTGCTGGATCCTGACCAGAGAGCTCTGCATAAGGATGTTATGGAGGAGAATCATGAGATCGTGGCCTCTCTTGGTAAGGCTCCTGTCACGTCTGGCAAGGCTCTCCCACACAAGACGCGACAGGCTGGAAGTTGTTTTACCTTCTGATTTATTAAGCAATTACTGAGCTCAGTAGCCCAGCTTCTGTAACACATCAATCACTACCAAAGTCAGTTGCTGCCCTAAACTTCCGTCGTTTTCCCAGGCAACCTAAATTCCACCTCCGGGTCCCCCTGTTTCTGGTCCTGCGCAAAGCTAATACCTTATTATTTCTTCTAGTCTTGGGGGAGTCTGGTTCTGTTAGCCCCCCCTTTGTCTAGAGTAGATTCTAACGGTTCCCCTCCTCCTGTGGCTTGCTCTGTGTTGTTTTGACGTTCCACAGGCTGCATTCCAGAGCTTGTCTCTTCCTGACTATGCGAAGGACTCCAGTTCCTGCTCCCCCCAGTTTGCACTCCCTCCTCTCTGGATTTCTCGCTTTCTGTCAGAGCAAAAGCGTCCCTGACATCCCCCCCCCCCCCGCGGCCTCGCTGCCTGCCATGGAGGACTGTCAAAACTGGCCTCCACCATCCCTCAGTCTCCTCTGCTTTTTCCTCTTCCTCACTGAGGTCTGCCTCCACCCTCCAGGTTTGGGCTTGTGTGGTTAACGACAGTCAAACTGTCTCTGCAAGTCGGGGGCGTGCACATTCTCACTTTTCTCTCATGAATTTTCCTCAGCCGTATAGCCCTTCCAGGAAACTAAATACTGTAACTTCCTTCTGTGAAACCTAGAATCCAGTATCTCCGCAACCTCATACTCCTCTTGGTCATCAACCAGGACTGGAGGAGGCTGTGCCTGCCTAGGTTTCTGGTACTGGTGTGCCGGAACAAATGGTGATAGGAGTGCCCTGTGGAAAACAGGATGGATTATCGTGGAGTTAGGCAACTTAAGCCTGAACGATACAGGGTTAATCTGTTCTACTACTTCAAAAGGCCCTAACCTCCGTGGTTTCAGTTTCCTGCACCTCCACTTCATGGGCAAATCTTTCCCTGACAACCATACCTGATCCCCCACTTTAATCTCCTTGCCCTGCTGCCTATGCTCATCAGACCCTTCTTGTACGTGGCCTTTGCCATGCCTAGTTTTTCCCATAGCAGTTCAAGTCCCACATTTCTTCCATGAATTGTTTTGCTGCCGGTACTGGCAGGTTACTCCACGGATCAGGAAATGCCCTCGGGTGTCATCCGTGGTTGGCGTCAAATGGAGTCTGCTGTGTAGGCATATGCACAGCATTGCTGTAAGTGAACTCTGCCAGGCTCAACTTGTTCACCCAGTCATCTTGCTGATAGTTCACATAACAATGAAGGTACTGCTGCAACGTCGCATTGGTTTTCTCTGACTCTCTATTGGTTTGCGAGTGCGTTGCCGATGTCAGGCACACCTCTACACCCAACAACTGCATGAGTCTCCTCCAAAATTGGGAGGTAAATTGTGCCCCTCTATCAGAGATTACCTTCAGAGGTAATCCTTGTAGCTTTTAACGTGGTCCACAAACATCCTGGCCATTTCCTGAGCCGATGGCAGTTTCTGGCAGGACACAAAGTGTGCCATTTTCATGAACAAGTCTAGTACTACCCATTTATAGTCTGTTTCTGCGAGGCTGGAAGATCCGTGATGAAGTCCATTGCAACTACTTCCCATGGTCCTTGTGGTGTCAGTAGTGGCTGTAGCAATCCCATCGGCGCTTCCCGGGGTGTTTTGGTCCATTGACAAGGTCTTACATGCTCTCACATACTCTCTCGTCTCTTCTCATATCTTTGGCCACCAAAATTGTCTCTTCAAATCACAGAGTCTTGTAGTGTCCCAAATGACCTGCTGTGGGATTGTTGTGACACTGCTGTAGCACTCTGGAGCGCAACTCCCCTTCTGGAACATAAACCACCGCTTCCTTGAACAGCAAGGCTTCTCTCTTGATGAAACTCTCGGATCATCCTCACCTCTCTGTATTGCCTCAAACTTGCTTTCCAGGAAGCCATCCATTGCCGTCTGTCTTTCGAAGTCTGCAGTTTCCACCATTGGCGTCGCTGGCAGTTGTAATTGCTCCGGTTTCAGAATATGTCTCGGTCCGGTGTTTAAGTCCCCCTCCAGATAGTCTGGCTTCTGGGACAGGGCATACACCCTCTCGATCTGGTGCCTTGGCAGATTTGGAAGTTGAACTGAGCAAAAAACTGCGCCCATTTGATTTGCCTCTGGTTCAGCAACAACAACAAGGACTTTATTTGCGTAGCCAACAGGCCATAGCATCAAAGGACAAACACCGACAAAAATACATTACAAATATAGTTACCGTATAATCTTATGGCCTATTAAAACCCTAGGTAAAAACTGGATTATCATTCATCAATGACCCTCTGTCCCATGGGCGGAGGCCTTTTCTCTGGTAGATTGTTCCAGGTTGGTTAAGTAAATAGACCAGCCAAATTGAAAGAATATAAATATAAATGGTCAGGACAGGGAGAAAGATAATAATAACCAGATGCAGATAAATTAATAATCTCAGTACTTAAAACTTGGCAGAGATAATAAAATACTAATAATGAAACATAATGATAATAATGATAAAATCCTAAGCGAGAAATCCAGATGATGACACTGATGTCATTCAGATGGTAGCTCTCAGTCTCATTGCTCTCTCGATAAATTTAGCAACCTTCTCTGTTGTCGAGCTGTTCTGGTTGGCTAGGAGTGAGAACAATTTGGCTTCACCAGATTTGAAAGATTTTATCCATCATCAACGTAAACTCCCTCAAATTTGCGGGGGCACTGTGTTTGCCTGCTATAAGGGGAACTGGCCAAGCTTTTGCATCTCCACCTAGCAAGCTGATTATATAAGCCGATCAGAGCTAAATTCTGACTCTCTGATGTCCATAAAATAAAGCAATTCCATTCTGAAGGCATGATACTCCTCTGGTTTGCTGGACTACTGGGACGGGCTTGCAAAAGAAGTCTTATATGCTCTGAGAGCTCTCTGTCTGCAGCTGCAGTCTCTGTTCTGAGAATGCTCCTGGTAGCATATCTAGCTACAATTTCAACTGCCAGCTGTATTGACAAGGGGGTCCCTTGTCTAGGCTGGTCCCTCTCCCACTCCTCCGGCCCCTTCTGGTCCCCCGGCCCATTGTACTTGCCTGTCCATCGTCACTCTCTGGGGTCCGTCAGTGTGAGAGAGGTTGAGTGCGGCAAGCTGTCAGGTCTGGTAAGGCTCTCCCAAACAAGACATGACAGGCTGGAAGCTGTTTTACCTTCTGATTTATTAAGCAATTACCGAGCTCAGTAGCCCAGCTTCTGTAACACATCAATCACTACCAGAGTCAGTTGCTGCACTGAACTTCCGTGGTTTTCCCAGGCAACCTAAATTCCACCTCTGGGTCACCCTGTTTCTGGTCCTGCGCAAAGCTAATACCTTATTATTTCTTCTAGTCTTGGGGGAGTCTGGTTCTGTCAGCCCCCCCTTTGTCTAGAGTAGATTCAAACGGTTCCCCTCCTCCTGTGGCTTCCTCTGTGTTGTTTTGACATTCCACAGGCTGCATTCTAGAGCTTGTCTCTTCCTGACTATGCGAAGGACTCCAGCTCCTGCTCCCCCCAGTTTGCACTCCCTCCTCTCTGGATTTCTCACTTTCTGTCAGACGGAAAGCATCCCTGACAGCTCCCTTTGGGATCAAAATATCTGTTTTTAAATTCAAAGCAGCTCTCTGTGATGAACCTCATATATTTTCACAGAACTCAATAACAACCGGGATTACAATATTCCCACAATTAACCTTGAACAGGAAATTACTTTTTTTTCTGTGAGTGTCCTTCCTCCAGTTGTTGTTGTTGTTTAGTCATTTAGTCGTGTCCGACTCTTTGTGACCCCATGGACCAGAGCACGCCAGGCACTCCTGTCTTCCACTGCCTCCCGCAGTTTGGTCAAACTCATGCTGGTAGCTTCGAGAACACGGTCCAACCATCTCGTCCTCTGTCGTCCCCTTCTCCTTGTGCCCTCCATCTTTCCCAACATCAGGGTTTTTTCCAGGGAATCTTCTCTTCTCATGAGGTGGCCAAAGTCTTGGAGCCTCAGCTTCACGATCTGTCCTTCCAGTGAGCACTCAGGGCTGATTTCCTTAAGAATGGATACGTTTGGTCTTCTTGCAGCCAATGGGACTCTCAAGAGTCTCATTCCTCCAGTTACAGCTTCTTAAACAATTATCAGCCTGGTCTGAACTACCTAGACCATTTTATCTGTAAACTTCAGAGTTGTTAGGTAAGTTTAAGTAGCTTCTGTCAGGTTTTCTGTTTTTGTTCTTGCTCCTGTCGGTCCTTGGATGACAAAAGAGAAGACTGACATTAGAAATGGAGGGATGCCATGATGGAGCCGAACAAAATCCATTTGAGAGAAGAGCCAGGCTTATCGAATCACAGGTTCCCCTAAGGATGTCGGTTGATCCCCGTTAGTTAATGCACCCAACCCTTCAGAAAACCATCCATCTAACCCACTTGTGTTATTCCCCAGTGACCAGTGTTAAAAGGTATTCTTCATTAATTTCTCCCTGAGGCTTTAATCCATTTCTCTCTTCATTGCAGGTAGTGATGAACTGGAAATCAAGAACAAGGGTGACCATGAAAAAATATCCACAGTGGAGAAGCAGTATAAATATATTGAATGTGGAAAAAGTTCCCATTCCTCTTCCCATCAAATAAATCCCATTGGGAAGAAACCTTATAAGTGCTTGGAATGTGGAAAGAGCTTCAGTCAGAGCACCCATCTCACTTCCCATCAAAGAATTCATACAAGAGAGAAACCATATAATTGTTTGGAATGTGAAAAGAGCTTCAGTAACAGCTCCTCTCTCACTTCCCATCAGAGAATTCATACAGGGGAGAAGCCCTATCAGTGTGGGGAATGTGGAAGGAGCTTTAGTCAGAGTGGCCATCTCACTTCCCATCAAAGAATTCATACAGGGGAGAAACCCTATCACTGTGTGGAATGTGGAAAGAGCTTCAGTAGTAACTCCCATCTCAGTTCCCATCAAAGAATTCATACAGGGGAGAAACCCTATCAGTGTGTGGAATGTGGAAAGAGCTTCAGTAACAGCTTCTCTCTCACATCTCATCAAAGAATTCATACAGGGGAGAAACCCTATCAGTGTGGGGAATGTGGAAAGAGCTTTAGTCAGAGTGGCCATCTCACTTCCCATCAAAGAATTCATACAGGTGAGAAACCCTATCAGTGCATGGAATGTGGAAAGAGCTTCAGTGTGAGCTCTTATCTCACTTCCCATCAAAGAACTCATACAGGGGAGAAACCCTATCAGTGCACGGAATGTGGAAAGAGCTTCAGTCAGGGCTCCTCTCTCACTTCCCATCAAAGAATTCACACAGGGGAAAAACCCTATCAGTGCATGGAATGTGGAAAGAGCTTCAGTTGGAGCTCTGATTTCACTTCCCACCAAAAAATTCATACAGGGGAGAAACCCTATCAATGTTTGGAATGTGGAAAGAGCTTCAGTTTGAGCTCCTATCTCACTTCCCATCAAAGAATTCATACAGGGGAGAAACCTTATCAGTGCATGCAGTGTGGAAAGAGCTTCAGGAAGAGCTCCCATCTCACTGCGCATCAAATAATTCATACAGGGGAGAAACGTTATCAGTGCATGGAATGTGGAAAGAGCTTCAGTCACAGCCACAGTCTCACTTCCCATCAAAGAATTCATACAGGGGAGAAACCCTATCAGTGCGTGGAATGTGGAAAGACCTTCAATACAAGCTCCTATCTCACTTTCCATCAAAGAATTCATACAGAGGAGAAACCCTTCATTCTACAGCTTTAGGAGCCAGGCAAATACGCACCTTTTTAACCAGGCCTTTGGCTGATTGACATCTAATGCCCTTTTAAAGTATGGTGGGGATGGGGGTTACAGATGTGTATTTTGTGGTTTTATATTGTGCTTTTATGTTGTAACTGTCCTGAGACCTGTGGGTGTAGGGAATAGGAGCCAACTCTTAGAGGCCAGTGGGTCTTTGCCCCCCAATAAGATATTTGAGGGGGCCACCCCCCAGTTGATAGGCATTGCCAATCAAATGATGTGCATAATACTAATAATACTACTAATAATTCATTATTTATACTGCGCCCATCTGGCTGAGTTTCTCCAGCCACTCTCGGTGGCTCCCAATCAAGTGTTAAGAACAATACAGCATTAAATATTAAAAACTTCCCTAAACAGGGCTGCCTTCAGATGTCTTTTAAAGATAGGATATCTACTTATTTCCTTCACATCTGAAGGGAGGGTGTTCCACAGGGTGGGCGCCACTACCAAGAAGGCCCTCTGTCTGGTTCCCTGTAACCTCACTTCTCACAATGAGTGAACCACCAGAAGGCCTTTGGCGCTGGATCTCAGAGTCCGGGCTGAACAATGGGTGGAGACGCTCCTTCAGGTATACAGGATCCTGTGATTGATTGTGCAAGGTGGGCCTTACCATGCCCCCCACCAATATTTTATTCAAGTTGGCACCACTGGGTCGGGTGGTATTCAAATTAAATAAATACATAAATCGCTTTCCTTTGCACATGTTCCAGCTTGTCAATATCCTTATTTATTATCATTTCTAAATTTATGTGCCTTTCATTTGAAGATTTCACAACATAAACATAAGGATGAAAGCATGACTTTCTCAAAAACAAGTCATTCCAGAAAAACCTCTCTTTTTCTTTTTTCTTTTTGATCAGGGGACTGCTGTGGAAATAGTGCATCTTTCTTTCAGTGTGGCTTTTGATGAAGTCCCCCATGATATTTTTGCAAGGAAGCTGGTAAAATGTTGGCTGAACGAGGTAACTGTTAGCTGGATTTGACTGACCAAACCCAAAGAGGACTCCTTCATGGTTCCTCCTCATCCTGGGGAAAAGTGACAAGAGGGGTGCTGCAGGGTTCTGTCCTGGGCCCGTTGTTGTTAAACATCTTTATAAATGTCTTGGATGAAGGAACTGAGGGGATGCTCATCAAATTTGCAGACAACACCAAATGGGGAGCGGAGGCCAATGTGGCAGAAGGCAGAATCAGATCAAGTGCAGGAATAGTACCACTTTATTTTGCCTAGGATACTGTGTTTAGTTCTGGGCACCAGATCTGAAATTTTGTTTGCCTGGGGAAATCAAGAGGGTGGGGGGGGACACTATCCATATTCCTTTTATAACATGTGGCCAATGTTTATTAAATACATATATTGTTAGGACTGTTGCCAGAATCCACCCAGCACTCAAGGGAAGATGTGTTGTGATCTTTTCGAGTAATCAAATGAAACTTGTAGCACATGGCAGGATGAAAGTCTTCAATTTCATCAGGACAAGTTATTTGTTTTTTTACTGTTGTAACCATTGCTTTCTGAAAATTCATCTTCTATACCATGAAGATAAATCAAAGTAATTAAAAAAAAGAGAAGGGGGAAACGTGCACTATTCCATTAATCTGCTTGCATGTGTTGAGTGTTATTTGGAGACTGTAATTTCAGTAATTTCACATTATCTATGTGTTTCTGTGTGTTCAGCACACATGATTGCAGGTGAGACTGAATAAAAGACTTCCTAGGAAATTCCCTTTGACTGCTTCTGTATTGTTTCAAATGTGACTTCATTTACACATAAGATCATATTTATTGCTGAAAAATCATGTCATCGTTGGCTCCTTAATCTCTACCCCAACAAACCTTGCTCTTAACATGAGTAACTTCTTTCCCACAATTTCTTGGGTGGAAATAACTGATATTGGAAAGGAGGTATACCTTTTCCCTCAAACTTTTGGACGAGGTTAAAGTGGGAAATCCCAAGGGAGATTTTGCTTAACCGAGCTTCAATTCAGCAGGTGAGACTTGATTTTCACAGGGCACAGCTACAGAACAATGATAGAAAGTTATCCAACCTTGGTGGCTGGGCGGAATTTCTTTTCAATTGTTTTTATTGATTTTCCAGATTATTACAAGTCATTGCCAACTTAATTCAATTCAGTACAATTTTCCAAAACATGTTTCCCACTCTCCTTGTAAGATATTGTGGTAATCATTCACTTCTTTGAAAGCCAGCATCCATCTGTGTTTTTATTTATCTGTTGCAATAGGACAGAGCTCACTCAATGTGCTAATTAAGAAGGTCTGCCCCGAGGCACATCAGGACAAAAGCCGATAAAGTAGTTCAAACACAGCAAACAGAGAGTCCTAAAACACCCTTAAACATATCTTAGGAAAGATAGAAATAAAATAAGCATAGTTTGGATGGCCATCTGTCCTGGAAGATCCAGCTAAGATTCCTGCATTGGGTCCCTCTTAAGATTCAGTGAGGAGACCAACCTCATGGATTCCAATAGAAAATTCTTTTTAAATCATTTATGGACATTTAAAAACCTTTGGAGAAGTAGTGTCCCTTGCTTTGAACATGATTGTCTATGCTTTACACTCTGCAGGAAGGCCTGTTCATAAAGAAGCAAGTTTTCTTGCTTCAGCTTTATTTTGTGCCCAGTGTCAAATTAGTCTTCTGGACCCCATCTCTTTGACATCTGATGGGAGGGCATTCCACAGGGATGGCACCACCACCGAGAAGGCCCTCTGCCTGGTTTCCTGTAACTCTCACAGCGAGGGAACCAGCAGAAGATCCTTGGAGGAGGACCTCAGCATCTGGGCTGAACAATGGGGGTGAAGATGCTCCTTCAGGTATACTAGGCTGAGGCTGTTTAGGGCTTTAAAGGTCAACACCAACCTGCCCTGTACTCAGAATGTACCTGCACCTCCATGGACAGCTGTGAGTCCAAGAATATTCACAGGCTGTGCACTTGGTCCTTCAGGAGCACGGTTACCCCTTTCAGGACCAGGGAGTCACTCACACCCACCCTTCCCCCTAAAACAGTACTTCTGTCTTGTCAGGATTCAACTTCAATCTGTTAGCCACCATCCATCCTCCAACGGCCTCCAGACACTCACACAGGACATTCACTGTCTCCACTGGTTCTGATTTAAAGGAGAGGTGGAGCTGGGTATCATCCACATACTGGTGGACACCCAGCCCACACCCCCTGATTATCTCTCCCAGTGGCTTCATATAGATGTTGAAAAGCATTGGGGAGAGGACAGAGCCCTGAGGCACCCCACAAGTGAGAGCCCAACAACACTTTCTGGACATGACCCAGGCGGAAGGAGCAGAACCACTGTATAACTGTGTCCCCATCTCCCAACTCCTCTAGCTGTTCCAGAAGGATGGTATCAAAGGCCACTGAGAGTTCCAGCAGAACTAGGAATCAGCTTTCACCTTTGTCCCTAGCCCGCCGGAGATCATTGACCAGTGCGACCAAGGCAGTTTCACTCCCATGATGAGACAGAAGACACGGCAGAAGACACATCACTCCCTATTCTTCCCTAACTGCAAAATGTTGCATATCCTTTGCCGAATCTGCTGGGTCTTCACACTGTACACAATGGGATTAAGAAGTGGTGGGACTGCAACATAGATGTTGGCCATAAGCATGTGAACAATGGGGGAAAGGTGCTTCCCATATCGATGTGCCATACTTACGCCAATCATTGGGACGTAGAAAATCAAGATGGCAGCAATGTGGGATACGCAGGTGTTGAGAGCCTTCAGACATTCTTTGCGGGAGGCAATGCTCAAAGCAGTCCTCAGGATCAGAATATAAGATACAAGAATGATGAGAGCATCCAACACCACAGTGCACATGACTACGATCAAACCATATAGGACGTTGACTCTGGTGTCTGCACAGGCTAACTTCATGGCATCTTGGTGGAGACAGTAGGAATGAGAAAGGACATTGGATTTGCAGAAAGGGAGACGCTTAATAAGAAAGGGGATGGGGAAGCAGACAGACAGGCCTCTTGAAAAGAGAATTATGCCAATTTTCACAATTACAGAATTTGAGAGCAGTGATCTGTATCTCAGTGGATCACGGATGGCAATGAATCGGTCAAAAGCCATTGCCACAAGAATGCCAGACTCTGCCCATTGAAATATATAGATAAAGAACATCTGGCTGATGCAGGCGTTGAATGGGATTTCCCTTGAGTCAAACCAATAGACTCCCAGCATTGTTGGCATGGTGGACATGGAGAGGCCCAGATCCGAGCAGGCAAGCATGGAAAGGAAGAAATACATAGGTTCATGGAGGCTTTCGTCACTTTTAATGACATAGAGGATAGTGAAATTCCCAAGCAGAGTCAGGGCGTAGAGCACAAACAGTGGGAAGGCCACCCAAGAGTTCTGCTCCTGCATCCCAGGGATGCCAATCAGGACAAAGGTTTGGTGGCTCACAAGGCTGCTGTTGAATCTGGTGATGGAGGACATTGTTCCCCAAGTGTATTTGGTGGGGAAATGCTGAGTTGTAATAAGCTGTGAATATTTGCTATAAAGGACTTTGGGAAAAACTCAAGTTGTAGGCAAGTGTTCAGGTGCTTTCTCTGTGCCTGAGAGTGGAACCCCAAACTTATTCAGGGAAGGAAAGTTAGTCCTCAGTGCTCATCCTGTCCTGTGCAGATAAGCTCCCCAACTCGAATATTAAGTCAATCTCCGGCACTCACCCTCCTCCAAGCAGTGTGGTTTTTAAAAAAGAAGGTCTATGCCATTATACCTGGCTCTTTTGTCAAAGAGACACTTAAAGCATTTTACAAAGTTGAGTAAGAAATTGCATAAGAGTCCTCACCCTCGAAATTACTATATGAAAGACATGACATGAAAAGAAAGAGGGATGGAGTGGGATGGAGGGTGATTGGGAATGCTTTCTCAAATTAAATTATTACAATGAACACTTGAGGTGGCAACAGTCCAGCAACTCAAAGGCTGCTGGTCTCTCAGCAGATGCAATGACACAGCAGCCTGGTGGAATTTTACCATCACTTGTGTAGCCGATGAATCTCAAAAGCCAGCAGAATACAGATGATAGGGGATCTGATGTTCTCCAACATGGACTCACTAATAGAGAGTAGGTGTCATGTTGAGGGCCTAGAAATCTAAACAGAGAGATGAATAATAGAACTGTAGAGTTGGAAAGGACCCCTGCAATGCAGGAATGAGAAGTCCTGTGTTCAAAATCTTTTTTCAGCCACAAAGTCACTGGATGGTCTCTCCCCGACTGTGTTATCCAAGAATGATACTGGTTTACAGTGCAGGGCTTCTGGGAGGATCAAGGAGAGAAAATGCGCAGAGTAATTTAATTCTTACATGCTCTATCAAAGTGTGAAGTGTTGTTGTTGAGTATTGGCGATGGAGATCTCATCGTGTGGCTCTGGCAAATTCACAGCCTCTCCATTTCTCCTCTGCAAAATAGAAATAAACACCACAGTGTAATAGTTAAATTAGAAAAGATATATCTAAATGACGGAATGGATAGTTAAATGGGGAGGATTGGACATGTCTCACCCTAGCTCCTCCTCTTCTGAGAAGACATTGAAACGGAGGTCCTGAATTTTTCACCTCCAGCGGGTGAAAGGGTTGTGACCAGAAATTGAAATCAGTTTGACTTTTAAAAAATTAATTTACGAAAAAACCAACAACCAAACATTCAATAATACACACACACACACACACAGAGAGAGAGAGAGAGAGAGAGAGAGAGAGAGGGACCTCGAGGTACAAACGCCTCAGGTTACAAATGCTTCAGGTTACAAACTCTGCTAACCTGGAATATTTACCTAGAGTTGAGAACTTTAACCCAGGATGAGAACGGAAATCATGTGCCAGTGGCACAGTGGCAACAAGAAGCCCTATTACTGAAAGCATGCTTCTAGTTAAGAACAGTTTCAGGTTAAGAATGGATCTCTGGAACGAATTAAGTTCGTAACTAGAGGTACCACTGTATATGAATACAAAAATCCAAACAATGTTCAATAAAAGGTTCTAAGAACTAGATTAGAAGATGATAAAGAGAGCCAAGAGGAACTTAGCTATCATTTTAAAAGCGACTCCCAGACATCAATGTTCTTAAGTGGTGGTTAACGCAGAGAAGTCAGGTATTTGGAATATAGGAGCCAGAAAGCCCCAAATAGAAACTCATTCCAAGTAAAAATGTTCAAAATGTTCCATAAAATGTTCAAAATAAAATGGTGAAGTCTGACACCCCTCTCCCCCGCATGGGAAACCAAGAGCACAGCAGTAAAAACTCCAGGTTATTGGTTCCTGTTCCAGAAATCCACTTGCTTTCCTGACTGGCCCAAACCTTCTCCCCAATGTGAAATTCTGAAATGAATCCCAGTCTCACTTTGGCTAGCCCAGCGTGAATTGCAGCATTTTCCCCTTTGATGACAATGAGCTTAATGGCCATCATATTGATAATTACAGTATGTTCTCATCAAAGTACAGTACACTAGTACTTAATGCATATGATACTTCAACATATCATCATCATCATCATCTGCAATTACCAAAAAAGAACTCTGAGTAATATCCACAATATTTAGCTGACCACCTCCAATAAAATATAGCATACAACACGGGAATAAAATCGGAAACAAATGCAAGCCATCGCCATAATCTCATGGCCTCCTGATTGATGATGATCTCTCTGAAGTTAATCAAAGGAAAACTCATCTGTTTTATATCTCATGAATTTGCCTGAATTTAGGACAGAGGACACAAACCTGACACGATTTCTCCCAGGATGAATGCTGAGTCTGCCTTTGCTGTTCCATGAGGGATTCTGCCTATGCTTTTTATGGCAGGAAGGGTTATAGTGATAATGTTTGCCCTTAGGGAGACAAGCTGTTCCCAGACTGTTAGATATCTGCGCAGAGATTTTTGAAATCCCGTTGGCAATTACTAGGGAATCTCCACACATCCTGCCCAAAGGCCTGCAGTTCTGCTCCCAGAGGCATTCCTGGGCTCCCACCTTCCATGAAACCAGAGAACTTGGATGTAGATAGAATATAAAAAGAGAGAGGCCCTCCTCCCCACAGATCTGAGGACCACTAAAACGTGTGTGTTTAAGCAAAAGGATGACATGATCGTCCTCTAGATTTAAATGAGGTTGAAATAGTAAATGTATCATTTCAAACCAAGGAAAGACCTCACCTAGAAAAACATTATAACTCAGGTGGTTAGGAAGGCCCAAAGGAGACTCCATTTCCTCAAGGTCTTGCGAAAGAAGAATGTTAAACAACAATTGATGACCTCCTTCTACCAGTCCACAATAGAAAGTGTCCTCTCATATTGTATCACAGTGTGGTACGTTGGCTTGACAGCCACGGACAGGAAGTCTTTACAGAGGGTGGTGAACACAGCACATGATATCATGGGCTGTCCCCTGAGCCCTCTAGATGACATTGCAAGGGATTGTTGCCTTAGGAGAGTGAGAAAAATTCTCAGGGATGATTCATACCCTGACCCGCACCTCTTTAATCTTAATAATAATAATAATAATAAATTTTATTTATATCCCGCCCTCCCCAGTCAAAGCCAGGCTCAGGGCGGCTAACAACAAACAAATAATCAAACAATCAAATAATCCAACATTCTAAAACATTTCATTATAAAAATTAATTAAAATCAAATTAATGGCAACCGTTAAGCAAAGTTCTGTGCAGGTTGCCAGAGGAGGGAGTCAGGCTGGGCCCTGACCAAAGGCCTGGTGGAACAGCTCTGTCTTGCAGGCCCTGCGGAAAGATGTCAGGTCCCGCAGGTCCCTAGTCTCTTGTGACAGAGTGTTCCACCAGATCGGAGCCACAGCCAAAAAAGCCCTGGCTCTAGTTGAGGCCAGCCTAACTTCTCTGTGGCCTGGGACCTTCAAGATGTTTTTATTTGAAGACCGTAAGTTTCTCTGTGGGGCATACCAGGAGAGGCGGTCCCGGAGGTACGAGGGTCCTAGGCCGTATAGGGCTTTAAAGGTTAAAACCAGCACCTTAAACCTGATCCTGTACTCCACCGGGAGCCAGTGCAGCTGGTATAGCACCGGGTGAATGTGATCTTGCAGCGAGGACCCCGTAAGGAGTCTCGCCGCGGCATTCTGCACCCGCTGGAGTTTCTGGGTCAGTCTCAAGGGCAGCCCCACGTAGAGCGAGTTACAATAATCCAGTCTGGAGGTGACCGTCGCGTGGATCACAGTGGCTAGGTCAGGGCTAGAGAGATAAGGGCCAACTGCTTAGCTTGGCGGAGATGAAAAAATGCCGCCTTTGTTATAGCTGTAATCTGCGCCTCCATAGAGAGGGAGGTATCGAAGATTACACCCAAACTCTTAACGGACGGTGCTGGCACTAATTGCACCCCGCAAGAGAGTGGGAGTTGCCCCCCCCAATCCCATATCGTCCCGTCCCAGCCACAGGACCTCTGTCTTCGAAGGATTTAACTTCAACCGGCTTCCACGTAACCATCCAGCCACAGCTTCCAAACATCTGGTCAGTGTGTCTGGGGCCGAGTCAGGATGGCCATCCATCAACAGATAGAGTTGGGTGTAATCTTCTATTCTCGGACAGGAGATATAGAAGTATAATCAGTCGTACCAACAGGCTAAAATACAGTTTCTATCTGTGGGCTGTTAGGCTGCTGAACGGAAAGTAATATAGTGCAACTGACTTTCGGGGTTGGTGTGTTGTGCGACAAGCACACAGAGTGCAATGAGATTGAGTGTTTGTGGAGGAGGGAGGGAGGCTTGGTTAATTTCATTGTACACAGGTTGTACATTGACAATAAAGGTATTATTATTATTATTATTATTAACACAAGTGAAAAGAATGGTGGTTAATTACCAGTATTTATTAATTCTCTTATTTGGTCTATGTTCCTATGCAGTTAGTTGCTAAGTCAAGCAAAAATACCACATCCTCACCGCAAGTTCTAAACATCTACAGTCATAAGAAGTGGGTTGACTTAGACTGCAGGAGTCTGTCTAACCAGTTATAAATGCATTCTGGCCACATGCTCTAAACCTCTCCAGTTTTCGGGTGTGAATCGATCTGAACTGCTAATGTCTAACTGGTTGCATTTGTGGTTTAAGGGGAAAAGCAACATTCTCATTCCTCACAGTTGGATCCCAATGTCAGGCTCCAGGGAAATCCGATCCTCCCCCCTCACGGCAGGCTGCTGAGGAAAGTAGACAAGAAAGCTCTTTATTCAATATCTACAGAGAGAGCCTTAGGAATGCTGCCTCTTGGAGTAATGGCGTTGCTCCGAGTAAACTTCACCCCCTTCCCTTCTCATTCGTCCCCCTTATGATGGCTGCTTAAGGCCAACTGTCTTCTAGCTCTCTGCTCTCTCTGCTTCACTGCTCTCCGGGTTCTGGGAGAAGGGGGGGGGGGCTGGAATGCTTTCTAGTGATAACATGTCAGCTGGCTGCTCCGGCTCTGCTTCCCCCTCCTCCT